CAAGGGCATTGCCGGCTCCGCTTTCCACTGGGGTTGCGAGGCAGTGGCCCCGCCCCCGGTCAAGTGAAAGAAGTCTCCAGACAGCCCTGAAGCCAGCCTGTGTGTTGGCTGGGAAGTCTCGCCGTCCCGTGGAAGGCGTCCTGGCGGTGGGCGTGGTCCGGTGCCCTCCGGGGACGGGTGGAGGACCCGGGTGGCGGGCAAGTCCTCGTGGGCCACAGGGCCGTTTCGGGGTGGGTGGCAGCGCCCCGTGGAAGGGGCCCCGTCTCCCTCGGCCCGCCTGGGGGCGTCACCTGTGTTCCTCTCCTCGCCGCCCCGCTCACTGTTGCCTTGGTTACTGGTCTGCACTCCGGCGAACTGGATGAGTTGTTTTCTCCTTCAGAGTGTGATAAAAATTGTATGTACCTACACACGCGCATAAAAACCCCCGACAGTTGTGATAACATTTTTATTGCTTCCCTGTGCTTCCAGGAGTCATGTGTGTTTACGGCAGAGCACTTGGAAGCACAGACACGGAAGGGCCGGGCGACGCCGAGGCGAGGAGGAGGCACCCACGCTCTGCGCCCCCGGCGGCCGGCGGTGCCCGGCACGCCTGGTGCCCCCACCCTGTGTCCTCCGCACGTGGGCCCGTGTGTGGGGCGGCAGTGGCGGCCGGGAGCCCCACGCCCTCTCACCCGGGCCCCTGGGCCGCGTCCCCGGGGGGGGGGGGCCGCTGGCTCGACGGCTTTCCCAAGAAGCGGCTGCACCGCGCAGCTCGCCCGTCCGCCGGCGGGGCCCCCGGGAGCGCTGTGCAGCCGGGCCGGGTCCCTGGAGCTGGTGCTTGGCCTCGCGCACCTGCCATGTCACCGCCCCCCGACCCGTCCGGCCTCGGCCGTCGCGGGAGAGCTCGCCGCGCTCAGACCCCCCGCGCCCGAGTTGTTCACAGTTACCTCGTGTGTGTGCGTGTGCGCGTGTGCGTGTGCACGCCCGGTATTTGTGTTTTCCCGTATTCCTCTGAGACAAACGCACCCCCCACCCCGCCTTTTCAGGTGAAAGAGTGACTGGTTAGTTGGGTGCACCTGTGCGCGCACAGTCTGACCGGAAAGGGCTCACCAGGCAATGTGGAAGACACACATTTGTTCAAGGAGACACGGGACAGTGACGCCTCCGTCCCCTTCAGAGCGGGCACCCGGGGACCTCCCACGGTTCCCCCAGGCGCCGTCAGCCGCCCCGTCGTGTGTCCCTGAATCTCATCGACGGTCTGAAATCCCTGCCCTTTCGAAGGGGGTTTTAGTTTGGGGACAAGCCAGCAGTTGTTCCGATCTCAGTAATAAACTTGCCCTGCGTGCATTTCTTCAGTTGGCTTCTCAGCAACCAGGCTGTCCCCGGGCCTGCGGCGGGGAGGGAGCCTGGCATGCCCGTGGGGATGGCCGTGGCGGGGGTGCCTTCGTGTCCCTTCCCGTCCGTCGAGCCTCATCACGGGGCTGGGTGGTGGTGGGCAGCGGGGACATGCAGGCGGACTCCGGCCCCAGAGAAGAGCGTGTGGCCCTGAGCGAGGCTCCTGGCAACTGCTGAGCCCCAGAGCCCCAGATCTGCGCCCCGCACCCCCCAGTCCAGTCCCGTCGACGCCGGGAACAAAGGTGCATCCACGCGAAGGCGGGCACCGGTGCGCTCCCTTGCTGCCGCCGCGGAGGGGGCTCTGGTTTCCTGTCGGGGCCGATGGCAAAAACCCCGTGTGACGTGTCCCTCGCCGGCGTACTGCCTCCGTGTTTCCAGCGGCCCGGGGGGGGGAGGGGAGCGGGAGGGGCACCGGCGTTTCTGCAACAGCCGCCCCCCGCCCGCCCAGTGCAGCCACTCTCCCTGCTGCGGCGGCTCCGCGCGCCGGCCTCGTCCATGAATTATGCATCTGTGCAGCTTCGGCGGAGCTCCAGGTCTTCGCTGGATGCTCTGACTCTTAATGAGCGAGGCTGGGAATTGGGCGGCTGTTCCTCCGAAAAGCGGGCACGGCGGCTGCCGTGGCAGCGACGGCCAGCCCGCCTGCCTCCTGGTCCCCTTCCACTCAACTGCGGTGCTGGGCCGGCGGGCAGGAGCCGGGCTCTCGGGTGGGGGGTGGGCTGGGGTGGGGGTGGTCCTGGCCCTGCTGGCTGGCGGCTTCTCCACCCTGCCGTGCCCCCGGGCCGGCAGTGCCTGCCAGGTCAGCCCGGCATTCCACGTCTGAGGGTGGCTGTGGCACTTCCTCAGCGTCTTTTAAAAACCTGTCATTCATCAGGTCAGCTCAGTGGGGAGAAACTAGTAAAGGAACCCGTGTGACTGTTTTGAGTTCTTTGGCGACAGGTGCGAACGTCTTGGCGGTCAGTGAGGCGACCTGTGTTCGAGTGTGAGGGTGTCCGCGGGGCAGGCGTCCAGGCCCACAGGCCTCGCCTGCTGCCCGGCGCCCGCCAGCACCACACGCTGGGAGGTCGGTCCCACAGCTCGTGGTGGGAGAGTCCCTGCGGTCCCGCGGGCCGGGGGTCAGTGCCGTCCTCCCCCCGTGGCACCTGCCGTGCTCCCAGCACCGGGCGCCGCTCCAGGGTGCGGGCCGTGTCGTCCTTTCAGAACCCCGAGAAGCTGCATTTCCAAACACCCCTGGCCCCAGAGGGTTGCCTGGGACACCGCGTGGGCTGTGACAGCGTCGCCCCGCTGCCTGGCCGTCCCCGGTCCCTCCACCCCGTGTCTGAGTCAACGGCCAGGCTTCGGGCTGGGCCCAGAACTGGAAGGTGGCGTGCTCCCTGCCTCTGGGGGGGACAGGCCCGCCGCGCCCCACTGCACCCCGCCTTCCTGGGGGGGTGGGGACACTGCTCAGAAGGGGGGGCCGGCGCGTGTGAGGTCGCGCGCCCTCGGAGATCACTCATGGCCCCACAGTTCTCAGGCGGTGCTCTTCGCAGATGCGCAGCTGACCTCTGGGGACGCAGCTCCATCCTCTTTAATTATATTGCGCTGGAGAGAAAAATGTGTTCCAGTCCAAAACGGTTATTTTATGTATCATTATGAGATTTTTGGCACATTGAGTTGACCGCCCTTACATTTTCTTAATGCCGTAACTGTATTATTAAAAAGCGTTCATCTAGAATTTTTGGAATGAGGTTTCCACAGAAATGAGCGTCAAACACTGAAAAGACACTTCGGGGCGCAGCGGAGAGTTTAAGACCCTCCACGCCGCCGGAAGCCGGGCTGGCCCTGCGAGCCCCAGCGGGGAGCGAGCACACGCGTGTCTGGTGGGCTCCAGCCCATCCCTGGCCACGTCCCCCGGCCACGGCTCCTGCCGGGTGGCGGCACTCGGTCGGTAGGCAGGTGCAGGACAAACACGTTTCTGTAGTTCTCGTGCCCATATATTCTTGACATTTGTTTCTTGTTTTCTTTACATTGTATTTATTTTTAGACAGAGGGGAAGGGAGGGAGAAAGAGAGGGAGAGAAACATCAGTGTGTGGTTGCCTCTCAAGCGCCCCCTGCTGGGGACCTGGCCTGCAACCCGGGCCTGTGCCCTGACTGGGAATCGAACCGGTGACCCTTTGGTTCTCAGGCCAGCACTCAATCCCCTGAGCCACACCAGCCAGGGCTGTTTCTTGTTTTCTTAAAAGGCGTGGTGCAGGGCGTCAGGCGAGGGGTGTCTGGGTAAGCGGGAGTGAGCACGTGAGCCCCTGGTCCTTGCCCACGGGGTGCACACGGTTCACGTCTCAGCTGCCGACGGGGGCCGAGCGGTCTGCGCTCCCCTCTGTGGGACACGCCCGCAGGTCCGTGTTGGAATCCTCCAGTGCTCCGGGGCGGGGCCTGGACCGCGAGGCCAGGCGGGGCCCCGGGAAGCCTTGGGGCCCGGGTGCGACGCGGTGCTGGCTTGGAACCGGGGACGGCGGCGAGGACAGACACAGGGGCGTGGAGGAGGAAGGGCAGAGCGGGCGGGTGTAGGGCGCAGGGCCCGAGGCCGGTGCTGGGGCGCAGGAGCGGGCGGCAGGGCAGGGGGGGCGGCAGGGCAGGGAGGCTGCCCCGGTTGAGACGCCGAGCGCCCCGCCCGCAGGCACTCTCATTTCCCCCATTTGCCCGTGCACCTAAAGGTGGCCCCGAAAGCGGGGACTGGTGCCCAGCACGTGGCCAGGAGACGTTTGCTGGGCCCGGGAACGGCTGCAGGAGGAGGCCCGGACCCCCAGCCTGTGCCTCGAGGGTCTCGGGCTGCCGTTCCCCAGCGGCCGGTGCTGGGGGGAGGGGGACTGCAGGAAGGCGTCTCCAGGCACCTCGGGGGTCCAACAGCAGGCTGGGGCGGCACGTGGCCGCCCCCGGTGTCGGTGCGGGGTCTGACACGCAAAGAACACATGGGGCTGGTCAGGAGAGGCCGCTGGTGTCGGCCAGCAGTGGCAGCGTGCACACGAGCAGAAACCCCACAGAACGCAGAGGATACAGGTAATCCTGCAGAATGCCAGCCAGATCAGTGTATTCCCCCCTGGTTAAGTAAACGACGGTCTTACATGACGGGCGCGTGCGCGCGCGCGCGGGGGCTTTGCAGAGGGATCTGGCAGAGCGCGACGAGCGCCGTGCAGTGTTTACGCTGTGGACCGGCTTCTCTCCGGAAACGCATCCGAAGGGAGCCTGAGAAAGGCCTCTGCCGCCATCTGCCCGCCGTGCTCGGAGACGGGCGAGACGGCGCTCGCTCGGGGAAACACCTGGCGGCGCAGGTGGCAGCGGGGGCGGGGGCGGGGCTGGGGGGGCCGCGCGGGGCGGGGCTGGAGAGGCCGTGGGGGCGGGGCTGGAGAGGTGGAGGCGGGGCTGGAGAGGCAGGGGCGGGGCTGGGGAGGTGGAGGCGGGGCTGGAGAGGCCGTGGAGGCGGGGCTGGGAGGCCGTGGGGGGCGGGGCTGAGAGGTGGAGGCCGGGGCTGGGAGGCAGGGGCGGGGCTGGAGAGGTGGAGGCGGGGCTGGAGAGGCCGTGGAGGCGGGGCTGGAGAGGCAGGGGCGGGGCTTCCGTGCTGAAAGGCTTGTCCCCTCTGTCCTGCCTGCAGATGAAGACCGTCAGTGTGGCCTTGGTGTTGTGCCTGAACGTCGGCGTGGACCCCCCGGATGTGGTGAAGACCACCCCCTGCGCGCGGCTGGAGTGCTGGATCGGTAAGTCCCGAGGGCAGCCGCGCAGGGTCGCCTGGCGGGGGCGCTGCCGCGGGCGTGTGGGAGCCTGAGGCCCTCCCGCCCCCGCGAGGGCGCAGTCACCCGTGACTTACGGTGGAGAAGGTCTCACGGGAAACCGGGAAAAGCATGGTCGTCGGATTCTGTAACTTTCTCCGTTCAATTTGCCCCACACCTGCCACTCGAGAGTCGCTCCCCGCGCTCACCCACTCGAGCGGCGGACCCCTGCGTGCAGGTGCCCCCCCAGCGCGGTGGTCCGCCCGCTCCCAGGAGATGCCGCCCGGTCCAGTGTGCGCCCCTCCCAGCGCCTCCGCCGCCGTGCGGTTGGGGCGGGCGTGGGCCCAGCCTCCCCGGCCTCTGCCCCTGGGGCGGAGGCGTCGGGCCTCACCGTTACGGACGATATTGGGGGCGGGGGCGGCGGGGTTAGATGCCTTTTACTAGGTAAGAAGCTACCTTCTGTTCTGAGCTGCTGAGAGCTTTGGTCAAGAATCCGTGTCGACTCTTACAAAACGCTTCCTCGGCGTCTGTTGAGACAATCGCCGGCTCTTCCTTCTGGTCCGCTGGTGCGGCGAGCCGTGCCGGTCCCACCTGGGCTGCAGGGCCGGCCCCGAACCCCCGGAACAAGCCCCTGGATCGCCCTCTCTCTGCATCTCTGCCGCGGAGACTCGCTCCCTGCCTGTGAGGGGCTTCGGTCTTGAGGTTCCTTTCATTACGACGTGTGTGTTCCATTTTGGTGCCGAGATAACGTCGGCCGTGTCAAGGGAGCTGGGAAGTGTTCCCACCTTTCCTGTTTCATGGAGGAGTGTGTGTTGCACTGGGTGTTGTCTCTTCTCTAAACGTTGGGGTGATTTATCGGGGGGGCCACCTCGGTGTGGGTTTTCCCCTGTAGCCCCTGCTGGTTTTTCAGCTTTGTCTCGTTGGCAGGACTGGGGACACCCCAGCTCGCTCCGTCCTAAGCAAAAGCAGAAACCGCCTTTATCTACTTGGCGAAAAAGCACAAGTTGCTTTGGCCAGAATTGGGCGAACGGCGCTCTTCTTCCATTTGACACGCCCGCTTCACCCAGTGGGGCGTCGCGGGCACCAGCCCTGCCGCGCGGCCTGGCCGCCGCCCCGGCCCTCTGCCGTCTCCCGGTGACCGTGCTGGTGGGGGTCGACTTCTTTTCTGTACAGATTTTATCTGTTTATTTTCAGAGCAAGGGGAGAGGGAGGGAAACACGACGTGCAAGAGAAACAGCGATTGGCTGCCTCTTGCTCCCCCAACGGGGGACCTGGCCCCCAACCCAGGCGTGTGCCCTGCCCCAGGGAATCGAACCGGCGACCCTTCGATCCGCAGGCCAGCTCTCAATCCCCGGAGCCACGCCAGCCGGGGTGGACATTGACGTCCTGTTAACCGGCACGGGCTGGCCCCGCGCCATTCACGCCTTGTCACTGCTGAACGGGGCCCATTGCTTCCTGCTTCCTCCCTCTGCGGCTCCCGGGCTGGGGTCCGTGCAGCGAGGCTCCGAGTCCCAGGGGTGCCCTCCGGGGCGCGTGGGCCCTGCCTGCGTGCGGCTGCATCTGCCGCATGAGGAGGCCTGGCTCCCCCTGGGCTTCCTGGGGGTCCTCCCCCAGCCCCTGGCCCCCGGCCCCCACCATGAAGAGACACTGAAGAAGCCTCGCTGGTCAGTGTTTGTGGGGCGGCGTCCATGAATGTGAAAAGAATTCTTTGCTTCCTTGTGTGAGAGATGTGTCAGACAAGTATGGTTTTTAACATTGTGTTTTTAAATTTTTTCTGCAAAAATTTTTCTGCAGTGATTTCAGCGGATTTTGAGTTCGGAAGGGAGCATTGCCTCACAGGGGAAAAGCTTCTATTTGGCCTTTATTAAGGGGTGGGGGCTGGCTGCTGCCATGGCGACTGTAACGGTGATGGCGTAAGAAGACAAGAACCCTAGAGATTTGATTCAGCAAATTTTCAGTGGGATTGAGCCGTCTCTATTTTGATTTTAATTTTGAAAAACAAACATCAAAAGTTGCCAGTGCGGTCTGAAGCGGGGTCTCCCCAAGTCAGGGGACAGCGAGCTGCGGGAATGCCGCCCGGCCCCGAGTCCTTGCGTGCGTGTGCGACGGCCCACGAACGGAGCCTCCCTCCCGCAACACAGCCCGGCCCCCGGCCCGGCACTGGGGGGCCGGCCCAGACGGACACTCTGCCTCGCGGGCCTCGGGCATGCGCGGGCGTGCCGCTGGTCCCCAGGGCGCCCTCCACGGCCCCAGGACCCAGCTGCGTCTCCTTCAGCCTGGAACTGGCCCTCGGCCTTTCTGTGCCTTCGTGACCTCGACCTCCGGAAGGTCGCCGGCTACCTGGGTGGAGGCCGCTGCTGGTGGGGCCTCCGGGTTGGTTGTGCACCTTGGGCGGCACCGTCACGGAGGACATGGCCTTCCTGTGGCTGCGCAGTTCTGGAGGCGGGGCCAGGGGCCGCCTCTCCGCTCGCTCGGCGTGAACGCAGGGTGTCCTGCTCGGACTCTGTGGGTGACCGTCCGGTGTCGCCCGCACGGGTCACCCGCCGGCCCAGCTCCTCCTCCTCCCACCGTCTCCCCGGAGCCCGGCGCCCTTCAGGGGCTGCGAGGGTCCTTGTGGAACCGGGCTGTGGCCGTGCCCGTCCCGGCGGGCAGAGCGAGGGGGCCACACGCGTGAGTGGCACATGCACGTCCGTGTTCCTGCACGGTGTTGCTGCACGTGCCCCGCGGCCCCCGGCCAGCCTCTCCAAGAGCGAGGCTCTCGGTGTCCCAGCCTCCGAGTGCTCATGGAGGTGGGACGCGTCCTGGCCCCCCCGGTCCGCACCGGCCACTTCCCCACGGGCGCCACCCCCCCTCCGCCCGGCCTGGGGCGCGCGCAGAGGCTGTCCTGGGCGGCCGAAGTCAGATGCCGCCGACGCCCGCGTGGGCTGCACGGTAGACGAGGCGCGGGGCTGAGGGTCCCGGCGGGGGCGGTGCCGCCAGGTTCTGGGCGCAGGGAGACGCGGCGCCTCTCACCGCAGAGGCTGCCGCTCACAGAGCACGTGCAGGCGGTGCCGGCCGCACGGCGCAGAGCCAGCCACTAAAGGCCGTTCCGGGTTTCAAAGTGGCCCTTGATGTGTTTTCTCAATTAAAACCCCTTTGCTGAGGCTCACACCGCTAATTAGCGGCAGAGCCCTGCAGAGCAGCACAGAGAGAGGCGCTGGCGGTCCGGCGGGCGGCACTCAGTCAGCACGTCAGGGCGCGGGCCCTCGTGGGGCGGCCCCTGAGTGAGCTGCGCTGAGCCGTGCGCCCGGCGTGCACGTCCCCCGTCCGTCTGTGGGGGGCGCTGCGCGCTGACCCGGGCTGCCGTCCGGTGCCGCCTCCCAGGCGGGTGGGACCCGGGCCAGGAGGCGGGGCCCACGGCCGGCACCCCTGTCGTGTCTCTGCCCCCCTCCAGCCCCCGCCCCCAGGTCCTCCCGCTCCCCACAGCTTACACCCTGTTTTCTGATTCTCCCTCTCGTCCTCCTGCAGCTCAGGGGGTGCTGGGGGCTCTAAGGTGGAGGGTGGCACCCTGGGAGGGTCCCTCGGGCTGGGCTGAGAGCAGGCGGGGTCCGTGGAGCCCTGTGCCCTGCCCCCAGTCCCATGTGGAGACAGCGGGAGGGGGTGCATCCCAGCACCCCAGGGACCTTGTGACTTTGGACCCGGGCGCTGGACCAGCTCGTCCTCTGTGTGTCTCGGTCGGGGGACACGTGTGCGCCCACACAGATGCGTGCACTGATGCCCCCGTCCCTCCCTGTCTGCCCTCCTCTGCACGCGTGAGTGGCCGTGTGCCCGGGGCGGGGAGAGCTGTGGGCGCCTGCTGGGCAGACGCACCGCCCGGGCCTTCCCACGCCCGCCGGGACGGAGCGCGGCAGTGACCGGGGGCCGGGGCCAGCCTCTGGACGGCGGGGCGTGCGGGCGTGGCCTGGTGGTGTGCAGCCGGGTGGCTCTGGCGGGAGCCGTGTCCGCGGTGTGGCAGGCGAGGACGTGCACACGTAAAGACCTCTCTCCTCTCGTTGCTTCCGCAGATCCCCTGTCCATGGGGCCCCAGAAGGCCCTGGAGACCATTGGCGCCAACCTGCAGAAGCAGTACGAGAACTGGCAGCCCCGGGTAAGCCCGCCTCCTGCGCCCCCCCCCCCCACTGTCCCTCGGGGGCGGCGGTGCCCGGCCCCCCCCCCCCTCCAGCCCCGAGGTCGGACCCCTCATGGCCTTCTCCCAGAACACTCAGAAAAGGAGAGTGTCCCCCACGTCACAGCAAATCACGGTGTTTGTTTTGCACAAGACACGCGTCTTTGGTGACGTTCCTGCGGCCCAGCCGGCGGGAGCCGCCGGTCCAGCGCCCGCGCCCGCAGGGCGGGAATCAAAGCCTCCGCGCTCGCGGAGACCCGCCGCGTCTCCGATCGCTGTCCTCTCTGGCATCTCTCGGTGTCTCCACAGAGGAGGAGTGGGGGGGGGGGTGCGCCTGGCGGGTCGCCCCAGGTCTCCGGGGGTCTGTGAGCCTCCCTGCTCTGCTGGCCCGAGGGCTTGAGCGGAAAACTGCGGTGATGGAGTGTTTCCGCAGGGGCCTTCCCACTCGGCTGCGGGCGTGGGCGGCGGGGCAGAGTCACCTCGGGACGCCGGGGGGTGGCGGTGGGCGGGTGGGCGGCCCTGCCCGAGGCCTCGGGGCCTCTGCTCCTGCTCGGGCTGACGTCAGTGCCGGGAAGCGCGGCTCAGAGCCCCGGGGGCCGCCCGCCTGCTCGGGCTTCCGAGGGTGACTCACTTGCCCACGCGCCCCGGCGCTGGGTCCCCCGGGCGTTGCCCGCGTGCTGCGCCGGGAGAGCAGCCGGAGACGGTCGGTCGGTGCCCGCCGGGCCAGGCCCCGGGGCCGCGCTGTGTGGTGTGCTGGGCGCCCGGAGGCGTCTCGGGGGGGCAGGTGTCTGCCTGCACTCTGCACTGCTGTTCATTTTATTTTTCATCTTTTCACCTTTTACATTATTTCATTGCACTCTGCACTTCCTCGTGTCGGGTCTGTAACGAGGGGCTTTTATTCCCTGGAAGGCTGCTGCTTGGTGGGGCTGTCCGACAGGCCTCGTTGTGTCGCCCCCCCGTCACGCTGGGCACCTCCAGGCAGCCCCTGTCACAACGCAGGAGCCCTGCCTGCGCCTGGGGCTGGGCCGAGGCCGGGGCGTGTTTGGGTGGTGCACCCCTTTAAAGCTGCTGAGCTGCCTGCGGTTCTGAGCAGCCGACGGCTCCTTTGAAGGTTTCGCAGGGACACTCTGGGGTCTCAGCCAGGCCAGACAGCCCTGCCGGGTGGGGGGTGGAGGAGGTGTTGCATCCAGGCCTCCCCGCCCAGGACAGCAAGCACAGGCGGCGTCCAGGGTGGGCGAACCGGCGCTGCTTCAGGGGAGGGGGCGCCTGCCTGGCCACACCACGCCCGACCGTCCCTGGGGCGGCCCTCTCCCCCTGGTTCAGTGCAGACGCAGCCAGGCGCACCCGGAGCTGCCCGTCCTGTTGCCCCTGGAGCGAGTCTCTGCCGTCCCGATCGCCCGATCACCGTCTCCCAGAGAAGCGCCTCCCGAGGCCCCGACTGCGTGTGGCCCTCGGGCGGTGGCGCCAGCCTCTCCGGGGCAGGAGCGGCGGCAGGGCAGCGCGTGTCAATGCAGCGGCTCTCCCAACCTGCCTCAGCGAAGGGGGCCCTGGGTGGGTGGGCCCTGCCTGTGGTCGGGGTGTTCGAGGAAGAGACCAGCTCTGTGTGGCTGTTTCCACCTGGGAGGGACTGGAGACGGAGTGGGCTGTCCCCCCGGGGAGCCCGCTGGGGTGGGCACGTGGCCTTAGTCCCCGCTTGACGTGCGGTTTGGCGGTGAGGGGGCCTCTTGGGGGGGGTACCAGCAGGCCCGGGCCAACTGGCTCCCTCTCCTGTCACCCCCTCCCCCTCCACCCCCGTTTCCTCTTCTCTGGGCCTCGCCCACTGTGTCTGTGTTTTTGTGACAGGCGGCAGCCGGGAGCCAGCTGTGGCCGTGGCAGAGCCGCTGCCGGAGGGCCAGCTCACGGCGCTCGGTCTGGTGCGGAGCCTGGTGCGCAGCCGAGTGTCACTCGCTCTGCACGGCCAGACGGCGCCGGTCCTCCCGGGGTTTCCCGGCGGGCGCGTCGGCAGCTCCACCGAAGGGCTGTCTTCCCAGAGCGTGAGCGCTTGTCCCCGTGACGGGCATCTCACTTGTCTTTTGCTTTGGCTCTGACCACGTTCCCCCTCCTCCTCCCGCCCCCCTCCAGCGCTCCCCTGACGGCTCCCCCAGGGAAGCTGGTTCCTGCTCAGCGGCAGCAGCAGCGGGCTCCTGCCTCGGCCGGCTCCGGGGCCCGGTGTCCAGGCTCCGAGGCTGCTGCAGCAGGTCTCCGTGCTGAGCGTTACCCCCGCGGCCCGTGAGCCCCCAGAAGCGGTGTCGCCCCGCTGCTGCCGCCACTCAGAGCGGCCGGGAGGCCAGACCTGCCGACGACCGTCCCCGTGGCCGGAGCCCGGCTGCTCCGAGCGGGTCCTCAGGCGGTTCGTCCTGCTCAGGAAGGCTGGGTCTCCTCCGGCTGGCCGCCCGTGGCCCGCTCCCCTCGTCAAGGGGCGGTGTCGAGGGCGGCCGTTCACCCCTGTGCAGGGGCGGCGCCCACCGACAGTGAGAGTGCCTGACGGGAGGTGGGGCGGGGCAGGGCCTGGTGGCCACCCAAGGGACTGGACGTGGACGTGGTGCGTTTCGGCCTTGCCACCCCCTGGAGATGGGCCTCGGGGGCGACCAGTGAACCCTCCATGTGTGTGTGTGCCAGTGGGGTGGGGGCGGAAGGACACGAGGCGAAGTGGCTGCCGCGGGAAGTCCTGGCAGCCGGTGGCCGGGCCCTGCCCCCTCCCCGTCCCCAGCCCCCTCCCGCCCGGGCGACCTCGCTCCCAGCCCTCCTGGCACTCGGGCCGGCTGGCGGCGCCGTGTTTTTGGAAAGAAGCACGGCTCACGCCGTGCTCAGCACGCCCCTCAAGGACCCCGCCTCTCCTTCACGCCCCTCCCCGCGGGCGAGCCGTGCGCACATGCGAGACTGCAGCCGCGGCCCAGACCCTGCGGTGGCAGGGCCCCCTGGTGGGGCTGGGTCCCGAGCTCACCTGGAAGCCCGGGGCGCAGAGCGGGGGTCGTGCAGCGCTGGGGGGGTGCTCGGGGGCGCTGTGCTAAGTCAGGACGGCGGGGGGGTGTGTGAAGGGTGCGCGGGCCCTCCGTCTGCTCTGGCCCACACGGCAGATGTCCCCGGGGGGAGGTGTCGCGTGACGCCCAGCCGAGCGAGAAGGCGCCGTCGAGGGGGTGGCGGCCGGGGAGGCGCCGTGCGCCTGTCGTCCCGGGCTCCCTCTTCCAGGGAGTCTGGGTGTCACCGCACGCTCGCGTGCCAGGGCGGCGGGGGCTCCGACAGGGCCCGACGCCCAGGACGCGCCTGGCGGTGTGACACGTGCCGGGGGCTTTCAGGAACGAGATGGCAGGCGTGGGGCCTGCAGTTACAAACGCGTCCTGGCAGGGCGGCTCGCGGGGCTGCAGCGTCGTCCAAGCACCGGAAGGCTGCAGGTTCGACCCCCAGTCAGGGCACGTCCGGGAGGCCCCCACTGATGCCTGTCACTGGGAGCCTCTCCCCCGCCCGACCCCTCCTCTCTCTGTCGGGTCAGTAAACACGGTCCCGGCTGAGGGTCAGGAGATCATGAATGGAATCTCAGCGTGTGGCCTCGGGCGTCTGACTTCTTTCGCTGAGCGTGGTGGGTTCACGGCTCGTCCGTGTGCATGCGTGTGGCGTGTTTCAGTCATTCAGCCCATTTCACAGTGGAGTGGCGCTCCATGGGTGGACGGCCCCGTGTCCGTGGATGGACGCCTGGGCTGCCCGCCTGTGGCCACCATGAGCACGGCGCCCGGCTGGTCTCCCGCTCTCCGGGGCGCGCCAGGGCGCGGCACTGCGGGGCCGGCGGAGCGGGGCCGTCCTCTCTGAGCGCCCAGCAGCCCGTGTCTCTGGGCCGCGCACGCGCTGCCCCTGCCTTGGTCCCTGCGTCCAACCTGCACTGCCGGGCCCCGCCGTCCCCTCACCTGTTCCAGGTCACTCCTGAGCGCCAGCGAAGCAGCACATGCCCCACGGGGCTGGGGCGGGAGGGCGCCGGCCATGGGCCCTGGCTCCACCGCCCCCCGCTTTGTCTCCTGTGGGCCCGCGAGGCTGGAGCCCCGGCCGGGGCGGGGCGGGAGGGGGGCGTGCCCCTCCCGGCCCCGGGGCTCACCTGTGCCCCTGCTGAGACGTCTGGGTTGCCCGCCCGCCGGGCTGACAGTGCTGAGTGAGGGGCGAGCTGCAGCCAGGAGAGGGCGCTGCCAAGACCGAGACAGGCCGGGTTCCTGCGGGGGGCGGTGAGGGGGCTGCAGGCGGGCCTGCCGCGCGCGGGGCGGCGTCTGCGAGGACCCGCAGAAGCCCGGGGAGAAGCGGCCTTGCGGGGCCTGCGGTCGTGTGCCCCCCGGGCCCTGCAGCTGAAATGGGTGTCAGCAGTGGAGGACAGCGTCGCCCTGTGTGAGGAGGCGCTTGGTGCGTGTCAGCGACCGCGGGACTGACGGAGCAGGCCGCGGTCCTCACGTGTCCCCTGACCCCGGCGCTGACTTCCGCTGTGCGCTGACTGCCGCGGGCCTGTCAGAGGCTGGTGGTTAGTAGTTGGGTTTGCCTTTGGGAGAATTTCACAAAACAGACACCAACCCACTAAGAACCCAGGGGTTCAGCCTTTGCTGCTGTGGCTCAGTGGACTGAGCACCGGCCTGTGAACCACAGGGTCGCTGGTTCGATTCCCAGTCAGGGCACAGGTCTGGGTTGCAGGCCAGGTCCCCAGTGAGGGGCATGAGAGGCAACTGATCACTGTTTCTCTCCCTCTTTCTCCCTCCTTTGCCCTTTCTCTAAAAATAAATAAGTAAAATCTTTTTTAAAAAAAGATACTATATTTAAAAAACCAAATCTGCTCAGGCCCAGACACCGAAGAGGAAGCCTGGCCCTGGGCATGCCTCTGTGACTGTCACCTCACTGCCACCGGACCCAGGTCTGTCCGGGCCGTGCAGGAAGCCCGGCCTCTAATAAGCACAGAGGGCACCGCGAGGAACCTGCTCCCCGGCGGCCGCCCAGCACGGAGACGGGGCGGAGCCCAGACCTGCCTCCCCGGCCGGGGCTCCGCGGGGTGTAGGGGTTGGAGGAACCTGGGGACGGGGGCCACTGGCGGCTTCAGCACCAGCTCTCCCTGGACAGCGGCCTTGCGCCCCCGACCCCGTCTGGTGTCCGGTTCCGGCTCTGTGTGCCGGGGGACGCGGAGAAGCTCCCCGTGGGGAGTGCCCACGCGAGGGGCCTCCCTCTCGTGTTCCCCCGACTCGGGTCCCCGCGAGACCGTGGCGTGCCTGTGGACGCTCGTGTCACACTGCAAATCCGGGGAGACTGCCTTAGGTCTCGGTGCGTCCGTCTGCTCGTGTGCGCGTTTCCGAGGAGAGTTCTTGCGGAAAGAGAGGGCCGGGGGCTCGCGTGCCTCACCCTCCTGGAAAGGCGTCCGCGCACTCGCGTGCCCCGGGGGCGGGGGTTTGGCATCTGTTCTCCTTGGGCGCGAGCCCGTGCCTTTGGCTTCTCTGCTGCTCCCAAGACGTCAGCCGTCGATCTGACCCCTTGTTGTCAGTCTGTCTCCCCCCCTGCAGCCCCCAGCCGCTGGACGTGTTCTGGTCTGCAGTCTCCCTTCCCTGCAGATGCGATCCCCTTCCCCGTCCCTCCACGGGCCGCCCAAGGGTGCGGGAGGCTCTAAATCACCCGGCCTGGGCGGCACAGCCTGCCAGCTCTGGGAGAAATACAGGCCTTTTCCCCGGCAAATCACTGTGCCCGGTGGGCGACAGCGCAGAGTCCCCCGAGACACGAAGGTGTTCTGGGGATTTATGGGCCGGCGAGCCTCCTGTCGGTGGGGGGCGGGGACCCGCGTGTGGCCTGAGGCGACTTGACTGCCGCGGAAGCTCCAGGAGATGAGAGGTAGGGACGGGCGGAGAGTGGGACTCGATTAAACGCAGACACTTCTGCGGGCAGTCAGTCACTGCGGAGCCACCTCCAGCTTCGACCGAAGCCTGCAGAAACTGCATCAAAAGACAGAGAAAATGGCCTGGCTGGTGGCGCCGTTGGTTGGAGCATCACCCCCTGCACCAGAAGGTCATGGGTTCGACCTCTGGCTGGGGCATATAGGGGAGGCAACCAATCAGCATTTCTTTCTCCCGAGTCTCAGGGTCTTGGGTCTGACCGGAGATGTGGCCCGTTGCTGCGGAGGGTGGGGGGCCGGAGGGAGCGTCACCGCCCCCCACATTCCTGCTGGAGGAAGCCCGGGGAGCCCGGGCAGCTCCCCACGGCCGGCGGGGTCCCCTGTGAGCGGGAGGCCGCCCTGCGAGGGGAGGGGCAGCGCCGTGGGGCAGGCCCGCCCTCCTCTGCTCCTTCCTCGGCCGCCTGCCTCCCTCCCTCCCTCCCTCCCACGCTCGCTCCCTCGGCCGCGTCCCCTGCAGTTCCCGTGCGCCGAGTGTGTGACATTTGAGAGGCCGACCTGGCCGGGCGATGCTGGCACGGCCGGCGGGGCCTCAGAGACCTGCCGCGTCATCCCCGCGCCGGCGCGCCGCGCAAACCCTGGCAGTTCGACGGCCCTCGGCCACAGGCCGCCGTGGCTCCATGCAGAGCCTCTGCCGTGCTGACGTTCAGTTTACTGCCTCTCATTTCAAAGCCCTTAGAAACATTAATGAGTTCCCACGAGGCCCCAGGAGGCGCGTGCCTGATGCTCGAGTGCCTCGCACGCCAGCCCGTTAACGCGTCCTGCCGGGCGCCGGGCGAGGACACGCGGCGGAGTCATCCCGGCAGCCCCGCGGGGAGCCCTTGCTGGAGCCGAGGTCGGGACAGCGGGCCCCGGGTTTATCGGCGTCTCTAAGCACCGCGGACGCCGTGGCCTTGCGTGTGGTTGGGAACACGGCAGTCCTGTTCAGGACGAGTCTCGGGAGACAGCCCCGCACATGCTGGGGGCGGTGCGGGGGGGGCAGAGCCCAGAGGAGCCTGGCGGGAGGGGGCGCCTCTCACTCCCACACCAGGGTGCCCGGCGGTTTGTGGGCCCAGGCACCGCGAGGTCGGCCTGGCTCCTGGGGACGGCGCGGGCGCAGCGGATCGCGTGTTGGGGCCCCGAGCCCCTCGTGCGGGCGGCGTCCCTGCAGCCTGGGAGAGCCGGCCAGTGCAGGGGCGCCTGGGACCCAGCGCCGGGGCTCGGTCTGGACCTCAGCCCTGCTGTCACCCTTCCCGAGTGCACGCCCACCCGAAGGCCCCGGTGAGACCGGCTGCTGAGGTCAGGCGTGGTTTGCGCCTGGTCTGGCCACCACGGAGCCGACTTCCAGAAACATCTGAATCCTGGGGTGCACAGGCCACGTCAGGGTGCCTGAGGTGCTCTGGCTGGAAGAGCCGCTGCCCTGGGCCCTCCGCTCCGTCCGCGTGTGTTGGGGGAGGGGTGCTGCTCTGCGTCCTCGGGGCTGGCGTGGGCGCGGCCGTGTGGGCGTGGCATCGCAGCAGAATGCGCCCTTCTGTCTCGCGGAGCTGCAGCGTGGCCGACCAGCCGCCCCGTCTCGTTTCAGTGGACCAGCCGCCGGTGTGCTGGCGTGGAGCCCCACCTCCCCACCACCCAGGGCACAGACCGGCCGTTTGTCAGGAACGAGTGGGGGACATCTGTCCGTACCGTTTCCCTGACCGCTGACCCGCGCAGTTCCAGACAGCGGAGTGGCCGTGCCTCTGGTGACCTGTCACAGCACTGACTGCTGCGGTCAGTGCTGTGACCATCAGGAGTCACTCGGCAGCTGTGGCCAAAAACACAGCTGGTGGAGGACTGCAGACCACGCCCACCCCCAGGGCCCCAGTCTCGGCGGGTGCAGGGAGCTGCCCATGAGCACAGACGAGGGGTTCCAGCCCAGAGAGTGAAGAGCTGCTTCCTGCTCGAGGGCCGAGGGCTGGGCCCTGACCCAGTGCTTCCAGACCATGTGGTTTAGGAGGGCCCCAGCCCAGGGCAGCAGGCCGCCCCCCCCACAGGGGCCATCAGCTTGGGGCCCCTCTGAGCGACCCCATGCCCCTGGGGGCACGGCTCTGGCGGAAGCCCTGTGAGAGGGGTGCTCAGCCCCTCCACGAGAGGGACTCGGTGAAGACAAACACGAACACCTCTCTCGATAGGTGTGCTCACGCCTCCCGCCCCGGACCCTGGGTCTCTCGGGGTCGGCGCTCGGGCCTGCAGAGGGGGCGCCCTGCCACCCCGCGAGGGGCCCCGACACTGCCTTCCGGCCCCCGAGGGCTGTCCTTGCAGGGGCGAGGCTGCGGGAAGTTGGGGAGCTTGGTGTTTGAGTTTCGTCATCCTGCAGCTCTCGCAGCCCCGAGTCTCCGACGGACTCTGGGAGGACAGGCGCAGTGTGTCCCCAGGACCCCCACTGTGACCGAGTGTGTGCCCAGCGCACGCGTAAGCAGGCGACGCAGGCCTTGTCAGTCGTGTGCCGGGGCCGTAGGGTGTGCGCTGGGCCCGCGTCCGGTGGTGCTCCTCGCCGTAACCCTCCTGTTTCCTTCGGGAGGTGGGGGGCGCTCTCGGGCCGGCCCCTCTGTCCAGTGAGTGAGTTTCCACAACCACCGGGTAATGCCACCCGCACCCCGGTTGTGCGGACGCAGTGCTCGGGCCCCGGCCCGGGGCGCGCAGCCCGCGGTGCCAACTCGGAGGTGGGGGTGCGAGTCCCAGGTGCCCCCCGAGCCCATCTCAGCTTTGTCGCTTCTCCCTCCCGCGACAGGCCCGGTACAAGCAGAGCCTGGACCCGACGGTGGACGAGGTGAAGAAGCTCTGCACGTCCTTGCGCCGCAACGCCAAGGAGGAGCGGGTCCTCTTCCACTACAACGGCCACGGGGTGCCCAGGCCCACGGTGAACGGGGAGATCTGGGTGTTCAACAAGGTGAGCGCGGCCCCAGCCCGGCGCCGGGCCTGTGGGCCCCGGGTCAGCCGCCTCCGCGGCACCTGCTGGGCGGGGTCCCCGGGAAGGTCTCCGTGAGCGCTGGGGGGGCTCTCTGTGGGGTCTTGCGGCCATGAGGCCCGCTCCTGCGGTGGGCAGGCCGTTCAGACTCTCGCTTCCGCTTCGGGTCACTTCCAGTGAGCGGGATTTTTAGAGACACTTTCCGTGTAATTTGACTTGTTAAATTTATTGGCACAAAGTCCGTCCCATTTCCGTGTGTTTCCGTGTCTGTGGGATGGGTGGTGATGCCGCCCCTTCCGCTCCTCCGCGGGGCCTCGTCATCTCCTCCCTCCTCTGTCCTCTCCGCAGGGTCTCCTCCCGTGTCCATCCTCTCACACACTCACACACACACTCAGTCACGCACACACACTCAGTCTTCGCTACGCCAACCTCCTCTCCTGTCTGTCTGCGCTTTTACTGGCTTGTCCTCCCTCCCCCCCCCCCTTGAGTGTAGTTGCTCATTATTTTCTTGCTTCTTATGGTGGGAATTCAGATTTTAACTGTAAACCTTCCTTCCTTTCTCCTAAGAATTCAGGGCTACCCACTTTCACCGACAAATCGCAGTTTCCCCGTCGTTCCGTCCGGGTCATTTTGGTTTCACCCTGTGATACCTTGTGGTGGGTGTGCGCTGTCAGATTTCCGAGTGTCTGGGGATTCCCGGCTGCCCCGTAGTTCAGGGGCAGTGCTCGGAGAGCACACTCAGTGCGGGGTCGGTCCTGTGGCCTCACGGAGACGCCTCCGTGACCCGGCGTGCAGCCCGGCGTGGGGGGCACCCGAGAACGAGCGTTCCGCAGGGCCGGGCAGGAGCCTGCCTTCGCTCAGCCGGAGTCGGGGGGCGCTGCTCCCGCCCTGTACGTCCGTTCTGGTTTTCTTACCCGGAAGAAATGCCACCACTGCCTCCGGCGTTTTCTTTGGGAGGAAGCTGCTACCTATCAGCTGTGACCTGCCGCTGACGGGCAGACGGCTGCTGTCCACCTCTGCGGCCTGGATGGCGGGTCTGGTCCTGGCAGACGCTCCGGGCGCCTTGCACGCTGCTGTTAAGGGCTTGCACACTCAGGACAGCTGATGTCGCCATGGCCTGTCCGTGTGTCCTTACGACTGTCGCCTCGTCCCTGGGACGCTCCTCGTCTCGAAGTCTGGCCGCCCCAGCGCTCTCGTCACCGGGGATCGCGCGGCCCACCCGTGTGCGCTGGAGCCCCGTGCGCCTGTGCGCGTCGAGGGCGTCTCCTGCAGGCGGCGGAGGGCGGCCGCACCCCGGCCGTGTCTGAGACACCCTCCAGGGAAGGCGGGAATTGAGCCGGAATGCAGAGCACCCCGGAGGGGGCCTGTTGCGCCCCGTCTGAACGCGGGGCCGTCGGGAGGAGGAGGAGGACGTGAGTCCCAGACCGGGGGGAGAGGTCTGCAGAGCACAACCCGGTGAAGGACTCGCACCCAGAACGAGCAGAGCTCCCAAGACACAGGCCACGCCGTCCTCGCTTCTCCTCAGAATGGCGCGAGGCCGTGCAGGTGCGCCCTCTCGGGGAGGGGGCCGTGGGGGTGGCGGCTGCCCCAGGGTCCTCCCTCGTCCCGTGCGCCTGCTGCCCGTCGGCCGTGGAGTCGCTTCTGGCAGCAGAATGCGCTCCGGCCGGCGTGGAACGGCCCAGACGGTCGGACGCCAGCCCCCCGTGAACGGAGCGTGGACTGCGGACACTTCCACGCCTCACTCGGCGCCGCCTGCTTCCACCTGCCTTCGGAAGGTGGGACCTTCTGCCGGCTGCTGGGTGCCACTGTCCTCGTCGCAAACCCCGTTCCCTACGAGAAGCTACTCATGGCCGCAGCCAGGAACTGCTCGGAGGAGTTCATCTCAGACGCAGACAGAACTCCAGGCTGACCCGTACCCATAACGCCCGTCCGGCAGGGACAGTGGATGCCTCAGAGCCACGCGACTCAGGACAGCTGCTCCACGGACCGGCAGGGCGGAAGAGCCAACTGCGGCGGCAGTGCCTTCGGCAGCGTGCGAGGGAGGCGTGGGCTCCTTTCCGTGGCTCGAGATCACGTCCACAGGCACCCAGACACTGCGGGGCCTCGCACCCCGAGTCCCAGCCGGCCGTGACCTCTGGAGGGTTCAGAGGGCGCAGAGAGGCCAGCTGTGTTATTACGTAAAAATTTTACATTTTTACGCTACGAGAAAAACGCTAAAGAAGTCAGCTGACAGATGGGGGAAATGCTTGCAGCGCACAGAGCAGATTAGGCCGGTGCCCTCAGCGAGCAAACACCTGCCATAAGCCAATTAGAAGCCTTCAGCCGAACAGCACAGGAGAACCACGGATGAAGCGTGTGGGCAGGAGAGTCTGAAGACGAGAAGCGTGAATGGCCCGGAAGGACAGGCACAGGTCTGACCCGTGAGCACAGCAGCAGTGAAACCACACTGTCGAGTCTCGGAGAAAACGAAGGAGCCAGCCCCCGACCTCGGCCCCCGGCCCGTGGCTGTGACCCCACGACCCGGCCCCTGGGGCCCCGTCGGCTCGGCAGCCGTGCCCACGAAGGAGCGCAGAGGTGGACACGGAGACCGTGCGTGCAGCGCTGCTGGCAGGGCCGGACCGGGAACCAGCGCGAGTTTGCCCACATCCCCCAGCGCCTCTGCGAGCGCAAGGTGGGCGGAGTGAACTGTGCAGGAGGGGCGGCAGGTGACCAGGTTCGGAAGGGAGGCGCAGCAGTCCCTCAGGACCCAGGGTCCCACGCCCCCCCCCCTCCCCCGGAGTGCGTGGTCGTTCACGGAGGGAGGGCCTTTCCGGTGGGATGCAGGGCGCTGGCAGAGGCCTCGCCAGGGAGAGCGTGCAGGGGCGGCCTCGGGAGGGGGGGGGGGCGCGAGCATTTCGTCCTCCCTCTACGCTTACCTGCCTGCTCGCAACGGGCTTTAGTGAGTTTCATAATAAAGACTGGAAAGCGTGCTGAGAGAAAGCCTTGCCAAGCGTCTCGCCTCAAACGTGGAACGGGGAAGGGCCGGCGGGTCCCGGGGGAGCGGAGCCTGCGCCCGGTTCCTGAGCGCGGAGGCGTGAAGGGGGCCCGTGGGTGGGGGTCTGCTCTTCCTGGGCAGGCAGGAGCCTTCGGGCGGTGCATTTCCTGCTCCCTGAAGCTTGTCAACAAGCAGAGTGGGATCGGTTGTTTACTCTTCCAGCGGATTGGTGCAATCCCCTGGTACGTTCCCGGTATAACTACATGAAGTGTCCCTCGAACTAAACGCCAGGCTCTCCCGGGCCGCCGTCTCGCGGAGGGGCAGACCCCCAGCTGCCCGCCCTGCTCCCGCCACGGAGGAGACCACTCGGCGCCCCGGGGTCCCGCTGCCCGGGGCGGGCCTGGCGTGAGCAGAGGCGCAGCCACAGCAGGGCGGGGACGCTCTACAAGCAAACCCGGTCTCTGGAGCTCACGAGTCGGGGGCGGTGGTCGTAGGTGGGAGCCGTCACCGCCTCCTGCTGTCCCCTCCGACACTGCCACACCAGCACCGGCCCGTCCCCCTGCCCCTCAGGGCCGTGTTCGGGAGCCCTGGGCACCCGCGGCCCTGTTGGGCTTACACGCACTGCTCACCTGCTGTGGCGTGTCACCCCAGGAACCGCAGAATGACAGAGCGCCCCAGCCCACACCGCCGGCTCCCCATCCTCTCACCAGGGCCTGGGGTCCACCTCCTGCCCCCAGAGCCCCATGCCCTCAGGCCTGCCCTCGTCCACCTGCTGGGTCCTCCTCACCGGCCACGCACAGAGTCTCCTCCCGCCCTGGGTGCGTCCTCCTGCACCCCCGCCGCCGCCTGCCTTCACAGCCGGACTGCCTCTGTCCCGAGACGGACGCACAGACCGAGGAAGACGGGCTGTTCTCCCTGCACACGGAAGGGCGGGGGGCGCCAGGCTGGGACGGGGGTGCTCGGGGCGCAGGCCCCACACAGCAGGGCACTGCCATGCCCCCCACCCCCCAGCCACGGAAGACCTGCGTGGGGCGCCCCGTCCAGGAACACGCTCCGCGGATCTGGTCTCCAGACACAGATCGCCCGAGGCGCCGGTCAGGATGGTCCGAGGCTCGTCTCCCAGCACCGAGGAAACGCTCCCTGAAGCCTGCCTCTCCTCCGAGACACGGCAGGGGCCCCCGGCACGTCTCCGCCAGCGCCACGCAGTCCTGGCGCCTGCAGAGAGAACGGTCACGTCTGCACGAAAACCAACAGCCTTCCCGGCGGCGGCCGGGCACAGCTCTCGTGCGCCGCCCCCGTGGCAGCCGACGCTCCCGGGCCAGCACCTCCTGCTGCCGCCGCCCAACTGCAGCCCCACGAGGCCTTCGGGGCGGCGGGGGGGCCTCCCGCTCGCCCTGCCCTCCCCTCCGTGCCCCTCGGACCACAGCTGTGCAGGCACAGGACTCGGGGGGCCCAGCAGGGTGTCCGTTTTCACAGGACTCGGACCTCGGGTTACAGTGGGAGGGGACCTGTGGGAGGCGACTTGTCGTCCTCTCACAAGGGGGGCGCTACCACTCTCAGGGTGGGCGCCGGGTCACAAAGTGCCCCCCCCCGCCCACGCACCCGGCACTTGGCCGCCTCCAGGGTGAGCTCGGCGCGGCTGCCGCCTGGTGTTTAATGTGCCCTGACAGGCAGTGCCTTGTGATGAATAAATTATCTAAAACCTCTTTCTGCTTCCTCGCTCGCAGGGAAACCGTGGCCTTGGCTGTGTTTTCCCAGAGAGAAGCAGCTCTGGTGAGGACTGTCTGTGCCCGCGGTGTGGGGGGGGCGCCCCAGCCCACTGCCCCGACAGCTCTGGGGGTCGGGCGGCCGAGGCACTCACGGGGGCTCTGGGTTCCGGTTCTGCTGCTGGTGCAGGCAGCTCAGCCCGGAAGGCCAGGCGTGTTCCAGGGCCAGAGAGAGACGGTCGCTCTGGGTGTTGGTCCCTGTTGCTGCCTCTGCAGGAGGCTCCCCCGGCGCCCAGGCCGGCACCCAGCGTGCCTGGGGGCTGTTGCTGCAGCCCGGAGCCGGACCCACTGCCCAGGCCCTTCCCGAGCGGGGGCCTGTGGTCTGGGGGCTGCGTGCTCCTGTTCCCACCGGGCCGGTTCCCAGAGGTCCTCGTCCTCGGGCAGTTCAGTAGCTGATGCTGTGCCCCTGGAGAATGGGCTGCCCAGCAGGGGGCCTCACTGGCCCGAACTCACACAGCGGGCGTTGTAAGTGAACTTCTCCCCACTCCGAGGCCGAAGTTCCCACCCGGGGAGATCCCCCTCAGGTGACATTTGGGACAGTCCAGAGATCTTCCTGAAGGTCACAGCCGGGCGGGCTGGGCGAGAAGGGTTCCTGGCGGGCAGCAGTCGAGGTCATGGGTGCATGGAAACGTCACGCAGTCTCAGGGCAGTGCTGTGCCCATCACTTCGCCACAGGTGACTCCCCCCACGGTGGGCGGAGCAGCCACAGGGCATGAGCATCTCAGGGGCGCCCTCTCTGCAGGGAGGGTCCCGGGGCCCCCCCAGCCAGGACCCGGGAGGCTGGGGACCAATCAGGGGGAGGCGCTGCCCGAGTGCCGCCAGCCGTGCTCCGACGAGGGCTTTCCTCCCGGGTCAGGGCTTCCTTGCTTTGCTGAGTCACCATTAATCTTGTTTGTGCCTCAGAAATGTGAAATACAACTTCTGATTTCGGAGGAAATAAAAAAATTGGGTTCCAGCTCAAAAGACAAGCTCTCAGAACGTGACGTGTTAAAATGTATCTCACGTCTTGCCTCCCGGCGGCCCAAGGGGCCTGTTCCTGGAAGGCGGCGAGGCCGACAGCATGCCGCTTCGTCCCCAGCCTCACTGGGGCTCGCGGCTCGGACACGCGCAGAACCGCAGCAGCTGCGTGTGGACGGCCCCCGCGGGGCCGAGAACCCCCTGGTGCAAACCAGCACCACTTGGGTGGCCGCACACGGACGCACGGCGACCTCCCAGGCGGCTGCCGCACCCTCTCTCCCCTGAGGGCGGGTGTCCCTGCCCAGGTGAAGGGTGCACTGGCCCTTCTCCCCTCCCCCACCCCCCCCATCCGTGGGGGCCACGAGGTCGCTGTGGAGGGGAGGTTCCTGCGGGGGGCCGTTGCCACTGTGCCGTGGCGGCGGTCACGCCTGTCTTGCGCCGTCCAGTGGGGTGCACGCTGAAGGCTGTCCACCTGGGCAGGTGACGTGCACCCCGTAACCCTTATCAAACAGCGAGAGGATGGACAAGCACAGGCTTGCCCTTTCTGCCCTCCTTGTAACAGTGGGTGTACGCTTTGTCTCTAAATGAAAGTAATTTATGAAGTTTCCACAAGACACAGCGGCGCCCCTCCCCCACACGCACACCCCGGCCTCCCCGGCCGGAGTCCCGGCACACACAGCCGGTCCCCGTGCGCCCACACCGTGGGTCCTGTGACGGGCGAGGCTCCGTCACGCGCACTTTCCAGTCACCGCGAGCCTCTGGCGCCCCCCCAGCCGCTGCACGTGGGCCGGCCGTCTTTCTGCAGCGGCTGGGCACCCCCCCCCCATGGGATGTGTCCGGGTCCAGGACGGGCCGTGACAGTGTGCGTGGCCGTCTGGGCCGCGGTGGCACCATCATGGCGTGGGGCCCAGCTCCGCTGCCCTCGCGCCCGTGCTCCGCACAGTCCGGGGTGGCCTGCCGTGAGCACGTCCCTTCCCGGGGGCGAGGGGGCGAGCCTGGGCAGACGCAGCGGAAGTCAGGAGTGGGGGACAGCACAGTCCCGTCGCGGAGTGGCCGTCCTCTGCGCTGGGCTGAAGTGCAGCCTTCTCCCCCGTGGCGCCGTCTGGCTTCCCCGTCCCCGGTCCTTCAAGTGCGTTCAGCGTCTGGCACTGCGAGTCCCCGCTCGCTGTCCTCCACCAGACCACCACCTCCCGCTCTCCCGTGCCCTCCGGCCTGCCCTGCGGGTGTGGACCCCCGGCTCCCCAGGGGAGACCCGACGCCTTCCGAATCCTCCCGCCAGAGTCTAGCCAGGCCTCCTGCCGCGTGTTCTCCTGCACGGCACGTGGTGACGAACAGGCCACCGCACACGGGCAGTGAGGGGCCCAGGGCCCGCAGAGTGCGGGCCCAGCCTGCCGAGCTGTGACTCGCAGCTGGCACTTTGCTCTGCTGCTCATCGTGACCTTGATGACACGTTCCCAGGCCTGTCGGTCTTCCGTCCTGGTCCCTCCGCACCACGGCCTTGCAGACAGCCCCGCTGGCAGCACCGGAGGCCGTGTGGGAGCCCCAGCTGCCAGAACACGGTCCCCTTCGCCCCAAGTGCACGGGGTCGACTTCCACCAGACTCGCCGCTGGGTCGGCGCTGGGCGGGGCGGGGCAGTGGGTGCAGAGTGGCTCAGGGACGTTCTGCCGGGCGAGCACCTGGAGCAGGCATGTGCACCGTCTCCCCCTCCCCGCGCACCCTGTGCCCCTGGAGAGCACTGAACGGTGCGGTGTGCCCAGAAGGCCGCTCCCCACGGCAGGGCTGTGCTCCTGCTTGTGGTTCGGAGCAGGGCAGGGCCCGGCCCGCTGCGCCCCTCACCCGGGGGTGTCCCGCCACCCCGAGGGCACGTGCTCTGGCCGTCTCCGGAATGACCGGGACAGTGGGGACAAGCAAGGGCGGGCCTTGTGCGTCCCCTTCACCGTCAGGTGTGCCCTGGGATAGCACGGAGCCGTTCCAGTCGCGCTGGGCAGGGAAGCGGTGTGGAAAGCGTGTCCCTCGGTCAGCTGAGCCGTGGGGAGCGGGGTGACACCGAGGGCCCAGGGAGGGAGACCCCGCAGCGGGAGCCAGCACGAGCCGAGCCCCCGGCCAGTGTGGGCCTGGGGGCGCAACGGAGCAGCATGGGCTGGACCCACCGGTGGCCGCCCCCGGCCCTGGCCGTCCCGGTCCTCGCCGTCAGCGACAGCCTGGGCCCTGGCCCGCGGGCGGGACCCCCCCCCCGACACCGAGGCCCTGGCAGCGAGCGGCCCCCGGTGCGAGCCCCGCGCGTCCCCGTCTCTTGCAGAACTACACGCAGTACATCCCGCTGTCCATCTACGACCTGCAGACGTGGATGGGCAGCCCGTCCATCTTCGTCTACGACTGCTCCAACGCCGGCCTCGTCGTCAAGTCCTTCCGGCAGTTCGCGCTGCAGCGGGAGCAGGAGCTGGAGGTGAGGCTCCGGGCGCCCCGCGCCGGGTCCTCGGGGCGGGGGCTGCTCTGAGCGGCCAGACAGCCAGCGAGGGAGCGCGGGGAGTCGCGGGGGGGCAGCAGCTGGCGGAGTTGTTCTTGCATCCCCGTTACTGAGCGTCACTGTGGACCGGAACACAGCTGCTGGCGCTAGCGGAGTCGGTCTGTGGTCTGCGGGCCGGAGGTAAACTACCAGTGACCGGAACAGCTTGTCTGGGGAGACACGGACCTGCATCTTACTAGTGTCTGTCTGTCGGTGCCTCAGTTCTCTCGTTTCCAAACCAAAACAAAAAACCGAGACGAAACAGGCCCACCCACTCAGCTCAGTGCAGAAAACCGGCCAGAACGGTTGCCCCCGGGCGTCCGTGGAGGGCGCCCAAGAGCTGCGCGGGGCTCTGTCCGCGGGGACGCGGCCCGCCGGGCAGCTGTAGTGAACGCGCGACGCTGAGGTCAGCGGTGAGCTCTACAGAGAGGTCGGGGAGGCGGCTCCCGTTGCCAGCCCCCGCCCGCTGCCGCTGCCGCTGCCGCACGGGAGCGTGGGAACAGGCGCTCCAGGGGCCCAGGCCGCAGAGCAGGGAGTTCTCGGCTCGGGAGCAGGGACGCCCCGGCGTGCGGTGCCGCGGGCCGTGCGCAGCCCCGACGGCGACGGTGCCCGTGTTCTTCCGTTTCATCGGCGCGCACCGCTGTCACGCAGTGTGCATCTTACAGTTTGAGTCGAGTCCTCACACACGACACTGCCAAGAGCGTCTGAGGAGCATAATGCCTCCTCCTCCTCCTCCCGAAGACGGGCCCGAGAGCCGGGAGCAACCGTCGTCGCCGTCTCTGCGCCTGCCGTGGGAGACGGCGGAGCTCAGGCCACCCGGGGACAGGCCGTCTCACGGGCACCGGAGACACACCGCGCCAGGAGGCAAGCTGCCTCTCCTCGCATCGGGAAATGAATACCGCAAAGGGATCTTGTGCATTTACAACGTGTGCGTGAGAGTGCCAGGGCACCCCACCTGACTCCACACCTGGCAGGTGAGTTTCTGGGTGCCCGGGAGAGACGTGTGTGTCGGCCTGGCCCCCGGAGCACACTCACCGCTGCACCTGCGGCCTGCAGCCCCGGCCCCCGCCCCGCGAGTGCGTCTGTGTCCTCCTGCACTGCCACTCCCGACTCTGTGCGGACGTCCGTGCCCCGTCTGTGCTGCCGAGGGCTCGTCGGCCAAACGTCGGTTCCTTCCGCCGAGTGCAACAGCGAAGATTCCCGTGCACCCTTCCGAGGGGAGAATGGCTGACGGGCTGGCCAGGTCCCGACAGAGGAGAGGAAACGCAAGTCTGTCATCTGGCCCGGCCGCCCGCGTGCTTGAGACTTGGCTCCGATGGCGTCTCCGCCCCTTTTTCTGCCACAGCACGGAGAAGCCGCGCTCTCCCACGGCCCCGCTGTTGCTGGCTGCCGTCCCCTCGCTGTCCTGCGCGAGCAGCAGACACTGACACCGGCTCCCGGTGCCTGTCCTCGCAGGCCAGTTAGTCCTCCCACCGTCTGCCCTCCTCTGGGCCTCTTTGGCTCGTTCTTTTACAAACTCTTACATTTTAACACTTTCATTGCGTAGATGGTCACAGGAGAACTGAAAGAAGTCGGGGGGTCCACTGTTCATGCCAGCGTTTAAAAAACAGAGCAGAAACGATTAAGTGCGAGAAAACGGTCGTGGTGGGGGCGGGGGCGTGCTCCCTCCCCCGGTACTCCGCCCCCAGCCCGCCCTCTGGCCGGGCACGGCGGCCACATCCCTGTCTCCCTGCCGCTCTCCGCAGGTCGCCGCCATCAACCCCAGCCACCCGCTGGCCCAGATGCCGCTGCCCCCGTCCATGAAGAACTGCATCCAGCTGGCGGCGTGCGAGGCCACCGAGCTGCTGCCCATGATCCCTGACCTCCCGGCCGACCTGTTCACGTCCTGCCTGACCACCCCCATCAAGATTGCCCTGCGCTGGTGAGTGCCCCCCACCCCCCCGCAGGGTGCGCCGGGCCCGAGGCACACAGGTCCCCCGCTGGCCCGCGTGTTGGTGCCCGGTCTCGGACGTGACACTGGGCTCAGGCGGGGGTTTCGGCCCCCCCACCCCCCGTCCTGGGTCGGTTGCGTGTGCGGTCCGCTCGTGCTCAGCGTGTGGGTGTCGCAGGCAGCACCCGGTGCACCCGCAAGTGGACTTCCTCCTGGGGGCAGAAAAGGCCGTCGTGAAAGGAGAAGTCATGAGATTCCTTGCCTGAGTTGAAGTGTAACCTTCCAATAGTTTAAGAACTTTAAAACAGACCGTGACTTCTTCTTTCTTGCCATCGTTCTTCTGGCAGTTCGGTCTGTGACCGTGGCCGAGAAGACGCGGAGGGCACTCCACTGCAGTGGAAGGAACCCGCACGCCAGGCCCTGCGTCCCCAGCAGGCCTCACGGGGGGACGCACACGTTGTCTCCTGTGCCCGATCCCAGGTCCTCCCGCCCACTGTCCTGCCAGGCTCTCCGCACCGGCCGTCTGGGCTGCGGCTCGCTGCAGAGTAGGGCTCGCTGCGCAGTAGCCGCCATCCTGCTGAGGGGTGGCCAGGCCTGTGGGAGGCGGCGGGTGCTCCCTGCCCTGGACAGCCCGGCGGCTCCTTCCCCCGAGCCCGGGAGAAACTGCCGGCACAGGTGTGGGCTCCGGGACTTCTGCTCCGCCTCGGACGGAGGGCGGATTTGTTCCGGGACGTCTGAGAGAGACTGGGAATGACCCCAGGTCCCCGTGGGCTCGGGAGCTGCTGTGAAGTGATACGGACGCCGTCACGTGGTGTCGGTCCGTGAAGGTGACGGACGTTCTCCAGGACTGAACAGACGTCAGGGAGCTTGTGGCCTTCTAGCTGTGTCGGAATTTCGAGGGGTTTCTGTGTTGATGACGCAGCCTTGCCGTGTGCTCGTCAGCTTGGAGTGTCGTGTCGTGCCGTGCCCGGCTGGCCCAGCGGGAGGCGGCAGTGGAAACCCCCCCACCCCCCCATGCAGGGGTGTGGGCCTGGCCACGCGGGGTGAGGTGCCGGCTCGGTTGGGACCCTCGCCGCAACACTCGCTGGGTGTCTTTTCTTCGAAACCCGGCCGAGAATCACTCGGAATTACCTGGGAACACAAATGCTCGCCAGTTTTCATTGACCTTAGGCTTAGCCACGGGTTCCCCCTGGAGTCTCCCAAGACACGTCTTTGCTGGAGGGCGGCTTCCTGCCTGCTCTCCGCACGCCGCTGTGAGCTTGGTCTGCCTCTCAGGAGGGGGCAGGCCGCCGCCTCGCTGGTGCCGTTTGGAGACGACGTCGGGGGGCCTCCGAGAGCAGCCCAGAGACGCTGGAGGACAAAGACACCTGGCCCCTTACCCGCCGCGACGTCACAGTCCGAGTCTCAGGCCTGAGCGGAGGGAGGCAGAGGGCGGCATCCGCACGGCTTCCTCCCTGGGGCCTTCTCGGGGTGGCCTTCGCCGCGGCCCAGCCCGTCCGCACAGACCCCAGCAAGCGTGCCTCCGCATCAGTGTCAGAGTCTGCCTGCTTATGTAACCTGTCACGCGCCCACCTTGAAAAAGGACTTCTCCTCCCTGAAGTAGACGATGTGCTCTCGCTGTTCCAGTCTCCTGACGTGCACTCAATTAAGATGAATACCATGATGTTTTGTAACAGAGCTCCTTTGAAAAAGCGGACATGCAAACACCTGATTTATGCCACTGAGGAGGAGAGCTGACGCAGACGGAGCGCGGGGGGCTGCCGACCCCTCCGCCCCACCCAGCCCTCGGGGTGCGGCCGGAGAGCGTGACACTGATGGGTCTCCTGGCGCGTGCCCGCAGCCCGACGTCGGAAGTGGTGCGGAACCCTGGGGGCTCGCTGAGGCCACCGGGGCAGGAGGGGCGATGGGGGCGGGGAGGACTGGGGGTGCGGGCAGGCCGGGTGGGGGGGCTTTCTGGTCGTGCGTGCGAGTGGCCCATCTCCCCCCGGCTCAGGCAGGCACAGCTCGGGTGGGAGAAGGAAGGAGGTCCCTTGTGGGTCGGCAGGAGCACTGCCCCGGAGAGGAGTTCCAGCCGAGGACAGCGCATCCTCGGGGAGACGAGGGGACGCCAGACACAGGGGGCAGAGACAGGCAGGTGGGGAGCCCTCGCAGCCGCAGACCTGGCGAGGGAAACGGCCCTCCGGACATGGAGACTGTGGACGTCGTGGGGGCCAGAGCAGAGTGGGCTCCAGGGTTCTGACCGGAGACGGAATTAGGGTGTGGCCGTTCGAGATACTTAAGATCTGGACCATGGGAAACAAACACAGGTCTCAGTCTGTTAGAGAGAACCCCCGAGGGGATGCGAGAAGAATGCTCCATTTTCACACAAGAAGAACCCACTCCTCTCCAAACGAAGGCAGAAAAGGGAAGGTCGGCAGATCGGAAATGGAAGACACGGTGGCGAAGCTTCGAGACAAAAGTGAATCTGTAGCTGCAGACGAGCTGGAGCCACCCACCCCTCACAGGACGGCGGCGCTCGGGTCGGATGGAGCCCCGTGCGCAGCCCCTCGCACCCGGGACGCCCGTCTCCGGCCAGGCGCCTGGGAGGCTGGAAGAGGGGGTGCAGAGGGGACCCGGAGCACTTCAGTGAGCGGAAGCAGCATCTGAGAGGAAACACGGACAGGGACGCAGGAAAACAGTTATCACCGCAAAAAAAAAGTCAGATCAAAAGGATGCCAGGTAGATAAAAAAAGGAAAATAGATACTGCGATGCCAGGTAGGGGAAAAGTGGGCAAAACGGAGCAGAGATTAATAGTGGGGTTAATTAGCTCCCTCGCACGCAGGTGCACGGCCCCACGCCTGCACACCCAGGACACCCGCTGTTCGGGGCACGTGGGCACCGCTGACGACGGAGACCGTGCTGGGCGGCGAAGGCGTGTCCGTGGGCGCGGCCCGGCCGGCTGGCGGCTGCCCTTGGCGGCAGCGCCCTCACCGGTCCTCCTCTTTGCCCTCCGCCTTTGCTTCCCCGTGGGCGGCGCTGTGCGGGGAGCGAGGCCCACGTGCCTGTCTGCGTGGAGGTCGCGGGCGCTGCTGCAGCCCGGCAAGGCGACACCGAGCCCTCCCGCGAACGTGCTCCGCGGAGAAACCGGAGACGCCGTACCCCGAGGCCGGGAAGGAGGCAGAGCTGCTCTCTGGCGTCCGGGCGGCGCTAGGCGTCCCGGCCATCGGCGAGACGGGACAGTGACGGGTCAGGAGTCTGCAGCCGCGCGCAAGCCTGGGACGCGGCGCCCCGCACGCCGCCGCTGCGCCCGTCAGCGGGGCGGCGCCTCCTGCCTCCGCGCACGCGCAGATGCGCTGGGAGGCGCCGGCCCGGTGCCCGCGCACCGGCGGGAAGGGGCCCCGCGGTGGGCACGGGGGTCGTTGGAGAGGGCCGGACCGCGCGGCCTCTCTCCGTCGGCCCGGCGACGAGGACCGGGACGGGGACAGAGCGGCGCTAAGCGCCGAGCAGAAGAAAGGCCACGACCGAGAGCAGCAAAGCGGACGGGAAGGGCGCGGACGTGGAGACCCTGAGACCCGACGGCGGTTTTTGGAAAGGCCGCCGGTTACTCACACGCGAGCCAGGGCGCTCCGGACAGAGGAAGACACGCGTTACCGGGTCGGAAGTGCCGCGGCGGTGGGGGCTGCCGCGGGGACCCTTCGGGGCGAGCCCTGGCTGCCCGCAACCCCGCTCAGGCCCGCGGACGAGCGCCGGGAGAGGCGCGGGCGCGGGAGACGCGGTCGCAGCCGCAGTCGCGGCCTCGGTGGTGGCATCGGCCGGCAGCCCCCGCACCCGCACCCGGGCCCAGGCGGCGCGCTCTGTGCCGAGGCCCCCGGCCCTCGGGCCCGCCCCCCAGAAGGAAGGCGGGGGGCCCCCCGCGCGTCCCTCACCTGAGGCCCGGCGTCCGACACCGCGAGGAGAGGAACGGCGAGAACCGGTCGGCCTCCCTCAGGACACCGTGAGCAGAGGCCCCGACCACGTGGGCCACGCCGCCACGTGTGCTGACGCCGGGGAGGGTGTTCCGGTCACGTGCACTCGTCAGGCCCCGCCCACAGGCCGCGCCCACAGGGACGTCGGCGCGCCGGGCCGAGGAAAGGGGACGCCGACGGGGGCCGCGCCCGGCCGGGACGGACCCACCCGGCTCACAAGGGGGCGGCCGAGAGCGCCTGTGCGGACGGGGCCTCACGCCTGTGGGGGCCGGCACGCTCCGGGCTGTCCCGGGCCCCGCTCCTGCCAGCGTCCCTGTGAGTCCCGGCCCCGCCGCTGGCGGGCGCGAGAGCGTGCCTGCCCGCCGAGAGCGGAGCCGCCGCCGCGCGCAGCGCCGGGGCCGCCGTGAAAAACCGTGAGACGTCCGCCGAGCGTCACTGGGGCCGGTGACGCCCTTCGGCGGGCTCCCGGACCGAACACCAATGCACCGAACCAGCTGCGTTTGTGTGCAATACAGCGGGAGCGAACAGCTGGGGGGGGAGGTGGTTAAAGCGTGCTGGAGCTGAGATTCCCAGGTTCTCGGGCACGATTGTGGCCGCGGCCCCCGCACGAGGGCGGATGGCGGGAAGAGGGGATGAGTCGCACGGCCACCCGGGCAGCGGCGTGCACCTCTGATCACGCTGGCCCACGCTGGCCCACGCCGGCGGCCGCCCGCCCACCCGCTGCCGTGGTGGGGGGGAGGGTGTCCACATGAGGACGTGCACAGACAGCTCCAGCTGCGGCGTGTGACCTCAGCGGCCGCGTGGGCTGGGCCAGCGAGCCTTTGCAAAATGCCTGCGCTGTAGAACCGCGTCTCCTCTTCTTTGTCTGACACACCAGCTGGCCCTGCCCTGGGCTTGTGTGATCGTAGCGGGAAAAGCTGAGGATGCTGTTTGCAGAGCTGCTGCCCCAGTATTGACCCGTCCCACCGAGTAGCAGGCGCCCAGGGCCTTTCGGAAACGAGCCTTGTTGCTTCGGTCTGTGCTGGGGACTATTGATCCTGGAGTAACTCGGAGCCGCTGGCGCGCCGTCTCCCCTCCAGTGTGCGTCTGCCGGAGGAGCCGGGGGCCGCGAGGTCTCAGCTGGCGAGCGCTGGGCGTCCAGGGGAGCCCAGGGCTGGCTGGAGCGGTGGCCTCCTGCGCAGAGGACGCGTGAGGCTGTGCGTCCTCCGGCAGGAAGGTCGGCTGGGTGTGCAGGGAAGGAAGGACCGGGCTCGTCGTGAGCTCAGATTGGGGGAGGGGGGCGTTCTCCACCGGCTGGGGGAGGGGCTGTGGCTGTGATCTTGTTGTAGGTGTGAGGGTCTCGCGCAGGGGTGGGTGCTGAGAGGAAGGCACCTCACAGCAGAGGGCCTGAAGCAAGCGGAGTCACTTCAGGGGGCTCGTTGCCATGGTTCTGGTGCGGTGACATTTCCCACAGAGAGAGGGCCAGCCGCCAGGAGGGCGGAGCTCGCGTCCCTGGGAGCAGGCAGGTCCACCTCAGAGGAGGGGAGCCGGCCAGGGCAAGGGCAGCTGCAGAGCCAGGGCAGAAGGAGGGTCCCTGGGAGAGGGTAACGAGGCCTCTCCCGGGCTGAGGATTGGGAGAGGCCCCTGGAGGGCAGCGGGGCACTCACTGGTCCCTGGGCAGCCCGGAGCCGCCGCTGGAGCAGCGCTGGGGGGCCGAGGGTGGGCTGGAGGCGGGGAGGCAGGCGCGCGTGGCTTTGTAATAACACAAGGAAGAGAAAACACGTCCCGAGTGCTGTCGTATTTATTGGAAAACTCCCCGTGTACACCACGCGGCTCAGACCCACGCTGCTGGGCAGTCGGCTGCACTCCCTGGTCAGCTGTGCGCCTGGCTGTCCTTTCCATTGCGCCCCCCCCCCAACCATGGGAACGGAGACGGGAAAGAGGACGGGAGCGTCGGGGACCACGGGAAGTCGGGCGACAGCGACCGTTCTCTGGAGGGCGCGGCTCACAGAGCGCTGTCCCCACGGCGTCCCCAGTCACTCGGGGACAGGGCAGTGTGGGTGTGTGCGCAGTGTTCGCACCTGAGGTGCAGGTGTGGCCAAGTTGGGAGGCCGAGGGTCGTGCCGCTGCACCCCGCCCGCCGCCCCGGACACCGGGTGACCGGCTGTCTTTGGTCTTCCTCCTGGTGCCCCAGGAGGAGGCCGCGACGTGCGGTTTGTCTGGAGCCCCGTGGGGGTGCCCATGTCTCGTTCCTGGGGCCGCTCACACTCAGTCTCACACTGTCGGCCCCTGGAACTCACCGAGACCGGAGGCGCACGGGGCCTGCGCTGGATGCCCTTGGCCACGCCTGGCCCCTGCCTCAGTGCCCGGTTCCCCACTGGCTGCTCAGGACCGAGGCCAAGGCTTCCCTCGGGCCCCCGCCCACCCCCTTGTCATTCTGCTGTGCAGTGGCATCCGGCCACCGCGCAAGACTGTCAGCAGAGGGTGAGGGGCCTCGTGCTGTTGTTCCCTTCCAGGTTCCCAGCCCTGTAAGGGGGTGTAGCAGAATGTTCTGGAAGCCATTTTAAATTAGTGGGAGAAAATCTATTCAGTAAGGGGGAAAATAGTATTTATTCCATTTTTGTGAAATAACTACAAATTAAGACGTTTCGTTCCTTTTCATCTCCGTAATTCTGACTTTACGGGCACATGTCCCGAGTTCTGGGAGTGTGGAGGAGTTTCGTAACCACCCAGACTTGGGCCTTTGGCAAGTGCGAAGCTGCAGTTTCCCGGGCTCTCCGACTGCAGGGCGGCGCCCACCCTCACAGTTCTGCTTGTCAACAATGACCTCAATTACACTCCCGAGGTGGCTGCAGGTCTTCCTGGAGAGCAGAAAAGCCCAGCTCTGGAGAGCTGCTGTGTCTGTGGCTCAGCGCTCTCCTGATGGGACCCTGGGAGCGTGTGTGGCCGAGTCCGCCGTGCTGGGCAGCCTGCCCTGGGCGGCCCGCCTTGGGCCTGGCCCTGGCTCTGGACACCGGAGTTTCCCCTGGTGGATAGGGTATGTGCCCGTGCACGCACGCACACACACACAAACACAGAAGCACACACGTATGCGTGTGCACACAGAGACACATGCACTTACACACACAGACACGCGCGCACACCCAGACCCCACAGGAGCTCGCAGGCGAGCGGGGGATGGGAGCCCCGCAGTGCGGGGAGGGAATAGTCACCTTGGACGAGGGAGGTTCCCTCCAGAGCTGCTTTGATGGCTTTCTATTAGGCCGCCTATTAATATAATTCATCATCTTAATAGGCGAGTGGAGAACAGTTATTTGATAAAATTAAAAATGAGTTTTAATAAAAACCTAGAGCAAGGCTGGAGGAGCACTTCTTTTGCGCGAGAGAGATTTTCGGGCGGGCCGGGAGCCGCCCTCGCGGGCCGAGCTCCCACGGTGCATCTCGCTGGCGCCCCTTGGGCCGCGGGAGGCGCTCCCCAGCCTCCGTGTGTTCCCCCGACCACTCGGCGATGTGCTCACTGCGATGTTTGGACAAGGAAACCAAACCGAAGGCACAGGGGTTCTGAGGAGAAGGCAGATTTACATTCTCAGGTATGGTCTGAGTTTCTGCTCTGCAAAAACGCTGGTAAAATCCAGGGGAGGGGTGTTCCGCGGAGGAGTGGCTGGTCAGTAACCTCGACTCGTGCACACACACCCGCACCAAAGAGCCAGAGTGGCCGCCACCGGCGGGCAGGTGGGCGCAGGCGTGAGGAGGGACACCCGTGGGCCCTCCAGTCTTTGGCGTGTGCCGGTTCTCAGTCCGGTGGTGTCGTGCTCCCTCGATTATTAGAGTCACATCTTTAGCCCATGTGCTCCTCACGTGCTGTTTTTTTTACATTAAAAAGACCAGCAAGGAAATACTGGGGAGGAGGTAAGTCTGCAACAGCAGCAGGAGCAATGACAGCAATGTCGACGAGCTGAGAGGGAAGGTCCCCTGAAACTGGACAGGTTGGGGGGAAGGAAGCCTGGTGCACGGAGACACTGGCCACGCTCTGGCCCGGTCAGGCCCGGTCAGGGAGGGCTGGAAATTCTCCCTGAGTCAATCCACACATTTAACACAATGTGGAGGATGTGATTTTATTTTTATTTTTAAAGATTATATTTATTTTTAGGGAGTGGGAAAGGGAGAGAAACATCGATGTGTGGTTGCCTCTTGCGCGCTCCCTACTGGGGACCTGGCCCGCAACCCAGGCATGTGCCCTGACTGGGAACCGAACCAGCGACCCTTTGGTTCCTAGGCCCACACTCAACCCACTGAGCCACACCAGCCAGGGCTGAGATTGTGATGTTAGAGGTCAGCTAGAGGAATAAGTGCTTGAGAATAGCCATGAAAATAAAAGAAAAAAACATTTTTGAAAGAGAACTTGGCCTTATCGGTTGTGAAAACACATTTTGACGGTATGGTTGGGATAGACATTTGAGGCAGTGCAACAGATAGAGAGTTCCAGAAACAGTCTGTGCATGTAAGAATTCATCATTTGGGAAAACAATGAATTACTTAATACCTAGGAATGGCTAGCACACGGCTAACCATTCTGAAATTTTAAATCCCCCCTTCTTACTAAGATGAATTCCAAATACACCAAGGTTTAAGTCTGAAACTCACCAGAGAACTAGAAAAATTATCAACAGGGAGAATTAAAAAGTCAGAAAGGAAGTCATGGATTTTATTTAATGCACAATTTTAAGTTCTGTAAGGCAAAGAAAACAAAGTTGTAAATAAAACGGCAACCTCGGAACAGCTGTGTAACGGGTAACAGAGAGTGCTCGAGGGAGCGCAGCTTTTAGGGGCCGCGCCCCTCCGGTCCCTGCCTGGTCCTCTCCGATGGCTGCCGTAACGTTTTGTCCAGAGCCGATTGCTATCGGCAGGAGGATTGTCTGGTACAAATATGTCTGTCACTCCTGAAACCCGCACGTCCCTGTCGGTAAGGATGTTGCCGGTAAAAGCGCAGACAACCAAGTGGCGTGTCTGCAGAGGACTCAGAGTGAGACCGGGAAACGCTGACCCCTGACCCCCGACCCTTTCCTGCCCTGAGAGGCCGGTTCACCCGGGACCGCTCGGACCCGCACGTGCGCCGCCACGGGGCGCTGCCGGCGGCGTCTCCGCAGAGCGGAGCGGCCAGGGTGCGGCTCCAGGTGGCACCGCCAGGCCGGGTCCCTCGTGCTCTCTGAGTGCGGGGCCGTGGCTGCCGCAGCCGCAGCCGGGGCGGGAGGCGCCTGTGCGGGCCAAGCCGGGCTGGGTCCCCAGGGCGTGAGCCCGCAGACTGGACGCTCGGTCCCCGCAGCTCTGCGGGGTGGCGCGGCCCCCGGACAGCAAGGCTCGGCTCTGACTCGGCTGCCGATTCTGGGAGGGTTAAAACCACGCGGTGGAATCCCTCCGTGTTGTCTCCCGCCCGAGTCTTCTGTGTGCCGGGCACCCCCAACCCCCGACACTTTCTCTAGAAGGAGAACAAGAACCTCCCGCCAGCCGCCGTAATCGGGTGGAAGCACCCTTCCTGTGGCGCCTGTGCCCCCCCGCCCCGCCAGGTGGCCGCCTCACGTCACCGCACACGTGTCTCTCTCCGCCCGAGGACAGCTCTGCGGTCCGGCCCTGGACGCTGTCCTCCTGCCCTTCAGAGGGCAGAAGCTGCCGGGGCGGAGGAAGCCTGGGCTGCCGTACCCCCCGGGCCAGCCCCGCTGCTGCTGCTGCTGCTGCTGCTGGGGGCCCGCGGCGCTCCCCCGCCGCACGCCCCGTGCCTGCGGCCGACTCTGCGCTCTCTCCCCACAGGTTCTGCATGCAGAAGTGCGTCAGCCTGGTGCCCGGCGTCACCCTGGACTTGATAGAAAAGTAAGTGGGGTCCTCGGGGCCGGGGCGTGCTGCTGCTCGGGGTCTCCCCTTCTCGCCCTCAGAAGTGCGTCCGCCCTCGCGGGCCCGGCCCCCGCTCACGAGGGTGCGTTCCCCATGCTCTCGTCAAGGCCACGTGAGGGTGGCCGTGGTGCTGCCCTGCGTAGGACGCAGCTCAGCGTGGGGCCAGGTGAAGGAACGAGACCTCCCAGTCGGACCCTTTTCATCGTTTAAAAACACCCCGACCCTGAGCCAGAGCAGAGGCACACTGTCCGGCGTCTGCTCCGCTCTGCACCGGGCGGGTGTCCTCTGTGATGCGCCTGGGTGTGTGGCTTCCCCTCGTCCTCCGGGTCCCCGGGCCTCTGTCTGCCTCTGGCTGGGCGCCGCCTCGGGTCTGAGAGGCCGGCCCGTGCCCGGCACGTGACTGCGCCATGCGTGTTCCCCGTGGGGCCCCGACGCACGCTGGTGGTGGTGGTGGTGCCTGAGCTGTCTGCGCCGACCCTGGCTGCTCCTCGAGCGCACGCGCACACGGTGTGCGGCCACGGGTTAGAACGGCCGAGATGGGAGACGCAAACCCACTCCTGGGCCCCTCTCCTGGAAAGCGCCTTGCCTGGGACCCCGAGGACCTGGCCCCGAATGTCGGGCCTGTGTGCCGTCGACGGGGACGGGGGGTCGATCCCGGGACGTTCCTCCCCGCGGGTGGCCGCCGCCCCTGAGCGACACGGAGTGGGCTAGCACACGCGTTGTCGAGTGGGAAGGTGGGCCCTGTGCGCACAGTAGGATGCCGAGAAGGCCGTCTTCCCGGTGCGCCCTGCGTGTGCTCCAGCTGAGGGAGGCGGGGACGGCGCCCTTCTGTTCGCTCTGGGGAGAGGGCGGGATCTGAGAAGGCGAGGAAGAGAGTGTTAGTGCCTGGTTTCTCTTCCGTCTTGTAAAATCTCTTACGAGAGCCAGGGCGTGGAGAATGTGTGTAAAAATAGACGCCAAGGGGAGAGCCGACCAAACGTTAGTGGAAACCTGCGCACGGTCCCGTAGCGGTAGCAGCCATGAGTTTCGGGCGGGTGCACGGAGGCACCCACTGCAGCAGGGGGGCGCCGCGGCGGGAGCCGCTGGCCCGACCTCGGCCGGAGCCAGCGGGGCAGCGGGGGGGGGGGCAGCGGCCCCTCTGCTCGAGTCGGCCATCACAGGGCCGGCCCCAGGCGGGCAGTGACCCGGGGCCTTGCCGGGGCGGCGATGCGGCCCGGCGGGGCGCGGGGCTGTGGGGCGGGCCGGGAAGCTGCTCCTGGGGGCCGAGCCCCAGGTCCCCTGGCTGGAGCGAGGACCGGGGGCCGTTGGCGGTGGTCGGTGAGGGTGCAGGCTCCCCCCCTCCCCACGACGAGCGTCTGCTGCGGGCACATCGCCCCAGGCGCGGCGTCTGCCAGTTCTCCGCGAGTCTCCGCGAGTCGTGAGCGCCGGGGCGTCTGGGGACAGATGGCGCCACGCGTGCTTCCGAGCCGCCTGCAGATGCCGAGCACGGCGCGGTCCTCGAGACGCTCACGTGGGGGGGGGTCTCCCGAGGCGAGAAGACGCCAGGTCTGCCCCGGCCAGGTTCGGGGCCCTGGGAGCTGTTCCATCGCCTTCGCTCCGTCCTCCTCCGAGTCGCGCCCGCCCCGTCTGCCGCCTTCTCCGTGCAGTTTCTCGGGAGCCGTGTCCGTTGGGGCCCCGGCGGAGCTGCGTGTCACTGCAGCTGGGTGCTCCTCTCCTGTTCAAACCGTCCCCGGCTTGCAGTTTTCTTGATGTTGGGCTTTTGCCTGCTGGGGACCCCCAGGGGTCAGAGCTGTGCCGTCCCTCTCCCCTGGTTCCACGGGACAGGAGCCTGGCGTGCGGCGCCACCCGGCCTCTGGACGGCGCGTGCCGGCAGTGGCGGGCTGCGTGGCGCCCCGTCTCAGCCGCTTCTCTGTGCCCCCCCCCACACCCAGGCCTCCCCTGCGCCCAGCCAGCTCCCACCCTGTGGCTGACCTGGGCGTGGTGGTGCGCGGCCCGGCACCCCGCGCAGGAGCCACACCGGAGACGCGTCCGTAAATGGGGCTCGATCAGAAGTCGAAGCGTTTCTTCTCTGCACGGTGTGGCTGAGAGGACGGAGGGACAGCCGCAGACTGGTGGACACTGTTCACAGGTCGCACAGCTGGCCGAGGGCCTGTGTGCAGAATGTGCAAAGGCGTCTGAACCGACGAATAAAGAAAAATCCCAGTTAAAAAACTGGTGAAAGACACCGCGAGGCTTTAACCAAGGAGGGTTTCAGGGCAGCCAGTCGGCGCCCGGAGGGTGCTCAGAGGCGACAGCAGCACGCAGGAGACGCAGGGGGAGCCGCAGGGGGAGCTGCAGCGAGGCGCCGCTGCCCGCCCGCCTGTGCTGAGGGCCCAGACGAAGACGACCGGCCACAGGCAGCGCTGGGGCCAGTGCAGGGCCGCGGGGTGGGGGGGGGCGGCCCCCCGGGACAAGCAGGCTGCGTCTCACCCCAGGGCCCGGCGGTCCCCTGCCGGGCGGGTGGGTTCTGTTTACTTTCTATGCCGGGACAAACTCCAAACTCAGGGATTGTACAGAAACCCTACCCGGCCCTGGAGACCAGCCGAGACGGAGGGCCCAGCCAGGTGCCCCTGCGGCCGGCCCGTCTGCCTCTTCAGAAGCAGCTGGCTGGAGTGCTTTCTCCACTGGAAAGGAAGTGCTGTTATTCCATGTATCTTTTTAAAGATTTTATTTATTTATTTATTTTTAGAGGGGAAGGGAGGAAGAGAGAGGAACATCAGTGTGTGGTTGCCTCTCGTGCGCCCCCTGCTGGGGGACCTGGCCCACAACCCAGGCCTGTGCCCTGGCTGGGAACTGAACCTGCGACTCTTTGGTTCGCAGGCCCGCGCTCAGTCCACTGAGCCACACCAGCCGGGACCCCACGCTCTAATTTGCAGGTCTGCGCCCAGGCACCTCTGGCCATCCGTCAGGAGAAGCGCGGCCGGCCGGCAGTCGCTCGGCTCGGCTGAAGTGCAGCCCTCCTGGTCTCCTGGCCTCCCTGGGGCCGGGCCTTCCGTGCGGCGAGACTGTTCACTGCTTTCACCCGTTTCATTATCCTTTCCGGGAGGTTTCTGCTCGGAACGCATAGCTCTTGGTGGTGCCCCCCCCACCCCCGCCCCGGCGGCAGCCCGTCCCCGCCGAGCCCGGCTGGGCCCGCGCTCCCTGCCTGCCGTCCCCCGGGGCCCCATTAGGGCTGAGGAACCAGCGCAGCCCCAGCCTCCCGCCAAGCCGCTCCCAGCCAGGCTGCGTGGGAGCCCGCCGGCCCGCCCCACGCAGGGCTGGGGGTGCTTCCTCTGTGAAGACGCGTCCGTAGCTGGTGTTCAGAGAAGCCGCAGAACGTTTCAAATGTAAAGTTTTACCAGTTGGAGAGACTTAACAAGCTGGTCTCACAGTGCGGACAAGGCTCTCAGCCCGGGGCGTCAGCCGGGTGACCCCCCGCACGCCCCGCGCCCTCCGACGGTGCTATTTGGAGCGTGGGGGCCCTGTCGGCGCGGCAGACCGGTACCGGGGCTTCGAGCGACGCACAGACATCACGCCGGCCGGGCTGTCGCTCGGAGCTGGCCGACCGCCCCTGCGCAAGGGTCCTGGACCCTGGGCTCCGCAGTTCAGTTCTCTGGTCTGCGCTCCCCACGCGGACACTGCCGCTGAGCGCACCGCCACCTGCCCCTTTAAGGCTGCCCCGGCCTCTGCGCCCCCCGGGCCGGGAAGACACGTCCCGGTGCAGAGGCGGAGGGCAGTGCCGGCCCGTGTCCCTGGGTGTGCGTCCTTCAGCTCCAGGGACTGCGCGGGATGCACGGGGGCCCGTCCACCCTCCGCCCACCACCCTCCTGCCCCTGCACGCGGTCGTCCCGGCCCACGCAGGCCTCGGGGGCTCAGGGCGTGTGCAGCTCCCGTGAGGCTGTGCTCCCACGCGTGTGGCTCCGTGTGCCGAGGCCTGCGGGGCCCCCACCCCGCACATGGAGCTGTCCCTGTGGGCGCCCGCCCTGCGCTGCTCACGAGCAGCTCCGTGACCAGGCCCCAGGTGCCAAGTGCAAGCCCCGCCGGCCTCTGCCGCCGCGGTCGTGTGTGCCCAACACGTGTTGTTGGGAGCCCGGGCCCGCGACGGGGGCGGGGGTGTGGGCCGAGTGAGTGTGAGTGAGTGTGTGTGTGTGTGTGAGAGAGAGAGAGAGAGAGAGAGGGAGATAATGACTTAGCAGCGGTCTTCGAAGACGGGGAGGAATTTGTCTTCTCATTAAGCTGCTGTGTCTGGAAGTAAATCACGGGGAACCTTCCCTGAGAGCCCCGATTTCTCATCCTCGCCGCGGACCCGCGGCCTGATGGAGAGCGTCGCGCCGCCGCGGCACAGACCCACACTCCGGGCCCTCGTCGCCGAGCGTGGCGGCGAGGTCCGTGCTCGGGGGCGAGCGAGGGGCGCCCTTCAGCCCCGAGAGGAGACGGGGCGAAGAAGCACCTGAGCGGCGGGAGACTTGCTGGCGGCTCCGGGGGTCGGGGGTCGGGGGCGCTGAGCCGGCGCCGCGGGGCTCTGGGTGCGCGCTGCGACGGCGGGAGGCGCAGAGCAGACCGAGGATCGTCCATGGCCACCCCCGGCTGTGTGAACAGTGCATTTTAAATGGCTCCCGGCCCAGGGCTCAGAGGCGGTGAGGGAGGGGCCCTGCCCTTCGCAGCTGCGGCTGCAGCCCCTGCTGCCCAGGACGGCCCTGGCCTCGGGCCCTGTGCTGGGCTCCGACCTGGCCCGATTCGCCAAGTTCCCCCGAGTGCCGGGGGCTTGGGGGGCGGGGCATGAGGCGAGTGCAGAGAGGTGCACGAGCTGGTGCTTGAGAGCCGAGAGCGACCCCGGTTCCTGCGGCTGGAAACGAGGGCGAGGGGGACCAGGTAGCACTCCCTGAGCAAGCACCTACTGCGTGCTGGGCGCTGCCCAAGGGCTTCGGCCGTGTGGGCGCTCCCGCCCGCCTGGAGCCTGTCGAAGGGAGCCCCTGCACTCTGAGAGCTCGGAGCCAGCAGGCAGCCTGCTGGGGGGGGGGGCCACCCCCGCGCTGTCACCATCCCGCACCCCGAGCTCCTCAGGGAGGGGCGCCCGGTGGGCTCGGCCGCTGTGCTCGGGGTCTTGTCTGCTGTCAGCTGGGCGCCGTGCACACGTGTCACGTTCGCAAGGAAAGCCATCAAAGACGCCCGTCCTGGTTCAGACAGCGCCTTTGTTCCCGGCACAGATGCATCACGGTGGCTGGGGGAAGGTGGAAAATCAGTAATCCGTTAGCGCCTGCCGCTTGCCGGCCGGGTGAGCGATGACTCACCGGAGCCCGCGCAGACGTGCGGTGGGGAGGCAGGTCCGGGAGGCCGCGCGGCGGAGGGGGCGCCCTCGGCGGAACTGCCAGGCAGCAGCCCCAGGCCCTCCTGCCCCCGCGCCGCCGCCAGCCGGCCGTGAGCGCTGTCCCTGGGGCGCCGTCGCCGGCGAGGGGTGCGGCACGAGGGTTTGTCTGTCCGTGGGCCTGGCCCTCGCGCGCTGACGCCACTGGGGTGGCAGGGGCCTTGCGGGGCGCCCGGGCCCCGCTGTGTTGGGCACGTACCCCCCACCCCCCCTCGGCTGCCGGGTGTGTCTGGATGAACCGGCGTGAGGCGGCTCGGTTTGGAGACGAGGCTGTGGGTTCCGGGGCCCCCGTGGGGCTGCCGTGTCCCACCCGGGGCGTCCGTCTCAGTGGGACCGAACTCCTGGCCTGTGCTGTCTGGTCGCAGCCCGGCCGAGGGGGCGGGGCCGAGGGGGCGGGGCCGCGGGGCAGGGCCTCGGGGCGCAGCGCCGCACGCACGCACGCACGCACACGCGCACACGCCCTTCTCCGCGGAGACCCGCTGCGGGGCGCGAGCCCCCTCGGACGGACGGCACGCCGCCCGGGGGGTGTTTTCAGGCCCCTCATTTTGAGCCAGAATCGTGCGATTTTGCGACGCTAGCATCTCTCAGGTGCCGTGCTCACCATCGCACGGCTTTGACAGCCCGCGCCGGTGCCTCGCTGGAGAAGTCAGCGAGAGCTCCGCTGCGGTCAGTGTCTCCTCCACTGCGGGTCCCAGCCTGCCAGCGGCTGTCGGGTCGCTTTGGTGAGCCAGGCGCCTGCTTTCCTTTCCCGGCAGCGCGAGCGTTCTGCGGCTCCGGTGTCGGGGGCGTGTGTGCGGCCCCCGTCCCTTCGTGCTCGGTCCCCGGTGTGACCTCTGGCCCCCCTTCCAGTTCCGCCCTGCTGTCCAGCCCCCGCGCTGGTTTCCTGATTCGATGGACCGCGCTCACGAGTCCCGGAGGTTCTGAAATACGCGGTCTTCATTTTACAGTTTCAGTCCTCTGCCAGGGTTTCTGGCTGTTCTTTCACTCCTCGAACGTGGGGAGGAAAGTTACCGTAAAATCCGCTGCCGCCACCGAGCGAGTCCTCCGCCCTCGCTCTCTCCTGTCGGCGGTGGCTCTGGTCTCCGCTGGTAGTTGGGTTCCCGGGGAACGCCCGTGTCTTTGTTACGAAGGCTGCGGGCAGAGCACGGAAACCGTGCGGAGACTTGGGGCGGAACGAGGCCGCGAGGTCTGAGTGGCTTCCGGCCCGTCCTGCGCCCCGGCCCAGAGCCGAGGGGGGCTGTCAGAGTGCCCTGGGCCGAGTGCTCGGCGGCCCAGGGCCTGGCCCGTGCCCGTGCTGGGGGCGGTGGGTCCGCCCTCGGCCCGGCCCTGCCTGGCCCCGGCGCTGGTTTACATCTGGGGCTCCCTCTCGGGCCGGCCAGCCCCTGCAGACTTCAAAAGGGTCCCCGCACGGCCTGCCCGGCTGCTCTCCGTGGGCGGACGGTGAGTCACCGCCGAAGCCTCAGGGACTCTTTGGAGCGCGGCCGAGGGCTGCAGCGGTTCCCCGGCCTGGCCGACCCGACGCCCACACGGCGCCGCTGCAGCCCTCAGCCGCCCGCGTCCCTGAGTCAGCGAGGGGCCGAGTGTGTTCGGGACTGCGGCACCAGGGCCGGTCTGGGGGGGGGGGGCTGTGCTCTCCAGCGGGGAAGCCTCTTCTCTGAGGCCTCGGACCATCCCCGAGCGGCAGGGCCGGGCCCCTCTTCCCCAAGTGTCATCCATTCCTCGTCCCCTCTTCGGGTCCCCCCACGGAGCCTCCGTGGCGAGGTGAGGAGGGCTTCCTGCCGGAAGCGGCGTGTGGCCGAGGACGTCGCCCCCGCACCCCTTCCAGGGGCGCTGCCTCCGCAGGTGGCACAGGCAGACTCGGCGCCCCGGGTGAGCCGAGGGGCCGGAGTCCTCGGGCTGTGGCGTCCGGCACACAGCAGGGCGGCGCTCTCGTGTGGAACCAGGGCCCCGCGGGCACTTCCTGTCTGGGAGGGAGAGAGGGTTTCCTGCACGGTGCACGCGGAGGCTGTGAGCCTGCCGCACGGCACTTGCCTGGTGTTGCAGCCACGTCGCTGCCGGGGCGGTGCCCTGTTGTGGGTGCTCGGAAGTACCAGTTGAGCGAGTGGCAGGTAAGTCGCCCCTCGAGGACAAGCTGCCTTCTCAGCCCTGCCGTTGAGGGGCAGGAGCGCAGGTGGGGCACCGGCTGGGCTGGGGCCGGGATCGAACTGGGTGCAGACCCGTCGGCAGCAGCTGCCCCGGCCGCTGGCAGGCCCTCAGCTCGTCTCTCGGGGGTGGACACCCCCGGAGTGGCTGGTGGCTGCTGGGTCTGGGCCGCAGGTCCGGGGCACCAAAGAAACTGCTTTTGTCTGGGTGCGGAAGGGGGTGCGGTGGGAAGTGGGGGTGAGTCCTGAGCGGCAGACGCCCGTGAGTCCCGAGAACCCTGGCGAGGCCAAGGGCTCCTCGAGGTGCGGCTGCGCGCCCTGCCCCGGTCGGCAGCTGTGTTCCCGCAGCCGCTCACGGACACGCGCCGTGTCCCCTAGGATCCCCGGCCGGCTGAACGACAGGAGGACGCCCCTGGGCGAGCTGAACTGGATCTTCACGGCCATCACGGACACCATCGCCTGGAACGTGCTCCCTCGGGGTGAGGCGGCTGGGGGCCCGGGCCGGGGCCGGGGCCGTCGGGCTGGGGTGGGGGGGGGCCAGAGGCCGCCGTGCGGCTGAGGCCGGCTGGGTGCTGCACAGGGTGGCGCGTGGTGAGAGGGACGCGGCGTTTCTCGGACCCTTGGCAGGGCGCCTTCCGGGCAGAGTCAGGCCCCTCCTCCTTCGCAGCCGCCGGCCCGTCTGTGTGTCCGGCAGGCACGGTGGCAGCCATGAGTCCCGTGTCTGAGGGGCCTCCGGTCCGTGCTCCCGCGTGTCCGTGCAGGGATGCGTGTCTGCTGCCTCCGCCGGCCGGTCGGGTGTTTGCAGGACGTAGGCGTGTTTGTCCTCACGTGCCGCTCGCATGTCCCCCGCCCGCAGACCTCTTCCAGAAGCTCTTCCGGCAGGACCTGCTGGTGGCCAGCCTGTTCCGGAACTTCCTGCTGGCCGAGAGGATCATGAGGTCGTACAACTGCACGCCGGTCAGCAGCCCGCGCCTGCCCCCCACCTACATGCACGCCATGTGGTGAGTGCTCCCCGGCGACGCGGGCGCCTGCTCTCTATGGGGCTCCCTGTCCCGGCACCGGCCCCTCAGGCTGTCCCGGCTGCTCCGGGTCTGGCTGCGGGGGTCCCGCCGTGCTGGCGAGTGAGGGGGAGTCGGCACGGAGGCTTCCTCTGCCGACAGGCCTGTCACTCAGATGGACGCCGCGCTTCCCTTGTGGCCCCAGGCGGCACGCTGCCCATGCTCCGGTGTGACGGGCAGCTGCCACCCGCCGGTGTGCAGGGAGAAGCCCACTGGGAGGGGGAGTCACCCGTGTTCCCTCGTGAAATCGTTCGAAAGATCGGGAACGCCGTGACACTTGGTGGACGCCGGGCCCAGCCCCGCCGCTGGGGCCTCAGACCCGGTGGGCACGCCCCTCCCTGGCGGGCCAGGTGGGGGGGTCAGGTGCGGGCTCCTGGCAGCCCCAACCCCGCGCTCTGCAGGTGGGCACTGTGTCCTGTTGCCTCGCAGCCCGAGTCCAGTGCGCGGGGTGCCCTGGGGCCGCTCACCCGTGGGGCCTCGCTTCCCCCGCCCCCACCGTGGCACGCAGAGCTTCTTCCCCCGGGGGCTGGGACTCGGACGCCATCCCGGGGCGGGCGCCCCGCACACACCTGTCCCGGGGGTGGAGGCTTGAGAGAGCGAGCTCACATGGGCCCCACTCAGGCTGACGCTGCCTCCCAGGCCCGAGGCTGCCGGGTGTTGGGTGCGCTCTGGGCTTTCTGCGGCGTTTGTTCTGACGAGCCCTCCAGAACAGGCCCAGAGCGCGCGCCCCCCCCGACTCGGGTATAGACGGCGGGAACGCACCACCCAGGTAGTCGGACACACCGACACACGCTGGGGACGAGGAACTCACGTCGAGTGTTCGCACTCCTGGGTGCTGCTGGGGGGGTTGCATCCTTAGCTGGGGGGGGGGGGGACAAAGTGCATCAGAAGTGGAGGTCAGCAGAGCCGTGTCCAGCGCCCTTGCCTCTGGCCAGACGCTGATGGAGAGCGGCTGGGAGCCAGCTCCTGTTTAAATCCTGATGCGAGGCCACCGGGGGGTCGGCCCCCTTCACGTTCAGGCTCGGCCGGTCGGGAACCCTTGCGTTTCTCAGCGGCGGTGACTGTGCCTTCCGACCCCGGCAAGGACGCCGGGTGCCGTGCCCACTGACCCACCCGTCTGTGCAGACGGGGCCACGCTCCGGGAGAGTTGCCTCCCGGCCTGGCGGGGCACGGCCCCCCGGGCCTGTTTCCTGGAAACCCGGGCTCTGGCCTGGGCCGCACGGTGTCTGGGCAGGTGCTGCTCTGAGCCGCCCGGAGGTGGGAGGGGACCCAGAGGGCCGAGGTTGTGGTGAGCCTGGCCCACCTCCCAGATCTTCCCAGACCCTCCTGACCCTGCCCTCTCACTGGGGCGCAGCTGCCTGGGGACCAGCCCACCCCACGGCCGTGAGACCCTGGGGCCTCTTGGCCCACTCCCCCTGATGAGAAGGCCAAGTTAAAACACCGAGTTTCTCTTGACTTTGCCCTGGAGACCACCACCCGTTCCATCAAGGGATAGAACCCTCAACAGAGAACAGTGGCATCGTGCCGTGTAACTCCAAACTTCAATAGGGAACGCCCAGATCCTTGCCCCAGACCCTCTCCTCTGGGAAAGATGAGCCGCCAACGGCCCAGAGAGGGGACTGGCTTGCCCAGCGCCGGCCCCCGCCTCCGCTCGCCCGCCCGGGGCTGGCTGCACCCCAAGGCCCGCAGTGGTGCCTGACTGTGCGGTGGTCAGCAGGGCCCAGCCCTTCCTGCAGCTCCCTTCCCCTCCCCCGCCCGTCCCTGGGGCTGGCACTCCCTTCCTGTCCCCTCCCTCACCTGCGCCCCCAGCGGGTGGCCCCGAGCAGCTCCTCTCCACACGCCCCACGGCCTAAGTGACGCTGCCGCAGCCCGTGGCCCCCGGGGTCCTGCACGCAGAGCGGAGAGCGGCGCACAGCGTCCGGGCTCCCGTCCGCGGGGAAGTAGGCGGTGGGCGGAGGACGACCCGTGCCGGCGTGGGCCGCTCCGCCCGGCTCCGCCAATGCGTTGCCTGCGCCTCGTCGGGACCCCGGGCGTTGCAGCCCTTCCCAGTGGCCGGCGCTCGTGGTGCCTCAGGACTGGAGGAGACAGGCTGAGGGGCGGTCCCCTCCAGGGGTGCCCCAGCACCCACGTCCCACACGCGCCTCCCCCAATGACGCGCCCTCCTCTGCCTGCGGAACCCGTGTTTGCTCGCGGCGGAGGGATCTGTGCGGGGCGCAGTGGCAGCGGTTGACTTTGCTTCTGCCTGATGCGGAGTGAACGTCCCCGCCTTCGGGGCCGCTGGCTGGGGGGGGCGGGGGCTGTCCCTGGCTCCTGGCGGGGGGGGGGGGGCCTGCCCCTGCGAGGGGCCGGTGCGGGGCAGCAGCTGCGTCCCGTGGGTCTCAGCGCTTCGCTTTGAAGAGAGGAGATGCCACAACCGAGACGGTCCGACGGTCCGGCGTGGTGCCCACCGCGGGGGGGCCCCTGCTCCTTCGCTGCCCCGCCCCCACCCCGCCCGCCCCCGCTGTCCTCTGTCCAGGGTCCTGGCGGCGGAGCCCTCCTCGATGCCGGGCGTCCTCTGCTCTCCCCACAGGCAGGCCTGGGATCTCGCGGTGGACATCTGCCTCTCCCAGCTGCCCACGATCATTGAGGAGGGCACCGCGTTTCGGGTGAGCCCCCGCGGCCCTGCGGTGCTGTGCGCCGCCACCGCTCCGCTGAAAAGAGGCGTCGTCCCGGGGCCCGCGCCGGCTTCTGAAGCGGCCGGCTCTCCGGAAACGCTGTCCGTCAGCGCGTTGCGTGCTGGTCTGCGTTTCCTCGCGCGCCCGCCCGCCCCGTCCGCCGCGGGCCGAGTGCCGCCCACGTCTGGGACTGTTGGGGCCCGGGGCCCGGGGGCGGGGCCTCGGGGGTGTCGGAGTGTCCCGGCTGCAGCCCCCCCCGTGCGTAGGCGGGGCCTGGAGCCGTGGAGCTGGTGGGGCTTCCCTCGTGGCACCTGGGGGTCTCCAGGGCACGCCCCCCTCCCCCCCTCCCCCGCTGCTGCCCGAGTGGCCCCTTTGGTCTCAGGGTCCACTCGCTGAGGGGGGGACAGCAGGCCTGTGTGCCCGTCTCTCGTCGGGACCCGGGGGCCTGGGAGGCGTTCGGGGCAGCCGGGTGCGCGCAGGGTCAAACCCCCGCCGTGCTCTGGGCGCTGGGCGTCACGTGCAGTCTGCGCTGCGCCGGCGGGGAGTCTGGCGGAGCGGTCCAGTTGCGGTCTCGCCGTCCACTCCGGGCGGCGCCAGTTCGGCCACCCTCATGTCTCGCTCACCCTCCACCTTTCTGGCCTGTGAGGGCCAAGCTCTGCGTCTGGGGAGAATCCCGGCAAGCTGGGGTGGGGGCGGGGTAGCTGAGGCAGGCCTCGTGCTGGCTTTTTAATCCTGTTCTTGTTTTGTTGGCACAGCAGCTCCCCAGACCCCGCTATCCCCTGCCCTCCGAACCCCGCTGCCCACTGCAGCGGGCCCCTCTGACCTCTGCCCCGACGCCTCTGCACCCCTGCCCTCTGCCCCACCCCTGCCCTCTGCCCCACCCCTGCCCTCTGCCCCACCCCTGCCCCAAGGACTCGCCCCGTCTCCCTCGCCCACTTGTGGACTGCGTGCAGCCCACGCCTCTGCTGGGCGGCACACCCGCGTGCCCGCTCCGCTGCAGCCCTGCCCGCCCCCGCCGCCGGGATGGCGGCGCCGCCTGGAGTGGAGACTGGGTGTGAGGGCAGCCAGTGTGGGGGCCGCGCGGCCTCCGGGAGGGGCAGCCCTCTGACTCACGGCCCCCCGCCTGTCCCCCAGCACAGCCCCTTCTTCGCCGAGCAGCTGACCGCGTTCCAGGTGTGGCTGACCATGGGCGTGGAGAACCGGAGCCCGCCCGAGCAGCTCCCCATCGTCCTGCAGGTGAGGGGCTGGGGGCGGTCCCTCCGCGGCGGCCTCCGCGGGGTCGGCGGCCTGTGCACCGGAACACCGCCGGCAGTGTGCTTCCAGATGCGCCCCGCCGTCCCCCGGGCCCCCGCGTCACGTGTGGGCACGGCCCAGGGCGCCCTCCCGGCCCGCCGGAGCGCAGCTGCCGGGAAGGAGCCCCCACCGCGGCGACCGGGGCTGGGCCGCGCGGCCTCACGGTGACACCGTCTCCTCCTCCTCCCCAGGTGCTGCTGAGCCAGGTGCACCGGCTGAGAGCCCTGGACCTGCTGGGGAGGTTCTTGGACCTGGGCCCCTGGGCGGTGAGCCTGGTGCGTGTTCCTGCTGCGCGTTCCGTCTGAGGACGGACGTGGCCGTGCGGCCGAGGGTGACATGGGGGTGGCCGTGCGCCCATGAGGCCCGGGGAGGATGCGTTGTGACCCCATCGTCCCCTGCGGCTTTGCCCTCCTGTCCCCTGTGCTGTCACTAGGTGGCCCCTTCGAAGGGCGGAAGGTGCTCCCGGCCCGTGGCCTTGGGGCAGTGGTCCAGCCCCGCGTGGGACGGTCCCTCCCGCCCACCCTGGGTCTGGGCACGGCACTGTCACAGCTCCCCCCTCAGTCCTGAGAGCAGAGACGGCCGGTTACGGCAGGGGGGCGAGCGAGAAGGGGACCGGAAGCGACCTGGCTTCCCGGCAGAGCAGAAGGAGGACAGGGAGGAGGCGGGGTCTGCAGACTGACGGGGTTCGGGGGCCTGTCGGCAGTTGCCACGTGGGGCCCTGGCGTGGTCCTGTCTGCGCGCAGTGGGAAAGTTAGCGCTTGACGCTGCGCTCGTAAAGCAGTCAGGAACACAGCCGAGTGTCTCATGTCAGGGTGGGCACCTGCTCGCGTCCCCAGGGAGGTGAGGGTGTGCAGCCCTGGTTTCACGTGGGAGGCCTCTCTGCAAAGACGGGCGTGTTTGCAGGTCACTGCGCTCAGGGCGTCTGGGCTCATGTGGGCGGGAGGTCGGCCGCGGGCTGCACGGCACTGGGTTTTCAGCTGGGGGTGCACCTGTGGGGGCGGCGGCCGAGAGTTGGCCGCAGATGGAGGCCGTGGGGCCAGGGAGGCTAACTCTGCCCCCTCCCTGGCTGGCATGCGGCCCTCCTGGGTCCCCGCGGCCTCGGGGCCTCAGCCAAGGCCACACTGGCCTGTCGCTCCGTCTCCACGGAAGAGAAGACAGGGAACGAGCACCAATAACGTTCCAGAGAGATTGTCATGCGTGTGGTTAATTAAAATTAAAAGTGAGCCACACGCACGCCAACGGGAAGCTTGTGACCTGCTGGGTAAACCGGCGCCGTCACAGGCGCAGACTGGGCCTGGAGCCCAGGGCCCGGCCGCCTGAGCCCGGGAGGAGACGGCTCATTCCCACACGCGGGCCCTTAACAGGGGCCACGGCTCCGTGTTGCCGTTGGCCTGGGGCCTGCTGTTGGGCCCCAGCATCTGAGACCAGGACAGCGCAGGGCTGCCGGGGTGGGTGTCCCGGGGCTCTGCCCCGTCCCTAGATGCCGCCTTCCCTCTGGGCCCCCAGCTTGGGAGCAGAGAGGGGCCCCCCACCATGCAAAGGTGATAGGTGGCCCGAGACCAGGCCCGGGAGGCCCTGCCTGGGGCGTGTCTCTGTCCGAAGGTCCGTCTCCAGCGCACGTGTGACCCTCAGGGCTGGGTGGACGTGCCCCGGAGAGCCGGACACGGCCCCACGCGTGCAGGTCACGGAGCGGGGCCCGCCCCGCGGCCCAGGGCAAGCGGGGCCGCCCGGCGAGGACGGGCACCCCGGGGCCCGGCCGCCCACCTGCCCCTGACGCTGCCTGGTCCCCCAGGCGCTGTCCGTGGGCATCTTCCCGTACGTGCTCAAGCTGCTGCAGAGCTCCGCGCGGGAGCTGCGGCCCCTGCTCGTCTTCATCTGGGCCAAGATCCTCGCCGTGGACAGCGTGAGTGGGCCACCGTCTCCGCGCGCTCCCCCTGCCCCGGGCCCGCCCCTCCCGCCCCGGGTGACCCTGCCCCGTGGCCCCGTCTCCTCCCTGGGGGCACATGCCCACTGCCCCGGAACGGGGCCCGGCGGCGGGTCCGGCAGCAGCCTCCCTGGCCGCGTGCTGCAGGGAGGCCCTGGGCAGGAGGCGGCCACTGCATGTCCGCGGGTCCCCGCTCCACGGCGAGCGGAGGGGGGCCCCCCAGGCCCTCGCAGTCACGCGTCTCCCGTGTGCCCTCCCGCAGTCGTGCCAGGCGGACCTGGTGAAGGACAACGGCCACAAGTACTTCCTCTCGGTCCTGGCGGACCCCTACATGCCGGTGAGCACCCCGCCCCCCTGCCGTGGGCGGCTCAGCGTCTGTGTCGTCTGTCTCTGCTCCCCCGTCGCGCTGCGGGGGCCCCGTCGCGGCTCTGGAGCAGGGGCCCCCTCGCCCCCCAGGCGGGCAGCCACGCCTCAGGGGCCACGTCCGCACCGCGGCTGCTGCCTCCTCGCACAGACGGCACGGGTCTCGGTGGGCGCCTCGGCGCCGTGTCTGAGTGAGAGTGTGGGGGGCCCCACCCTTCGCTGGCCCAGTCTCCTCCCCCCGGCACACTGCCGCCGCGTGCTGGAACCCCCGCCGCCTGCTGACTGCGGGGTCAGCCTCGCGGGCCCCGGGACACTGACGTGATGGGTCCCGTGTGCAGCAGAGGTGCAGAGACCTTCCGGGCGCCCACGTGCCTCGGGCGTCGGGGAGGGAGGGAGGGAGAGAGGGAGGGAGCCTACATTTTAACGTGAAATCGTGAGAGCGCAGCCGTCTGCGAATAGCACGCACTGTAACTCCTGTGACCGTTTTCTGAGAAGGGCCTGGGTTCCCCGACTCCAGCTGCGAGCCGGGGAACAGTCGGTGCCATCAGAGACTCGCCAGAGGGCGTGGGCAGCGGGGCGGACGCGGCCGGGGAGCGACCTGGGGAGGAGGCCAGGCGTGGAAAGGGCAGCGGGGCTGAGAGGGTCCATTGAGCACAAGCGGCAGGAGGAGTCACAGTAACAGAGGCGTCCACCGGGGGCGCAAGTGTCCAGGGCAGAGGACCATTTGCCCTGGAGGGGCCGTGACGCCCATGGGCCGGCGCAGACAGCGGAGATGTGGGGGCCCTGTGAGGCGCCAGGGGAGCTGCCGTGTCACCCGGAAGTCTCTGTCCAGCGCAGGCATCCCCGAGAATGAGGGCGGAGCCAGCGCGCCGTCTGAAACGGGCTGCTCCCGTGTGCGCCCCCACCCAAGATGGTCCTAACGCCCGCGGCCCCGCAGGGGGTCGAGCCCAGAGGAAGCTGGGCGCGGGGGCAACACGTGGCTCGTGCACGCGATGGAGGACCAGCAGCCACGTGGGCGTCGGGACGGGGCAGGCGTGCGGGGGCCGGGCGCGCAGACAGCCCCGCTCGAACCCCAGGGAGGCAGGCCCTGCTCTGTGTGGCCCACGCGGGGCCCCGACCCCGGAGCCCGCAGAGGGCGGGGCGAGGGCCGGAGGGGCCCCGTCCCACAGGAGCCCGGGAAGGTGCTCCCACGGGAGACGAAGCCGCTTGGGGGTTCGTTTCACAGCACGTGCTCGGTCTGGGGCAGCCCGGGGGCGCCTGGGGCAGGACGCCCCCAGACCGGCCCCGCCCCCACCCTGGCTGCCCGGCCCGGGAGGGGCCGCTCTTTCCTGCTGCACGTGTGATCCACGCTCACCGCCAGGGGCCCTGAGCGGACGTCCCTGCCGTGCGTGACGAGCGCGCCCTCTGTCTTCCAGGCGGAGCACCGCACCATGACGGCCTTCATCCTCGCCGTGATCGTCAACAACTACAACACGGGGCAGGTGGGTGGCGCCTCGTGTCCCCGCCCTGCCCTGCGCCCCGGCCTCCTGCCGACCAGGGGCGGCCGGGCCGCAGCTGCCGCACTCGGGGACCACGGGGGCGTGGTCCTGAACGTCCAGCGGGACGGTCGCCCTCAGGGAGAGGGGCTGCACCAGCCCGGGGGAGCAGAGGGGCCGCCCCTGTGTTCAGCCGGTGTCCGCAGAGGGGACTGGAATTGGAGGGTTTTGAAACCAGGGACGTATCAAGACCTCCCTGGGAACCGCCAGGGCCGTGACCGCGGCTGCGTGAGTCGCCCACGTGTGTCCCCCAAACCCCGCAGGAGGCCTGCCTGCAGGGCAACCTGATCGCCATCTGCCTGGAGCAGCTCAGCGACCCCCACCCCCTCCTGCGCCAGTGGGTGGCCATCTGCCTCGGGCGCATCTGGCAGAACTTCGACTCGGCCAGGTGGTGTGGGGTGCGGGACAGCGCCCACGAGAAGCTCTGCAGCCTCCTCTCCGACCCCATTCCTGAGGTGGGTCTCCCCCCCCCCCAGACCTGGGGCCAGGCCGAGGTGCCCCTGCCAGCGGGTCCTTGGTGCCGGTGGTCCCGCCGGACGCCGCATGGGCAGGGGCACCATGGGGACAGCGCCCGCAGCAGGGTCTGCTCCCGTGTGCGTCCCGGTGTCCATAAGCCGTCCTCCACCACCTGTCCCCTGAACCCCCTCTCCCTCACCGCCACCTGCTCCTTGAGCTGGGGGTGCTCGGGCCCCATGCTGCCCCTCCCCCGTCCCCCTCCGTCCCCATGAGTGGGGCTGGTGTGGAGGGCTGTGCGGGGGGAGCTCCGGCCCGAGGGTCAGCAAGGGCGGGGCTGTGACCGGTCCCGTCTCCCCGCCCCCGCAGGTACGCTGTGCGGCCGTCTTCGCCCTGGGCACGTTCGTGGGCAACTCCGCGGAGAGGACCGACCACTCCACCACCATCGACCACAACGTGGCCATGATGCTGGCGCAGCTCATCAGCGACGGGAGCCCCATGGTCCGCAAGGTGCGTGGCCGGGCCTGACCGTGGCCGTGGGCGCCCCGCTCCCGGCGGCCCTGACAGGCTCAGGCTCCTGGGGCGTCCTGCCCACCCCCAACACTCTGCGCTTGCGTCACTTGGAGCGTCGCCCAGGCCATCCTGGTGTCTGTGTGGCGGGCTGGTGCAGCCTGGGAGGGGACAGAGGGGCCGGGGTGTGGGTGTGGTCCCGTCTCCGGTGTCCCCTGAACAGGGTCCTGGGTAGAGCAGGAGGCGCCCCGGGTCTCAGTGGGGCAGCAGCGGCAATTTCCGTCTGGGTCTCACACTGGCTGGGACTTAGCACAGCCAGGTCCCCCGTCCGTCCCCAGGTGAAAGGGCCCCTCAGGGGGCTCGTGGTCACTGCCTCAGGGCCGAGCTGCGGGGTCCTGGGAGGGAGGGGCCAGGCTGCAGGCCCAGCGCCCAGGCCCCGGCAGCACCTCACGCCTCCTTTGTAGCTGTGAGTGCTCGCTGCCTGCAGCGCGAGGGGCGTGGCCGCTGCCTCCTGGGTGGGTGCGGCCTGGGACCTGCCCAGCCGTCCGCAGCAGGCAGTGTCTGCCGGGGAAGCCCGGGGGGTGTAGATGTGGGGGGGGGCCGGTGGCAGTGGGCGGGAGGACGCACTGCTGACGGGAGCCGGTCACTGTCCCGTCTGCCCGGCCAGGGCCCCCAGGCCTGTGACCCAGCGGCGACCGGCGTGAGCTTCAGGTGTCACCGCTTCCCCACAGCCTGTCACTGCCGCAGGAGGTGTGACTGTCCTTGTCCCTCTCGGCAGGAGCTGGTGGTGGCGCTGACCCACCTGGTCGTGCAGTACGAGAGCAACTTCTGCTCTGTGGCCCTGCAGTTCATGGAGGAGGAGAAGAACTACCCGCTGCCGTCGCCCGCCACCACAGGTGCAGCCCCAGCTGTGAACGCCGGCGGCCGGGCGCCGGCCCTCTGCCTGAACCGGCAGCGGCCGCTCAGCCTCACAAACGCGGGCGCAGGTGTCCAGCGCCCACCGCTGGGGGGCCGGCTCTGCGTGGCTCCGAGGCCCCCATCCCCCGGCACCGAGCGGCCCAGGACGGGCAGGGAGGGGCTGCTCGGACCCTTGGAGTCTTCCCTCCTCTCACCCTTGTTGGAAATCACACGTGGGGAGACGCTGAAGGCACCTGAAGCCGTGGGGGTCTCAGAGAGCAGCTTGAGGTTTGCCCCTTGTGGGCCGCCTGCCGCGCGGTCCCGCCGCCCCTCCCCGGCGCACGGCCAGCTCTGCCAGGAACAGGGCCTTGTACAGCAGCAACATCTTCGCTGCTGTTCCTGCGCCGAGGGGCCGCCGCACTCCGTGGCAACAGCTGAGCCCCTGCTGGGAGGGCCAGCCCTGCCCCGTGGAGCCTCCCGTCACCGCCCGCTCCCAAAGCAACGGGCGTGACCCCTGCTCCTTGCCCCACCCCCACCCCCACCCCCGCTCTTGCCGTGTGCGGCTGGAGCAGCTGGGAACACGTCTCTCCCTTTCTCCCCGCAGAGGGCGGCAGTCTGACGCCCGTGCGAGACAGCCCCTGCACCCCCAGGCTGCGCGCCGTGAGCTCCTACGGGAACATCCGCGCCGTCACCACGGCCAGGAGCTTGAACAAGTCTCTGCAGAACCTGAGCCTGACAGAGGAGTGTAAGCTGCCAGGAGCCGGGCCCCCGGGTCGGGCGCTTTGTGGGAGCAGGTGCCGCCCCCTCCCTGCCGTGAAAGTGGGGCCTGGCGACGGCGGTTCAGCCCCCAGGACCCCAGCGCCCCGACTTGGGCTTCCTGCAGCCCGCCGTCCCCTGGGGTGGGGTGCCTCGGCCCCGAGATCGGGGGTGGGGGTGGAGCACGCACCTCAGTCACTCGCCCCAACCCCAGCGGCCGTGGGACCTGAAGCGGGGTGGGGGCCGGGCGGGCGGCACTGACGCCCTCCCTGCGGCGCGGCAGCCGGCGGCGCGGTGGCCTTCTCCCCCGGGAACCTGAGCACCAGCAGCAGTGCCAGCAGCACGCTGGGCAGCCCGGACACGGAGGAGTACATCCTGTCCTTCGAGACCATCGACAAGATGCGGCGCGTCAGCTCCTACTCCGCCCTCAACTCCCTCATCGGTGAGTCCCGCCCCCCGCCCGGCGCGCTGCACACCCACACTTGGGGGCTGCTGGGGCCGCGAGCGGGGGAGGGGACAGTTCCGGTCCCTTCTGCCTTGAGCTGGTGACACTGGGTGGGCTGTCTGGGCCAGCCTGCCCCGCCCCACGGTGGTGCCAGAATCCTCTGTCCCTGTCGTGCGTCACAGGACGGCGGTGTTCCGCTGGGTGGCCTGCCCCCGGGGGGTGCACGTGACAGGCAGTGTCCCTCGCGGGCCCCACCGGAGACGGGGACACGCAGTGTGAGTCAGAGGCCCCTGTCCTCGGGGCGTCTGGCCTGGGGGGGTTGGCGAGTTTGGGTTCAGGATCCAAGTATCGGACAGTGACAGCGTCCTTCAGGTTGTCTGTGTCCTCAGGGGTGAGCTTTGGTGGTTGAGCTACGTCTCCCTAAGACATTGTCCATTTCACCCCAACCTCCTCGTTTATCTCCGAGAAGCTGCCCCAGAGCGTCCTCATGGCTCCCAGTCTCCGCGCTGCACCAGCAGGCGGCCGGCCAGCCAGAGCGAGGCGAGGCCCCCGCGCCGCCCCCCTGGGCCCAGAGCCCGAGGGCCTGCACCCCCCACCCCCCACCCCGCCCCCCAGGGCAGCCCTGTGGGGGGAACAGCCCCCGCCTGCTCCTCCTCAGGACCGCGGGGTCCACGCCCTCGGCACACAGGGCCACCTCGTCCCGGGAGCCGTGACGAGTGACGCACCTGACTGGCCCCAGGAGAGAGGGCCGAGTGCGGAGAGGTCGTCTCTCCTTGCGGTGCGGCGGCCGCCGCACTGGCGAGCGGTCGGGTGGGCCTGGGTGAGGTCCTCGCTTCCAGCAGCTGGGCCTCGCCGTCCCCCCCGTCACCGGGGTGAGGCCCGCGTCAGGGAGTGGGGCGTCTGGTGGGCTTGAGCAGCCTCCACGGGGCAGGACACGTCCCCTCCTTCCCTTCTCCCCACACGGGCCGTCACGCGTGAGCACGTGTGTGTGTGCACATGCACGTCGGCCTGCAGCGGGCACACAGACGGGGCTGTGCGTGGAGGACACTTGGGAAGAGTCGCTGTGTGTCCTGGGAGACCCTGGGGTCTCGGGTCCCATCACGTGCCCCGGACGTCCGGGCACTCGGGGACAGAGCGGCCTGTGCTGCGTGAGGGGAGGACTGAGCCCGGAGCCCGGAGCCCGCCGGGTGTGGGGCCGGGTGTGGGGCCAGGGTGGGCGCCCCCCCAGCGGGTCCCCTCACGCAGGTCCCCTCACGCAGGTCGCAGAGGCCCCCGGACGTGCAGACAGGCCCGGGGGCCGGGTGCTTGCCAGGCAGCCCAGCGTTTGGCGGGAGGTCCTGCCCTTTTCCGACTCCCGTTTCCTCCTAGAGGGACCCCTGCTCGGAAGGGGACACCGTCCGCAGGAGAGCGGCCGGGGCCCCCGGGGCTGCCCGCCCCTGACCCGCCCCTGCCCCCCGCAGGCGTGTCCTTCAACAGCGTCTACACGCAGATCTGGAGGGTCCTCCTGCACCTGGCCGCCGACCCCTACCCGGACGTGTGCGACCTGGCCATGAAGGTGCTCAACAGCATCGCCTACAAGGTGGGCCGCCGCCGCCGCGCCCCGGGCCCCTCACCCGCCACGCGGGTCCGCCCCTCGGCTTGACACGGCCGTCATGTGCCAGGGGCGTGTTCTGCGTGACTGCTTCCCGTGTCGGGGCGCCAGGTGACGCAGCGAGGCCCGCGAGGCCCGCGGAGGTGACCCTGGGCCTGGCCACGCCCACCCGGGGGTCTCCTGGCTGCGGGGAGCTCACCTGCAGGGCCGGCCCCCGTCTCCGCCGTCCTCCTGCTGCTGCGGGTGCGGCTCGCTGTCCCGCACGCTGCGTAGGGTGGGGGCTCCGGCCGTGGCCTTGGGGGGTCCCCCTCCTCCGGGTACTGGGAGCCCCCCACACCTCCCCGGGAGCCCCGGGCATCGTGGGCCTTCCTTCCCGGGTTCTTCCCGCCCCGTGGGTGCTCTAGCCTGACAGCAACGTCCCCCGAGTGCCGGCATCCGGGGAACCGTCCTGGGTGTGACCCCTCAGGCCCGCAGTGGGCACTCCTGGTCTCGCTGGCACCCGGAGCCCAGAGACCTCTCTCCCACCTTCCCGGAGCCCGGCCCCCTGAGCCCCGGTGGCCGCCGGGGGCCACACTGCGCCCAGGCAGAAAACGGCTAGAAAGGCAAATAGCCCCGGCGGGTGGGGCTCAGGGGACTGAGCCCCAGCCTGTGAACCGAAGGGCTGCCAGTTCAGTTCCCGGTCAGGGCACAGGCCTGGCTTGTGGAACAGGCCAGCTCCCCAGTGCGGGGTGGGCCGCCCAAAAGACAACCGCACATTGGTGTTTCCCAAAGGAAAAAAACAGAGAAAGGCAAAATCATTCCACCTGCAGGGTGGCCCTGGGGGGCGTTCACGGCTGGCGCCTCCGTGGACAGCGAGGTCCCCTCGGTCTCAGGGCCTTTCCTGCTGGAGCCACCGGAGGCAGCCCCGCCCGGGGCCGCCCGCCCGCCCGCCCGCGTCACGGGCCCCTCTGCTCTTGCAGGCCACCCTGAACGCCCGGCCCCAGCGCATCCTCAGCGCCTCCTCGCTCACCCAGTCGGCGCCCGCCAGCCCCACCAACAAGGGCGTCCACATCCAGCAAGCGGGGTGAGTGGTCGGGGCCCCCTGCGGCCAGGTCCCAGGTCCGCGGGCGCTCCCCCGCCCCACTGCCGGCCCCGCACGCCGGCTCCCCGGTCCCCGCCCCCGTGCTCCCGAGTCCCATGCCGCTCCTACCCCCCCGCACCCCCATGGGTGTCGGGTCTGAGCCCCACCTGCCTGCCCGCCCGGCACAGACGGAGCAGCAGACCTCAAGGGGAGCCCGGTGCCCACGGCCACTTGCTGGGGCCCCGAGGGAGGGTCCGCACACCCCGTGGGACCAGCGTGGGGGGGGGCAGGTTGGGGGGCGGTGCTCCCCCGAGGGAGGGAGGCTGTGCGCCGAGTTCCGGGGCCGCAGACCTGTGCGCCTGGCCTGTTCACCGGGTGTCCGTTGGGGCCCCTGGGGGCGACCGGGGTCGCTGGCGTCTGGCATCAGGGCGGCATGGTCAGGGCAATGCCACGTGTCTCCTCCCCGACGGCAGGGGCTCCCCTCCGACGTCCAGCACGAGCAGCTCCAGCCCGACCAGCGACGTGGCCAAGCAGCCGGCCAGCCGGGAGCTGCCTGCGGGCCGGCTGGGCGCCCCCGGGCCCACGGGGGTGCAGTACACGCCCCACTCGCACCAGTTCCCCCGCACGCGGAAGATGTTTGACAAGGGCCCGGACCAGGTGGGTGCCCCCCTGCCCGCCCTGCAGGCCTCGGGGCTCGCTCCCTGCGACACTCCGGCTTCTGCGTGGGGGGGTGCCGGGCGCGGGCTTTGCCCCCCTTCCCTCGGGGCGGCCCGGCCCTGGGTGGGCCGCTCTCGGCCCCGTGCACAGCGTGGGGCCAGGCTGCGCTGCTGCCCTGCTCTCCCTCCCTGGGAGACGCGTTCTGCCTCCGCTGGACGTGGCCAGCGCCCCACAGGAGAGGGTCAAGTCTCTGCGTCTTGGGGGACGGCTCACGAACGGGGACACCCAGGCTGGGCCCTCGGGGTCTCGGCCAAGGCCCCGCGGCCTGCAGGGCAACCTTGGGGCAGGAAGGGCACACTGGGGGTGGTCTCCCACGTGCCGCCAGCCCCTGCCCTCCCCCGCGGCAGCAGGTGGCATGTGGTCCCCCCCCCAGGCAGAGTGACACCTGTCACTGTGTCCCGACGTGGGGTTCCCACCGGGCGAGCCTCCCGGGCGGTAAGGTCCCTTCCTCTCCCAGCACCCTGTGCCCTGCGGGGACGCCTTGGGTGCCCGTGCACTGCCCCGTCTGCGCGGCAGCCCCCGGGGACCCCTGACCTGGCTGGCACTCACGAGCCTGTCCAAGTGGCTCAGGACAGGGACAGCCCAAGCCGCCCTCCGGCCCTGGGGGGGACGCGGCTCCCCACGTGCAGACTCAGGCCGCCGTCCCTGATCCCGGCTCCCAGAACCCTGCCCACACACCCGGGGTCCCGGGGACCACCCGATACAGGAGGCCAGCGACGCCCGCCCGTGCCCTCTGTCTGCACCGGACCTGGGCCGCACGCACACGGGGGCAGGGGCGACCTGGCCCCTGTCTCTGCCCCCTTCTCCCCTCCCCGTGCACCCGGAAGACTGCCGACGACCCGGACGACGCCGCCGGACACAAGAGCTTCATCTCAGCCGCGATGCAGACGGGCTTCTGCGACTGGAGCGCCCGGTACTTCGCCCAGCCCGTCATGAAGGTACTGCGCCACTCGCCCGGGGGCGGGGGGCTCGCGCCGGGCCCCTGCCCGAGCCGCACTCGGGTCCCGCAGAGCCCCCTCGGGGGCCCCTGGACCTCGGCTCCGAGCCAGAGGCCCGGGCCACCTGGCGTGCACCCACCGGCCTGGGGCCCTGGGCGGTGACCTGAGGCGGGGCAGGCAGCCCAGGGCCCTGCTGCGCCAGCCGCCAGCGCTGTCCCTCTGGGACTCCTGTCCCACCGCCTCTGCAGCCGCCGAAGGGTGACGCCAAATTGCTGCCACAGTAGCTGGTGGCCACGGTTGAAATAAAGCAGCAAAAGAAACAGACTTCATTTGCTTTCCTGTCCGACCCAAAGAGAGGGGGAGGGCGGGGAGCGGGGGGAGAGGCAGCCATTCCCGAGGTTGCCGAGTGCAATGCCTCCCTTCCTCTGGCCCGGCGAGGCCGCCCCAGGCTGGTCAGCACCCTCCGGGCGGGCACCGCTCGCGGCCTGTCCCCGGGCCGTGCCCAGGCGGCTCTGTGCTCTGGAGACCAACGTCACCGATTTTCCTGAAGACCCGCCCGCCGGGCTGAGGCCAGTGCACCTGGCCCGTTCCACGAGACTGCCTCACGGGCCAAAGCCTGCCACGGCCGTGATGCCGGTGTCCCTGTGCCCGCAGACGTGAGCCGCCCCCAGGGGGACAGGGTGGCCGGCACTGCCTCCTCGGAGCGGCACCTGGGGCCATGCTTCCCGGAAGCTGCAGGGCCCGCTTGCCGACTCCCCGGCCTCGGCCGCCCCCGGAGACCCGCCCCTCGCGTGGCTGCTCGGGAAGTGGCCGCAGCTCGTTCCTCGTCAGGATCCCGTGCCGCGGCGGAGCAGTCCCCGGGCAGGGCGGGCCTTCTCCCGCTCCCTCCCCTGCCCCGAGGGGGGCTGGCGCTCGTCGGTGAAAACGGAACACTCACCGTCACGCCTGCCGCCAGTGACGATGCCTCCTGGTTCGTCGGACCCCGGGATGGAGAGGGGCCGAGGCCCGACTTCTCCAACTTCTCCGGAGCAGAGGCGCCAGCGCCTGGCACAGCCACGCCCCGGCCCAGCGCCGCTGGGGGTTGGTGCCCCGTGAGGAACGTTCCCCATCTGACTCGTGCGGCCGGCGGACTGGGGACCCGCGCGGAGGGGCCGCCGAGGGAGGACGGCACTGGCGAGGAGACGCACGTGCGACCTCCTGGGGCCGTTTGCAAACTCCGCTGGGACGGCAGCGTGAGGAGGTGCTCCCGGCGAGGTCTTTGGAGAGAAGGAACGGCAGGACCCAGGCTGCGTGCGTGCAGAGCGGTCACCGCTGCAGCGCGGTCCCAGTGCTGCGGCCCCCGGAGGCATGGGGCGCGTCACCCGCCTGCGCCCAGCGAAAAGGCGGAGGCCAGTCCTGACGGGGCCTCAGAGGACACTGCGGCGGCGGCATCAGCCCTGCAGACGCCGTTTCCCTGTGCGCGCTCCCACCTCCCCTGTTCTCTGTGCACGCGCCTCCCTGGTCGGAGGGGGGTGTGGGGGCAGCAAGGTCGCCGTGGCCTGTGGGTCAGGCTGCCCCGAGACCGGCCGGCCAGCCCCCACGGGCTGGGGACGACACCCCTCCTAGCCCCAGGAGGGAAGGGGGGCCTGCCCTGGGGCTTGTAGCGGACACAGCGGGGCGCAGGCCCGGGGGAACGAGTCACCCCTGGGAACCAGTGGTGCCAGCTGCTGAGGTTCAGGGTTCTGTTTACCACTGACAGAGCTCAGCTCCTGGAGATACACCCACCCCGCCGAGGCTGGCGCGGCCAAGCCGCCCCCGCAGCAGGGGCCTGGTCGCTCTCCTGCTGTGGCCGGGGGTGGGGTGGAGGGAGCAGGGGCTGTGAGTCGTGCTGAGTCCCAGGGCCGAGGCGCTGCCACCCTTTGAGACGCGCCGGCTCAGTCACCGCCCGCGGCCCCGGGAGGAGCGGCGTAGGTTGCCCCAGACTCACTTTTCTGAACTGGAACGTGAGTCTCACCCGTTCCCCGGGGTCTGCTTCCCTGCGCTCGGTGTTGGGGTGAGCGAGCCCCCGTGGGCGCGTGGGTGCGGCGTGCAGGGACAGTGGCCCGCCCTCGACATGGACGCCCATGCGTGTCGCTCCCGTGTAGACCCACGGCCGGCAGCACCTGCTCCATGGCTCACGCCAGGCTCCCTGGTGACAGAACTCCACCTGCCCCCGTGGGCTCCTGCTCGTGCCCCCGGGAGGGCGTCTGGTTCCTGCCGGCAGACGCACAGGGCCGGGGACGGGGGTGTCCGCTGCGTCACCAGCCCAGACCCACGCTGTGGCTCCCGCAGCGCGGGCAGGGACCCGGAGGAGGACGGCAGTGTCCCCTCCCCGTCCCCGGGCTGTCACCACCAGGCTCCGGAAGCGGCAGGGTCGGCGTCTGCCCTGCCCTGCGGCCCACGTGGGAACGGTCCCGTGTGCCTGTGGCTTCAGGGACGGGCCGGGTGTGGTGGCCGAAGGCGGCAGCGCCCTGTCCAGTCAGCTCGTCTGGAACCCCTGGCGGCCCCTGAGTTGCTGGGGCGCACGAGCACTCGGGCGACGTTCGTCCTTCACGTCAACCAGAGACCTTGTCCGAACACCCGTCCCAGCGCACGCCTTAACGATTTCTTCCTGCGTCTTCCAGGCGGCATTCACAGCGTTTTTATTAGTTTCATTCATCACCTAACGACGTGTTTGTGCGGTAAAACGCATCAGGGACTTTTCTATTAGCCTGCGCTGCGTGGAAACTCGACAGAGCTCAAGGCTGGGGCCTCCCTCCGGGACGGGACCCCCACCCCCCTGCGCGGCCTCTCGGGGGACGGGATGCCCGCGGCGTCACCATCGCGTGCGGCTGGCGGGGGGGTGGGGGGCACCCGGAGCACGTGGGGTGGGTGGGGGGAGGGGGCCTGCTGGGTGCCCTCTGCTGGAGGAGACAGCCGGCTCCTTCCCCACCCGGGGGGCTTCCGAGAGCCCGTCAGCCTCGGGAAGGGTGCTGAAGGCGGTCCGCCGTGTCTGCGGCCTGGGGTCGGCCCACTCCGCTCACCCTCCACGGAGGTGGGCTCCCCGGGGTGAGCGGAGACGGGTGCTCGGGGGTCCTGGTGGTGCGGGGGAGGGGGGGGCGCTTCAGTCACAGGTTCTGAAGTCACAGGTGGGTGGCCCTGAGCCGCCAGGCCTGCCGGAAGGGAGACGCAGTGGGTGTGTCTGCGGACGCCCCCTCCGACGCGTCCGTAGTGGCAGGACGCACCCGGGAGAGGCCGCCACTGGGAGGGGACTGGAGCGGGGACGATGCAGCTGCGCAGCGGCACCCCGCACGGCCTCTCCGGTCGTGGGCGCCGCCCAGCGCCACAGGCTGGGTCTCCTCGGAGCCTGGTCCCTTGTCGGCCCTGCGCTGCTGGCCGCAGAGGCGTCGGCGCAGCCTGGGTGGTCCCTCCCGACGTGAGGGATGGGTTCGGGTTGTTTCTGAGTTGTCCATCTGGAGCCGGAACGTGCCCCCACCGGAGGAGAATCCGCAGGGTCGTCTCGGCGGCAGACCAAGGACTCTGCACAGGGTTGGACGGCCGATCACAAGAAAGACGCTGAGCACGCAGGGGACAGACGGACGCTTTCCGTGTACGGGCCGCCCAACAGCCCGCGGTCGGCACCCCTCCCGCCGGGGTGAGACGGCAGTTTTTTCTGGAACCAGGAGTGAGGCCAGGAGGTCTGACCCCTTCACCCCCGTTCCCCACCCCGCCGGCCGCGGGTACCCGTGGGCCCGGGGTCGCCGCACAGACACCAGCTGTGTTTCTCTGCCACTCGAAACCCTTCACGGGAGCGCCTCCCCGAGACAAAGCCGCAAGATGTGAGCCAGAAAGAAAGCACACGCGAGGCCCGGATCCGGGGAACACCGCGCCCCGATGAGGACGTCGGTGGAGGCCCCGACCGGCGGAGGCCACGGCCGGGGCTGGAAGGCCCGGCGGGGTCCTCTCCCGAGTGGAGCTGGGGCCCAGCAGAGCCCTCGGTCCCCGTCGCAGCGGGTTTCTTCACAGCGACGACCTCTTCTAGGGTGTGGGGCGGGGAACAAGGAAACCAGGAGGGTTTTGACCCGGGGCACGGCGGGAGGACTTGCACGGCCCCGTCTCAGGACCCGCCGCGAAGCCGAGCGGTCAGGCAGGGCCCGGAGGGCGGCGCGCCCACTGGCCAGCAAGGCGGGGTGGCGCGGGGCAGCTGCCCCCCCGCCCCCAGAAGGGGGTCTTCCCGCACGCGGCCGTCTGCCAGCAGGGTGGCCCTCGGCCCCGCCCTCACGCCTCCTGCAGGACCGAGTCCCCGTGAGGCGCAGCCCTGAGTGTGATGCCTGCGGCCACGAAACGTCTAGAAGAAACTCTTCGTGGCCTGGGGCGATGTTTTTTCTTTTTAAAGATTTATTTATTTTTGGAGAGAGGGGAAGGGAAGGAGAAATGGAGGGAAACATCCATGTGTGGTTGTCTCTCGAGGGCCCCGCACTGGGAACCTGGCCCACAGCCCAGGCCTGTGCCCCGACTGGGAATCGAACCGGCGACCCTTTGGTGCGCAGGCCGGCACTCAGTGCCCTCAGCCACGCCAGCCAGAGCGGTGGTTTCTTAGATGCAAGAAGCACAAGCCTACAGGGACAGACAGATGACCTGTCTGAGCAACACCACTAGGAAAATGGAAGCACGAACCACGGGTGGAAGACAAGTTGTGGAGGACGTGTCTGACGCTGGCGGCCGCTCGGGGGCGAGCAGTGACCGGAGGAGGCCCCACCGCCGACGCCCGCTCCGTCCACCCCCCGCCCCGGGCCGGCAAAGACGCGGCGCAGCGGGAACCACGGCTCCCAGACGCCGGAAACGTCCGGCCACTTCCCACCCTGTGAAGCACAGCCCTGCACTCGGCTGCCGGCGTCCACCCAGGAGGGATGGATACTCACGGCCACTCAGGAACCCGGGACCGCTCCTCGGGGCTTCCCTCGCACTCTCCAAGACCTGGGAACCTCCCCGACGCCCTCCACCGGCCAGTGAACCGACAGAGCCTCGTGCCGCAGCGGGGGCCAGGCTCGAAGGGCCGCACCCTGGACGGTCCACGCACCCGGCATTCCGGAACGGGCGGGGCCGAGCGGCAGCACGGAACACGGGTGGGTGGGTGGGTGGGTGACAGCGGGGCCTCAGAGCAGGGGGGCAGGCGCTGCTCTCCGCCCGGACGGCTGCGTGACGCAGCCCTCTCCCCGGAAGTCAGAGCTCGGCCCCGAAAGGGAGAGACTTCCTGTGTGTGAACCCCATCTCGGCGACCCCGGGATGGAGAAGCACCCCAGGAAGGAGAACGCCCACATGGGTGCCCCTCCGGTTCCTGGCCCGAGAGCTGTGGGCACGGGGCCCGGCCCCGGGGACTCGGGCCCGTCCGCCGGCTGCCCACTGTCCGTGGGGTCTCCGGCACCTTCTCCTCCTGTTTCCTGTCCTTGTCACTGCTTCGCTGGGGGTGGGTCTGCGGCCTTTTTTATGGAAAGAAAGAAGGGAGCACGAACAGAAGCCTGGAGATCAGAGGCCTCCGGTCCCTTGTGCGCGGACACTGAAGTGGGGTTCCTCCGGGGTGTTTGTGTCTTGTGGGCACACATCACCAGGCATCGGGGGGACCCGGAATGTTCTGGGAGACCTGGACTCCTGTCTGGGCGGGAGCCCTCTCGTGCCTCAGCCTCGGCCGCACGGGCACATGCGTGTGAGCCCCCGTGTCCGCGGAGACCACCCCACACCGGCGCGGGCTCTGCCCCGCGGGAGGCCCCCACTGACCGCAGGCGGGTCCCGGCCTTCCTCGGGGGACGCCGGCCGCTCCTTGTCTGCCTGGCGTCTCCCGTGTCCGGGGGCTTCACGGCCCCGAGTGGCCCTCAGGGGGCCAGGGCGGGCCCCAGTCAACCGGCGTGTGTGACCAAGGAAACGAGTCTTTGTCCAGACAAGTGACCGCACTCGGAATAGATGGTGTCAGCCCCAGCTCATCGCTGGCTGAGTGCTGCTCTCTCTTACACATGGGTTTTGCACGCCCGTCTGTGGCCCCAGCCCGCTTGCACACGCAGACCGTGACCCAGCGGGACCCTCGTGCGGGAGCAGAGGGCGGTTTGTGCCCACCCCCCTCCCCGGGAGGCGCACCCGGGGCCCTCGGGGCTGCAGCTCGGCCCCCCGACGCTCGGCACAGGGTCGGCGGCCAGGTTGGGGGGCGCCGCCTCCCGGGGGGCCTCCCGGCTGCCACGGCGCGTCCCCCCCTGCAGAACACACACCCGGGTTCTGACCCCGGCCCCATGCTTCCCGAAAGCCTAATGTCCCCGTGAGAGGGTCGCATGCCGTCACTCCTCATCAGAGCGTGGCCACAGCCTCCGCTTCTCCGCTGGCCCCCACGGGGTGGGGCGGGGCGGCTCGGGGCCCGGGGGCAGCAGGGTCCTCGGTCTCTGCTCAACCGACCATGGAGGGCCAGCACCTGCCCGCCCCCCAGTCCCGGCCTCAGAGCCTCTGGCGCAGCAGTGGGGGGAGCGGCCCTGCTGTCGGCCTCCACTGTGTTCCTGACGCTGGGGTGTCGGGTGCAGGGGCCGGGCCAGAGCACCCGGGGCCCAGCACGGGTGTGGGGGGGGCCCTTCCTGGAGGGGACGGCCGCTGTCGAGGGGCCGCGGCCGACCCGGTGGGTTTTGTGGCCGCAGATCCCGGAGGAGCACGACACGGAGAGTCAGGTCCGCAAGGAGCGTGAGTGGCGGTTCCTGCGCAACAGCCGGGTGCGGAAGCAGGCCCAGCAGCTCATCCAGAAGGGTGAGCGGGCGGGGGCCGCCCCGAGCAGCCCACCCACGGGGGCCGGGCGGCGCGGGGGTCCCCTCCTCTCTGCCCGGCAGCCTCCCCGCCAGCACGGGAAGGAGCGGCAGGAGCCGGCCCCCCACCAGGCCTGGGTCCCCGGGGGGGCGGATCCGCGGTCACCCCGACTGTGAGGTGAGGCCCCCCCGCCTGCGTCTCTCGGCTCAGGCATCACCAGGCTGGACGACCAGATCTTCCTGAACCGGAACCCGGGCGTCCCCTCCGTGGTCAAGTTCCACCCCTTCACCCCCTGCGTGGCCGTCGCTGACAAAGACAGCATCTGGTGAGCTTGCGGGTGCCCGCGTTTCCCGCGGCGGCGGCGGCCCAGTCTGTGTGACGGTGTGAGCCTCGCCCCCCCCACTACTCCTCCCCGCCCCCCCGCCCCCCCCCCCCCCCCAGTGTCAGCCGCCAGCGTAGGGGGGCGGGGGCTCTGGTGCCCGAGAGAAGCCCCAGGGGACGCAGCTCCAGGGCTCACCCCCGGCACCGCCCCTGCAGAAGCACGCGGCCCCTGGGAGACCCCGGGCGCCCGGCCCGGCCAACCGCAGGGGAGGTGCCCTCTGCCTGCGGGGCCCAGGTGGGCCCCTGCCCCTGCTCCCCGCTCTCTGCCCCTCCGTGCGGAGGGGACCCACTCACGGTGTCGCTCTCCGGGTTAACCGCTGTCGCCTCGGCACGGACCGCACTTGAGAAAGTGTGTGGCCGCCGACTCCAGCGCTTTCTCGTTGTGCAGAACAGGAACCCGCCCTCGTCAGCCCGTAACCCCCGGCCCCCCCACCCCGTCCATGTTCCGTGAGTGAGCAACACTTTGTTGCCCAAACGGGCTGTGGTTCACCCACCCACCCACCCGTGGACCCCTGGGTGCGTCCCACTGTTCCTAAGTGCGTCACTGAGCTTAGGGTTCACCTTCAGCCGCTGAACGATACGTTCACTTCGAACCCGACTTCAGGGAGGGCAGGGCACTGAACGGCTGGAGGCCCCTCGCTCGTCTGGGGGTCGGTTCTGTGAGGGCACGAGGGGGGCTCCGGGCGGGGGGCTGAGCCCCAGTGTCCAGGGGGACGGGCTCGCTGCCCAAGGGGCTGAGTCTGGCCTCGGGCCACCCACCCACTCACGCGCCCCCAGCCTCCTCTGGCTCAGCTTCCGCAGGTGCTCGTCTGTCCCTGACGAGTCTCCCTGACGACCCCCCGTGCCCTGACACCTGCAGTGACGGGGCCTCAGTGACCGCCGGTCTGGCTGCCGCACGCCCAGTGGTGGCCGTCCTGGGGACGGGGGCGTTCCCTGGGGTCTCACGGCCGCCCCACTCTTGTCGCCCTCAGCTTCTGGGACTGGGAGAAGGGGGAGAAGCTGGACTACTTCCACAATGGGAACCCGCGGTACACCCGCGTCACCGCCATGGAGTACCTGAACGGCCAGGACTGCTCGCTGCTGCTCACGGCCACGGGTGAGTGGGCGGCGCCTGGGCCGGCTCGCGGCCACACCGGGTCCCCTCCGGCCCCGACCGTCTCTTCCGGCACAGGGTGACCCGTTCCGGCTGGCCCTGTGTCCTCCTCTGGGAGCCCGCGCCCCCTGGCCGGGAGGGGCCCTCGCGCCTCCGCCCCTGCAGCCTGCAGGGAGCCCACGGGTCACCAGGGGAGGCGGGCCCCGCCGAGACGAGGGCCAGGGTCTCCAGCCACCTCTGTGGTCAGCTTCCCTCTTCCTGGGGGCCACCTCCCAGCTGCTGTCTGTCCTGCCCTGTTCTGTCCTAACCATCCTGTCCTGTCCCGTCCTGTTCTGTCTTGTCCTGCCCTGCCCTGCCCTGCCCCAGGCTTCTGAGCCACTGAGACGGTTGAGCTGGTCGCACTGACCACACACTCCTCCTCTCCTTCCAAAGCGTCCCTGGCCGCCCTGTGGAGGGGGTGCCGGTGGGGGGCAGGTCCTCTGGCCCCCACTGTCCCGGATGAGGCCAGGCCACTCCCCACAGCCAGTCCCACTGGCTGGGGGCGGCACAGTGAAGAGAGGCAGTGCGGGGGGCTGGCCTGGGGGCTCAGGGAGCCTCACGGGGGCTTGGGACAGGTCACCGGGCACCTCTGGGCGCCGGGAACCGGGGAGGGGTGCCCCAGCCGCAGTGGGCCCAGGAGAGGAACTGAGGGTCCTTCCAAGGGGTCCGGGGGGAAGCCACATGAGCCCCAGAGCAGGGCAGGCTCGCCGTCCCCGAGATGGGGACGAGGCGGCAGACAGGGTGGAGGTCCAGGCCTCGGCTCGGCCACCGTCTCCAGGCGCGTCCCGGCTGACTGCGCGTCCTCCTGCGGCGTGACGTGGGGCCGGTGCGGGGCGGGGGGAGTCCTCCTGCAGGGAGGCGGGCGAGAGGGCAGCCGTGGGGCCGGGGCGCAGGCCGTGCGAGGGGCCAGTGGGGCCGGGAGCGGGGTTCCGGCGGGTGCGACGCCAGGAGGAGGGAAGGACACGCAGGGGACCCGCCTCACTGCCGTCTGCCCGAGGACACGGGCCACGCACCCGCACTGAGCATGCGCGTCCTGGCCAGGGGCCAGGGGCCAGGGCCTGTCTCCCCAGGAGGCTCCTGGCTCGGGGGGCAGTGGGGCGGGTCTGGCACAGACGGGAGGGAGTGACGTGCGAGACCCTGTCCCTCGGTGGGACTGGCTCTTCTCCTCAGCGGGCTGTCCCCCGGGCGGGAGCAGGGCGCGCAGTGGGGCAGAGGCGGGGAGCCTGGGGGGCGCGGCGCCCCTGCTGTGTGCGCAGCGGTCTGCACCGTCACTGCTGCCCCCCCCGCCACCGGTGCCGGGAGCCGGGCCTGCGTTCCAACCGCCTTCTCTCCTGCTCCCCAGACGACGGCGCCATCAGGGTCTGGAAGAACTTCGCCGACTTGGAGAAGAATCCGGAGATGGTGACCGCCTGGCAGGGGCTCTCGGACATGCTGCCCACAACCCGAGGTGCGTCCTCCCCGGCGGCCAGAGAAGGTCTGGGGCCGCTGGGCAGGGTTCTGGGGGTGCCCATGGTTCCACGTCACCCCGGGTGACAGCTCCTGCAGGCCAGCAAGTTCACGTCGATTCTGGGGTTCTGGCCCAGCCGGCTCCCCAGGGAAGACCCTCTCCCTGGGCGGCAGGCCGCACGGGGTGACCGCCTGGCCGGCCCCGACCTGCCCTGGCGCACCCCCAGCCGCATGCCCCTGGGCCCAGCCCTCACCCCCGGCTCCACGGGAGAGCTGCCGGGAAGAGCTGCACTGCTGGCCGGGCCAGGGCCTGCGTCCTGTGCCGTTTGCACCCGAATCGGTTCCCTCTGTGGGGCGGGTGCCCAGGGTCGCCGACCGTGTCCGGCTGTGTCTGGGCACCGAAGGCCTTGTGCACGCACCTGGCCGGCCCCCGGCCCACAGTGTGCGGGCCGAGCTGGGCGGGGCGGGGGCAGGGGCTGTGCTCGCAGGTGGGGTGACAGACACCAGCCCCGCCTGCCGTCCTTCCGGCCGGGGCAGGAGTCACAGGGGCCCCCAGTCCCGCTTCCGGGCTCCCTGTGACCCCGCGAGCATCGGGTCAGGCTGCCCTGGCGCCGACCGCAGGAGCACTTCTCCGTGCCTCCTGCCCACCTGGGGTCTGCACACCTCCGTCCACCCCCTGCACGACCTGCCCGTGCCGGGACGTAGCGGGACCCGTGCCGGAGGCTCCGAGCCAGGAGCCCCAGGAGCGAGGCTGGGGCGGGCGCTGCTTCCTCCTCGCGCCGGGCCACCTCGGGGAGGTGCATGCCCGCTGCCCCACGGGCCTGGGCCTCGGGGCGCGCCTGCCCCGCCCACCCCGTTTCCTCTGACCCTTCCGGCCGCTGCCGCGTGTCCTGCCCCCTGTGCAGGGGACACACGGCAGTTCAGGTGATGTCGTGTGCTCCCGAGGGGTCTCTGGACCTGCCGGGAGGCCTGGGGCGCTCCCAGAGTCCCCGCGAGAGCCTGACTCACGACGTCCATGTCTGTCCCCGGGGAGGGCGTGCGGGCCACCGCCCCACAGGGATCTGGGGGAGGCTCCAAAGGGCTGCCCCAACCTGGAGACCCGGACTCGGGGCGCACGGGAGCCCTGGCCGGAGCTCGCACGGGGTAGGGGGCCTGCCAGGTGGGCCGGCAGGCGTCTCGCCGGAGCAGGCCCCCACGGTGACACTGATGTCTGTCCGTGCGTCCGTCCGTCCGTGCGCCCGCGCAGGGGCTGGGATGGTGGTGGACTGGGAGCAGGAGACCGGCCTGCTCGTGAGCTCGGGGGACGTGCGCATCGTCCGCGTCTGGGACACCGACCGCGAGGTGAAGGTGCAGGTAACCGCACGCGCCACGGCCCCGTCCTCGCGGGAAACTGGCGCTGAGGGCCCCCGGGGGTCGCTAGCCCTGGGGACGGCGGGGCCCGGACGGGCGGGCCCTCGGTGCTGGGAGCTGTGGGGCGGCCCCGCAGGCTCTGCAAACCTCCAGCCTCCGGGCGGGGGGGGACTAGGCCTGTGGGGGCCACCCAGACCCTCGGAGGGCGGGCGCGGCCGGACGCAGGGGGTGCACCTCGGCCTGCCCGGCAGTGTCACTGGGCCCGGGGCTCCGCTCGCCGGGGCCTCAGCGGGTCCCTGCGCTCCGCCCTAGGACATCCCCACGGGCGCCGACAGCTGCGTGACCAGCCTGTCCTGCGACTCCCACCGCTCCCTCATCGTCGCCGGCCTCGGCGACGGCTCCGTCCGCGTCTACGACAGAAGGATGGCCCTCGGCGAATGGTAACCCGGCTGCGCCTTCCCGCCGGGCACCCCCCGCATGCCAGGGGCTGCGTGTCAGCCGCAGGCCCGCCCCACTGAGGCTGCTGTCCCCGTGAGCCGGGGACGGGCCACGCAGAGTTCAGGGCCCGGGGGGCTGGCCAGGCGCTGCCTCCCTGAGCTTGGTTTCCAGGGCGGGGGCGGGGGGGTGCCCACCACGGAGTCGGGCCAGGGAGCCACACATGGGCACCGGGCGGGGCAGCTCAGGGAGCTGGTGTCCGCCTGCTGGTCACTCCCCTGCGGCGGCCCCGCTGGTGGCGACAGCACGGGTGCTGCCCTGGCCCTGACCGTGCGCCTCGCCCGTCCCCGCAGCCGCGTCATGACGTACCGGGAGCACACGGCCTGGGTGGTGAAGGCCCTGCTGCAGCGGCGCCCCGAGGGCCACATCGTGAGCGTGAGGTGAGGCGCACGCACTGCCGGGGCGTCTCTCCGTTGGAGACGTGCGCTTGGTGTCCAGCGGCCGGGGGTGGGGGCGGTGACTGGCCTCTGCTGTGGGACGGGCCCCGGAAGGCGGGGACACACCGGTCCCCGCTGTGGGGAGCCTCGCTGCGGGGGCGGGGGCGGGGGTCTGCCCTGTGGGGGCCGGGGGGCGGGCGGGAGGCGCCTCCCACGGGCACACGGCTGCAGCGGTCTGTGTGCGCACCACGGCCGTCAGCCCGTAAATCCGTTTCCCCGGCTGGTAAATCCTGCGCCGAGAGCAGCGAATATTTATTTCCCCATTAAAGGGACGGCAAAACGTGATTTATTGCCGGGGCCGCTGCTTCTCCAAAGAGCCGCTCCCTCCCTCGTTTGTGATGTAGAAAACAGAACGTGGCTCTTGGAGCTGCGCCTGCCGGGCCGAGGGCCAGAGAGCGGGGGCCCCCAGGGGCACGTGCGGCCCCCCGCCCCCCACCCCCGGCCCCGCAGCTCGGAACCCAACCTCAGGGACGGGGACGGGAACTGACACGAACCGGCCCCGTCTCCCCGCTCCGCCACTGCCCCTGCGCTGGCTCCCCCTGGGGGTCCCAGTGTGCCGGGGGCGGCGGGCGGGCACTCCGAGGGTCCGGGTGGCCCCCACAGGCCTCGTCTGGGGGGCTGGCACGCCCAGCCGCGCGTCACCGTGACCCCCCCTCGGCAGCGTGAACGGGGACGTGCGCTTCTTCGACCCGCGGATGCCGGAGTCCGTGAGCACCATGCAGATCGTGAAGGGCCTCACGGCCCTGGACATCCACCCCCAGGCCAACCTGATCGCCTGGTAGGTGCCCCTCCCTCGGGGCCTGTGCTGCCCGGCCCCGGGGCTGGCCCCCAGGGCCGCACGGGGGGGGGCCTCGCCCCCCTGACCTGGGCCCCCGGAGGAGAGGGGCACTGACCGCCCACCCGCCCCCCGCAGCGGCTCCATGAACCAGTTCACGGCGGTCTACAGCGGGACCGGGGAGCTGATCAACAGCATCAAGTACTACGACGGCTTCATGGGCCAGCGCGTCGGCGCCATCAGCTGCCTGGCCTTCCACCCGTACTGGGTCCGTGTCCCCGCGCCCGGGCGGGCGCTGGCGGGGGGCTCGGGGGGTCAGGAGGCGGGCACTGTGGCGGGGCTGCCCCGGGCCCCCGCCCTCCCGTGTCCGGGACCCTGGCCGGAGCCGCCCGCACCCCCAGGCAGCCCCAGGGCCCCTGCCCCCCAGGGAAGAGCGGCTGCGGAGCGTGAGGACGCCCCGGGGAGAAGTCTCCCGGGGACCGCACACACACAGCGCGGCGCCTGTCCCTGGTGACAGGCGGTGCGTGCGGCCGCAGGCTGCTGCGGTTTCCGTCGGGACCCCGCCCGGCCGCCTGGAGCCCCCCGGGGCCTGGCGCGCGGCTCTGCCGAAACGCATGGCGTGGCTGCACCCAGAGCCATGGCTGGGGGTCCCCCCGTTCCCGTCCCTGCCCTCGGGTGGAGGGGGCAGGAAGTGGCGGGCGGCTGGTGCCCCTTCCCCGCGGCCGCCCCGGGGCCTGCCCCCCCCCCGCTCACTGCCCCCCGCTCTCCCCCGCAGCCGCACCTGGCCGTGGGCAGCAACGACTACTGCATGTCCGTGTACTCCGTGGAGAAGCGCGTCAGATAGCAGCGCCCGTGTGCCCGCGCGGGCCGGCCGCTGCCCGGGCGCCCTGATCCTGACCCGGCTGCGAGGGCTCCCGGAGGCCACGCTGTCCATCTGTCCGTCTGCTGCCGTGCTCTGGAGACCTGGGGCGCGGCGGCTGCTGCTGCTTCGCTGGGTCGCAGCTCCCAGGCCGAGGACCAGGCCGCCCTCACCCGCTCCCTCCTGTCCTGCTTTCCTTCCGAGAGTTTTAACGGGGAGACAGACTCGTTTTCCTCTCCGAGCTCCCGAGCTGCGGCCCCACGGAGCTCCCAGGGGACTCCGGCCTCCCCAGGGCTCGGCTGCCCTCATGTCCCCGGCCTGCCCTTGCCTGGCCGTGGGCGTGCTGGGGCCCAGCCCCCACCCAGCTGGGCCCTCCTGCCCCTGCGCCCACGGGGACAGTCCCACGCAGACAGGAGAGGCCGGGGGTCCGAGACGGGGAGCAGGGTACGGAGGAGCTGGCAGCCGGCCCGCCCACCCATGCCCCGCGGCTCACGGCAGCCCCCCAGCCCCGGCCCCCCTGCAGCCACCTTCCCGGCACAGCCTTGGATCCCAGCCTGGGCCCCTGTGACCACAGCCCCCTCAGCAGGAGGGGCCTGTGGCCTGGGACAGGCAAGGCCGGGCCTGTCGACCCTGCCACTGCCCAGGTCCGTGTCCTTCCCACCTGTGCTTGCACACACACCCCACACGCACGCACACGCACACGGGGGGCGGAGCTGGAGCCCGAGAGGGTCACGGGCAGAAGGTGCCCAGGCACCGCCGCTGTCCCCACCCGGCAGCAGCAGCAGCAGCAGCACGGAGGAGCTCCGCGCCGATCACTTCAGCGCGTGTCTGTGCGGGCGCACAGGTGTGTGTGTGTGTACACGGGTGCGTGCCGAGGTGCGTGTCTGCGTGTGCGGGTGCACGTCAGGGAGCCGAGGCCGCAGCCGAGCCCGGGACCGGCCTCGGAGACCGTGCGGCGCCAGCGCAAACACCTGGAGGACGAAACCCCCACCAGGACACCCGAAAAGCGTTTCCCCACTTTGCTCGGGAACCGGGACACTCAGAGGAGCGAGGCGGCTCAGCCGACTCTGCCCGCGAGCGGCCGACAGCCGTGCGAGCGTGACAGGGCGGTGACGGAAGCTTCGGTCCTCTCGCGCCGCAGACGAGGGTCCTGCCTCAGCCGAGGGCGCCGTGGGCGGAGGGAGCCCCGGGGCGGCGCAGCCTGGGGGTGCTGGGGCGGGGCTGGGCGCAGGAGGTGGCCCTCCCACTCGTGGGCCCTGCGTGCGCCCAGCAGGAGAAGGGTCTGGGGCAGAACCCCCACTCCAGTCGGGGACCTTCCCCTGTGCCCTGGGCTGCACCGGGGCAGGAAGGCCACAGGGAGCTCCACCCCTCCACACACGGCGCCCATCGGCTCGGCACGGAGCTCCAGGCGGCGACCCTGGAGCCTCCCGGAAGCTGAGCCCCCCACCCCCACCCCCCAGACGCTGAGAGCGTCTGAGTCATGGGGCGGTCCCACTCCAGACTCCAGGCTCACGGGCGATGCTGTTTGTTTTGAGACAAAACCATGACCTGCCCCAGCGAGGCCGCTGCCTGCCGTGGTGTGACCGCGGCCACCACGCGGGGCTGTCCTCGCAGGCCCGACGCGAAAATCCAATCATGAAATTGACCCAGGCTCAAGAGCCTGACCGAGAGGTTCGTTGACCCCTATTTATTTTGCCAGAACGACACACATGGAATTGTGCCACGGACGCCGGGGCGCCGACAGACAATAAACTGCCAATAAACCTACGTGCAGAGGTGGCGGCTGGCGGCCTTGTCTTTGCGAGAACGGCCCGGCCGCTGCGTGGGCACCGGCCACTCCACACGGAGTGGCCTTCCCTCGCGCGGTGGCCCGGGGGGGGGCGGTTAGCTGTCCGTCGCTGGGGACGGGCACCCGTCCTCAGGCAGCACCCAGCCCAGCGGCTGGGGCGCACGCCCCAGGAAAGGCCCCGAGAGGGGGGGTCAAACCTGTGCTGTGAGGGAGCTCCCCCCGCCCTGAGTCTGTGAGCCCGGGCTCCCCTACCACTCGCTGGTGTTTGTGAGTGACCCAAACTTCCCAACACGCAGCTAGACACAAGCCTCGCTGGGCCAGGGCCACGGGGCCACCTCCTGTCCACCCGGAAGCTCGATGAGCACGCCCCATCCCCACCCTCTCCAGCTTCCAAAGCCACCCCCTCCCCGCGGCTCGGACCCCTGACCCCGTCAGTCCTCACGACAGCGAGCACGCCACACTTCCGACCCCAGCCTGGGCAGGTCCCTGTGCCGGTCCTGAAAAGGCTCCTGTTTCTGCAATAGGTGCCCCCCCACACTCTGGCGGAGCCCTGTTGGCAGGGGGGGGGGGTCTGCCAGGCACACGTGAGACCAGGAGCCCCAGTCACTTCATACCTTGGGGCTGTGAGTTCCTGGGGACGGGCTCTCGTCACGCCCCTTCAACAGGAAGTGGCTGTGCCCACCAGCCCCCAGGGACCAGTGGGAAGGGGACCCGGGTGCGAGCAAAGGTAGAAAAGGACCCCAGAGGCATCAGACGGGGTCCCGGGGTGGACAGGAGCTGTCCCAGCCGACAGACAAGCCAGTGGCAAGGCACATGGGCACCAGAGAGAGGCCAAGTGTGCTGTGTCCTGGGGCACTGGGGGCGGAGGGGGCCAGGACTGAGGGTTGGCGTGGCCATCCTGGGGGCTCAGACACACACTGTCCTCACACTTGGTGGGGGGAGGGGTGTTGGGTCACTGTCCACCCTCCTGAGCCATGTGCGGAGTGGCTGCACCTTGGTGGCCAGTGGGCGTGGGAGGCCCCTGGTGAGCCCTCGGGTCCTGCAGGTGGCTGGACCCCCTGGGGGTCAGGGTGGGGCCGTGGGAGAGCCCAAGTTCCTGTCTGCTGTCAGCACCTGAGGGGACTCGGCAGGCATGAGGCCAGGACCTACTAGGTGACCGGGCCCCGAGACGTCTCCATTGGGGCCGCCCAGGGCCCTGCGCCGCTGTGGGCACTAGGCCCTCGGACCCCAGGCTCCGAGCTGGCAGCCCTGGGGGGCCCTGCAGCCAGCAGCCGGGGTCAGCGTGGGAGAGGGTCCCCGGGCCCCTGGGACAGCGCAGCCGCTTCTGAGCGCGCAGTTTGGGGCGGGTCATTAGTGTGCATAGTAGGTTCAGCTGCGGACATTACACCCATCTGAGGGTCAGGAATCGGGCTGCTTGCCCGTGGCTCGGCTCAGGGTCCCCCACCGGCTCACCGCCCAGCTCTCGGCCAAGGGGGAGGCCCCACATCTGCCAGGACCCTGTGTCAGAGGAGCCAGGCATCCTGCTCGCCCCCTCTTCCTGGGTCACGCAGACCAGCGCTGGCGGTGCGGGAGGGCTCCCCCCTGCTGACAGCCTCCCCAGCGCTCGACCCACCCCAGCTCCTGCGCCCACACCACGGCTCCCCTGCCCTGCAGGCCGCTGCCCTCCAGCGCCCTTCCTGGGCATCAGACCACCCCCCACCTCACCCCACCCCACCCCACCGCACAAGGCCAGGCCTCTCCACGGGCACAGCACACCCTCAGGCACCGCGAGGGCTCCCACCCCCAGCAGCAAGCCCCGCCCTGTCTGCTGCCTGCCCGGGCCAGGTCACCCTCACTGCCGTCGGGGCCGCCACAGCTCAGTGGGCCCTTCCCAGCCCTTCTCCCCAGGATCGGGGCTTCCAATCCCAGCTCCACCTCGGGCAGGCGACAGACTCCTCCATGCCTCAGTTTTCCCCCGTGACCCCCTCACAGGCTGCTGTGAGGACCAAGGAGTGGTGTGGACTCGCGTGTCTGCCGTGACCACGTCTGACCCCGCCCCCCCCAGCTACCAGCCGCTGGTCCTCAACGTCCCTCCCCCACGGCATCTGCACGCACCCTCGGCCTCCGAGCCCTTTTCCGCCATGACCCCTCTCCCCGGGGGCAGCGGCCGGAGCCACCTCTACAAATCAGGGTCAGGTCAGCCCCTCCCTGGTTAGGCCCGGCAGCCTCCCATGTCCCCCCTCCGCCTAGGGAGCTTCTGAGATCAGACGCCACCTCCTCAAGGGAGCCCTTCCTGACTGCTGGCCCGCCGTCCCTGCACCCACCGCACCACCAGCACCACCAGGTCACCCTGTGCCCCCACCACGGGCAAACCCATGGCCGCAGGGACTCCGGCGCCCGGAGCAGGGCCTGCCGTGCCGCAGGTGCTGAAAGAGGGGTGGATGGACAGGTGGATGAGCAGGTGGGCAGACGGATGACGTTTCCCAGCTGAGGCAGCACCCCCCTACCGCCTGTATCCAGGTGCTACCCCCACACCACCTGGTTTCAGACCCACCTTCCTGCAAGGACCCCAGGGGGCCACTGCCTGCTGGTGCCCCCTGTGCTGGGTGCCCTCACCACCTCCAGCCTGTCCTGCAGCGCCACCACGTGGCCATTTGGGGGATTGCCACTGCCAGCCCGCAGCCCAGCCTCCCAGGAAGGAGGTGGACCCCACCTTTCCCAGGTCCCCTGTCCGGTGTGCTCTCAAGACCCCAAAAGATGTGTCCCAACATTTAACCCTCTGCAGCCCGGCACCTGCACTCGGCTGGCTCCCCCCTGCAGGTTATATGAAGTGTGGATCTTACTGTGTTAGGGGTTGAAGTTAGGGGTCCCCCAAACTCCTGTGGGAGTCTAACCCCCAGCACCTCAGAGCGTGCCCCCCTTTGGAGAGAGGGTCTTCACGGAGCTCATCGGGACAAAATGAGGCCATACGGTGGGGGCCCAGTCCAATATGGCCATCCTCATAGGAGGGGGACACGCGGACAGGCATGCACCCAGAGACACGGCCCGTGAAGACGGAGGCAGACACGGGGTGACGCTTCCACACACCGGGAGGCCCCGCAGATGGCCAGCACACCCCGGCAGCCGGCGAGGGGCCTGGGGCAGCTCAGGAGGGAGGCCCCGCCCATACCCAGTCTCGGACCGGCCGGCAGCCTGCAGACGGAGAGGGGGAGGCAGTAAGCTGCCCTGCCCGTGGTCACCTGTCACGGCCGCCCAAGAACCACGCCGTCTGTGACAAACGGGGCGGCGCTCCGGGCGTGCTGTGGCGGGAACAGCCCCCTGCAGTGGCCTTCCGGGAGCGTCTCCTGCGAGTCGGCTCCTGGGGGCCGCGCAGCGCGGGGTGCCGGGCACCGCGTCAGGCCGCCGGCTTCTGCGTGTCCTGGGGAGACCGCCCTTGTACAACGAGCGGCCGGGCTGCAGGTTCTCAGCTCGAGGTGGGGTCAGAAAATCAGAAAGGACGCGGGATTAGTCGGGAGAAGACCCTGGGTTCTGCCGCAGGTCCGTCGCGGTGGGAAACCACTCCCCGTGGTGTGTCCTGCAGCCAGAGAATCTCGAGGTCAGTTGAATTCTCAGACTCCCCAGGTCGGAGCGCTGGAGTGTGGAAGAGTCAAAATGGAGAGTTGAGTGGATTGACCTTGACCCCCCGACCCCACTGACCCCACCAAGCCCTGCCAGGGCCCAATAGGGCCCCCACCTGTGAGCCCTGCTGTCCAGCGATCCCAGCTGACCCGGTCACAGCCCAGGGACACCAGGTTTTGCTCGCTCGGACAGGAGCCTTGTGGAGGGACCCACGGGTGCCCAGGGCGGCACGGAAGAACAGACATGGATGCCCGGGCACGGTCCCCGGCCCCGGCCCAAAGGTTTGCTTCCGTCTGTGAGGAGTCTCGGAGTTTGCTCCTTTGTTGCTGGAAACTTGGGTGGGACTGGGCCCCGCTGGGTGGCCGGGCGGCCTCAGGACGACCCCAGGAAGTTCGGGAAGACTCCGGAGCTCAGGCAGAGACAGACGCGGCCTGAGTGTGTCCGGTGCCAGTCCCCGTGTGCCCAGGAAGCACAGCCCTGCACGAGGTCCCGAGAAACCCCCGCTCTGCAGGCCCGGAATGACAGTGGAGCCGCTGCCACCGAAACTGGGCCCCGGATCCGTCCTGGGCACCGAAAGGCACGGCCCAGAGGTCAGCGGAGGGTGCCAGGGGTCTGGGGCAGTGGCCAAGTGACCCCAGAATCGAAGACGATGGAGAGTCATGACCCGTCGCCCAGTGTCCAGCGAGCAGAGGGCAGGGGTCCCCTGTGGTGGGTTCTAGGTGTCAGTCCCGCCCCCCGCTCCACCCCGAACCTCCCGCAGGGGCCCAAACCACCGCTGTGGGTGCCTCCTGCGCTGGGACGCCCCGCCACCCGCTGTCCTGCTCACTAACCTGAGGTTTAGGCAGCCAGCACACGTGGTGCCCTTCTGGTGCCTGTGGTGCGAGCTGGTGGCCCGGCTGATGGGGGCCGAAGTGGCGCAGTCACGGGGAGGGCAGGGCCTCTCTGGGGATGCGGGGTCCTCCTCCCTGACGGCTGAGCTCCCAAGACACCAGCCGTGTGGCCTTTCATGCCCTGGCCTCGAAGTCACGCCGTGCGCCCGATTCACGTGCAAGGATCCCACCCGAGTCGATTGGAACTCAGTCCGTGTGCGCGGCGGGCACGTCCTGGGAGCGCACGTGGAGCCCACTGCCCGCAACCTCGCAGGCCCTACGAGTGCAGCTCACAGCGCCACTTCTCCGTGCCGGCCCCAGGGGGCGCTGTGTCGCGGGCCGAGGCGGAGGCCGTGGGCCGTTCGCGTTCTGCGGCGCCTGGCCCCGCGCGGCCGCCGTAGGGGGCGGGGCCGCAGACGGTGTCTGCGGGGCGACGGCGCGACGGGGTTCTGCCGGCGGCGGCGGGCGGGGGGCCGCCGGGGGCGTGGGGGGCGCGGGGGCGCGGGCCGGGCGCCATGGGCAACCTGTTTGGTCGCAAGAAGCAGAGCCGCGTCACCGAGCAGGACAAGGCCATCCTGGTGAGACGTCCGTCTGCGGCCCGGCCCCGCGTCCGGTCCGGGGCCGGTGGGAAATGCCCCTCGGTTTCTCGGTCGCGCTTTGTCTGCGCACGAGCCCACGCTCGCGCGAGGGCTTCCCGGCGCGGGCCCCGCGGGGCCAGCCCGGGGACGCGGCCCGAGTCCGCACCCACGCGCGCTGCCGGCTCGGGGGCGAGGGGCCGTCCGTGACGCCCTGTCTCTGCCCCGGAGCTGGGCGTTTAGAGAAAACGGGGCCGGCCTGGGAGCGGCCGCAGTGCCCCTGGGCTCAGGACCGGCTCGTGTCCGCCTGGGCCGCCCTCGCTCGGCGTGCGGAGGCCGGTCCGGCCCCTAAGGCGCCCCTCTGCCACCGCTTGGACCGCGGGTTCCGGGGCGAGGCCGGGCCGCCCGTTGCCGTGGTGATGACGCTGCGGCGCCGACGACCCGGGCGCTCCCGGGCGGAGGTTAGTTTGTGGGGAAGCAGAAACTAAGGTGCTTTGCGTGAGACGCTGTGTCCAGAACCACCCGTTTCCGTTACGAGAAAAAAAAAAAAGTGCGGGGAGGAAGACAGTGCGAAGTGGGAGCAGAATCTGCCCTTACTCTCGCTTTTTGTTCTGAGTGTCCTGCGACCGAGTTCCCGAAGAGAGAAGTGAAATGACAGAGGGGTTTTACCTTGGCTCTGACCCTGTTGAGTTACGAAAGGCCCTTCACGGAAGCTCCTCGGAAGCAGCAGCAGCCGGGGACGGGGTTGTCAGTAGAGGGACCGGCACAGCGCGGGCGCCGGGCGGGAGGCGTGCGGGCCCTGGCACTCCGGAGGCCGGCTCCGGCCTGAAGGACAGCGGGGCCCCGCCCCGCTCTGCCCGCGGGCGCGCCGCCTTCGCCCTCCGCCCTTTGCTCCCCGGCTGACCAGGCGTCTGGCAGAGCGGGGAGCCCCCGAGGCGGTTCTCTGGTTCTCTAAGGACCCGCCCTCGGGTTTCTCCTGGGGAGACCTTCCGCCTGCCAAGCATCCACCTTGCTGGGGTCCCGGTAGGGACAGTGCAACCCGCACGGGACTCACAAACGCTGCCTGAGGTCCCTCTGGGGTTCAAGGCCCCGGGCCCGTCCAGTGCTCCTGCCCTCTGCTGAGGCCCCTTTGGCTGCCCAGAGAGCTGCCCCCTGGGGCAGGGGTGGGTGCCCCCATCCTGGGGAGGAAAGGCAGCCGGGGCTGGGAAGACTGGGTGTCTCTGTCGGTGCAAGTCCTGTGCCTGACCGCGGCCTGGCCGTGTGCTGGGGCAGACACAGGGGGCGCCGGTTAGAGGGAGCTATGAAGCCACCCCCCTTCAGGCAGAGCCAAGGGCGTCTCCACCGGGGACCACCCCTCACCATGATGAGTTTTACAGATGTGCGTCCCCCCCCCCCATGACTGACGCTCAGGGCGACCCACCTGGGAGACATAGCCCTGGGGGCAGGGTGCCCTGTCTGCAGGTGCCTTTCCCAGCGTCCCTGCTGCGTAGGCTCCAGGACCAGCCCGGGTGCCTGAGGCGGGGAGAGGCCGGTCCAGGCGCAGGGAGGACCCTGCATTCTTTGTCGGACAGCACGCAGGTCCGAGGTGCTCACCAGGGGTGCGAGACCCTCTCTGAACGTGCCGGCGGGGCCACGCAGACGTGCCGGGCAAGAAGAGCACGTGCCAGGCCAAGCCCACGGTGGGAAGGCGGCTGGGGCCCGGAGGGGCAGGCCGGAGCGCAGGCCGCTGCTGCTGGGGCAGGGGGTGACTGAGCCGAGAGGCCCCACAGCTCCCCTGACCCGGCCCCAGAGCGCCCACCCTCCTCTCAGACGGCACCGGGTGCCACACGGCGGTGGCCGTCGGCGCAGCACCGTGGACACGGCTGGCCGGCCCGGGTGGGGGCCGCCCTGGGCACTGCAGGGCTCCGAGCAGCACCGCCGGCCTCCCCACCGGGTGCCTGGGCCACCTCCCAGTTCGGACAGCCAGGAGTGTCTCTGGACGTGGCCCCAGGGGCAGCGGCTGGGGCGCCCGGCGAGGGTCGGCCTGGCGGTAACGGGCGCCGATCCCCGCAGCAACTGAAGCAGCAGCGGGACAAGCTGAGGCAGTACCAGAAGCGGGTGGCGCAGCAGCTGGAGCGCGAGCGGGGCATCGCCCGGCAGCTCCTGCGGGACGGCAAGAAGGAGTGAGTGTGGGGGGCCCAGCGGGGCTGGGGGGCCAGAGGGGCGGGGGCGTCCCGGGATCACTGGCGTCGCCCCTGCAGGCGGGCCAAGCTGCTGCTGAAGAAGAAGCGGTACCGGGAGCAGCTGCTGGACAAGACGGAGAACCAGATCACCAGCCTGGAGACCATGGTAGGCGGCGGGGAGCCCCTTGGGCCCTGAAACCCACCGTCCCCGTCCAGGCCCCTCAGCCCTCAGCCTGGTGGGGGCGGGGGGCGGCCTGGAGGGGAGGGGGGCGGTGACAGGAAGCTGAGGGTCTCCGGAGCTGGGGGCAGGCGGGCTGCTACAGGAAGATGGTTGGGGACTGGGCTGCTTCTGGGTGGCTCCGGTGGGCCGGGCGTCTGCCCCAGTGACCGGAGGTGTCGGGGGTGGGGGGCTCCTGGAGCATCCCTGGCATTAGGTGCTGCACACAGCTGCTTGTGCGCAGTCGGCGGCCCCTCATGAGCCCCCTCACCGTGGGGTGGGCCGCAGAGGGCGGCGGGGAGGCTCGGGGCCGGGAGCAGGCCAGGCGGCCCTTACTGGCGGGCCCGGGCCCGTGTCCCCCCAGGTGCAGAGCATCGAGTTCGCCCAGATCGAGACGAAGGTGCTGGAGGGGCTGCGGCTGGGGAACGAGTGTCTGAACAGGATGCACCAGGTGGGTCCTCGGTGGGGGGGGGGTGGCGGGGCCCTGCCTGCGGCCGGCGCAGTGTTCAGGCCGGAGGGGAGGCAGGAGGGCCCGTCACTGTGGGGGGAGGGTGGGGTGAGCTGTTCTGGAGGGCTCCCTGGAGGAGGTGAACACGGCCTCCTCTCAGACACAGCCTGGAGGTGGCTGGTGGCAGGAGGGCGAGGCCCCGCGAGGCCGGGCTGGAGCCCTGCCCCTCCACCCGGGGCGGGGGTGGGGGTGGGGGCGGGCCCAGGGCCCTGGCTGGGTTGCTCTGCCGCGTGGTGAGCGCGGCACGTCCCTGCCAGTCCGGCAGAGGGGCTGCGTGGAGCTTGCCTAAGGGAAACCGAGTCACGTGCCAGAGGAAACGGTTTCTGCCTTTCCCCTGCTCCTGCCTGGAACTGCTGGAGCGGACTTGCCACCGGGAGGTCTGGTGAGAAGGGCCGGTCTCACCAGGAAGGGCCGACGGACAGCGCCCGGCCTCTGCGGCCCGCTGCTGCCCGGGATGGACATGACCGGCGGTGGGCCGGGCCCTGCTCTGCCGGCCCAGCTTCACTGGGACGAGGGTCCGGGCGAGGCCATGTGCCCTGGCAGCCGGGTAGACCTCGAGTGGGGCGCTTGCGAGGCCTCTCGGCCGGGACTCAGGAACTCCCCCCCCTGCCCGCCCCGCCGGGCCTGTCTAGGTGATGTCCATAGAGGAGGTGGAGCGCATCCTGGATGAGACCCAGGAGGCCGTGGAGTACCAGCGGGTAGGCGTCGCCCGTCCTCGGGGGGGGCCCCCTTTCCCCAGTGAGCGAGGGCGGGGGGCCGTCTTGTCCTGGTGGATGCCCCTGGGCCGCCCTGGGGGGTCATGCCTGCCCCTGCCTCGTGGTGGCCCCTCTGGTCACGAGAAGGGGCTTGGGTCAAGGGCGGCCTCCCTGCTCCGCCGGGGGGTGCCGCCCCCGGCCCCCGCCCAGCCGCGCGCCTCACCGCGGCCCCTCCTTCCGCAGCAAATAGACGAGCTGCTGGCCGGGAGCCTCACGCAGGAGGACGAAGACGCCATCCTAGAGGAGCTGAACGAAATCACTCAGGTGGTGGGGCCCCCGGGGCTGAGCCCGGCCGCCCGGGCGGGGGGCCTGCCCGGGTGCCCCTGCGCGTCGTGGTGGGGGGCCCAGACAGAGCGGGGTGCCGCCTCTGCGGACCCTGGGTCGCATCCTCCCCAGTGGACAGGAGTGTGGCTTTGACCCGGCGGTTCTCTCTCCCCGCACGCCGGCCACTGTGCTGCACAGGCCCAAGCGCACCGGCCCGTGGGCCTCAGCAGCCTGGGCCGGGCTGGGGTGTGCTGGCGCGGCGGTCTGTGTGTGCTCTGTGGCGGGCGGCTCCGTCTCTGGGCCGCCGCCCTCGCCATGCGCGCAGCCTGCACCACCTGCTTCCCCAGGCCCTCGGGCTGGCTGGGGCGGTGGGTTCCAGTGCCACTGCTCACCCTGGGGTGTCCGCGTGCACCCCCTGGTTGGTGCCCCCCACCAGAGGCCACCAGCACTCATAGGACAGCCAACCCCACTGCACAGCACGCCCGGGCACCCGCGGCCCTGGCATAGCCCGGACCCTGCACCGGCGTGTCTGGAAGCCCCTCAGGGACCCCGTGTCGGGAGACCACCCTTTCCTTGTCTCCACAATGCCGGAGGCTGGAGGGGTCCCCTCGGGGCCCTGGGCGGGGTGGGGGCGGTTCTCAAGCGTTCTGAGTCTAGCTGAGCAGACGGGACCCTTCCCCGCCGAGGGCATGGGGGTGGACCTCTGGGTCACGTCTCACGGCCCTTCCTTCCGTCTCTTGCAGGAACCACTCGAGCTCCCAGAAGTCCCTTCAGAGCCCCTGCCTGAAAAGAACCCAGGTACTCCCCACTCTGTCCTCCGGGACGCTCTGTCCTCTGGGAAGCAGCAGCAGGTTCCAGAACAAAGCAGACGCCCTGGCCTCAGGGTCCCGCCCGCGCCCTGGTGCGGTGGGTGAGCTGCTGGCCAGCTCGGGGGGCAGCACCCAGCCCCACGCTGGGCGGGCAACCTCAGAAGAGTCGACCCCCGTTGGGAGAGGCGTGACCTGACGTGGGAGCCCCGGGAAGGCTGGGTCGGCCACGTGGACTCTCCTGGGCCGGCGTCCTCGCCGCTCCCGGCCCTGGGACGATTGTCCGGGGCCTCATTGAACAGGCGTGGAGGTCTCCCCCGGGCCCCGCGGTGTCTGTGGTGGTTCCTGTTCCTTCCGCTCCCTCGCCGCCGCCACCACCTCCCCGCGCTGCGGGCCCTCCGGCCCCTCCGGCCCCACCCGGCCCATCCGTGACGCGCTGTCCCCGGGGGCGCTGCCCAGGCTCTTGCCCGAGCTCACGGCCCTGGGACCTGGCCCCTCGCCCCCCCCTCGCTCTCTTCTGGGAGTTCCAGCCGGGGGTGCGCCCTCCCGTGACAAACGTCTCTCTGTTCCCTCCGCAGAGAAAGTCCCGGCCCAGGCCAGGCCCAGGCAGGCGGACCTGGTGGCAGCCTCCTAACTCGGCCTTCCCGCGAGGGACTGGTGGGGGCCCCCCAGGGACTGGGGCCACCGCGAGGTCGGGCGTGTGGCCAGCCCTGGCCGGGCCGCCGGTGCTGACGGCGCGGTGCACGCAGGGCTCGCAGCCAGGCCGACCCCGGGGGTCCTCTCCGGGGCCGGGGACTGCACGGCCCCACTCGGCCCCTCGGGCCAGATGCAGCTGCTGAGGCCGTGGCCCCCGCAGGGCCTCGGTCGGCCGTCCCGCCTGGTGCTGGTCACACTTCCTGTCCCCGGCCCCCGTGAGGAGCTGCGGCCGCGCTCTCCCGATGGACGCCGCACCGAACCCTGCCCCTCCCTCCCCCTCACTTCCTGCTGCTCCCATCCGTTGGCGGGCGCTCCGGCCGAGGGGCGCCTGCCCTGGCCAGGCCTCCCGACACGCCCGGTCGCCGTGTGGGTCCGGGGTGGAGGCCTCTCCATGCTTCCGTCTGCAGCTGGGGGGCGGGCAGGAGGGGCGTGTCCCTGCTGGCTGGACTCCCGGAGCCCTGCCCGCTCCCCGTCACCGGTGGGTCCTGCCGGCGGTCCCGGAGGTGCTGGCGGCGCCCGCGCGTCCGTGGAACTCTGGGGCTGGAGCGTGGGACCTGCAGGGACCCGGGACCTGCCAGCCCGCCAGCTCCGAGCTGTCAGCACCAAGGACAGGCTGTGGGGGCGGGAGTCCCGGTCCGGGTTCACCGTCTGTTCGGAGTCAGCGTCGCCGGGGTGTCGCCCCATTAAAGTGGATCCTGCATCCCTGCCGCCTGCCTCGTGGACTCGGGCCGGGAGGGCCAAGGCGGGTCACAGGCGCCCCCGGTGCCTCGGACCCCACGGGCACGGGCTTTGGGGGTGCCCGTCTGGTCAGCCCCACGGCGGGGCTGGGGGCGGGTGGAGGGGCTCGTCCTGCCTCCTGCCGGACGGGCCCTGCAGCCTCCCCGCATTGGAGAGGTTCCGGGTGGCGCCCCCGGCTGGTGGCTGCAGACCCTCCTGGGGAGGACCCTGATTCCCGCCCGGGAAGCCAGCTGCCGCAGTGAGCGAGCAGACAGCGGCGAGGAGCGGGAAGGGGCGTCCCACCTGAGGGGGCCCCCCCCCCGTGGGCGTGCCAGGGCTGCGGTTCCTGGGTGGGAGCTGGACACCCCAGTTTTCCGGGTTGGGAACCTGCTGCGTGAGGGGATCCTCGGCGGGTGCAGTGCACCCCTCTGCCAGCAGGGGGCTCCGCCGACTGGCCTGCGGATTTGGCAGAAACCGCCGTCAGTGGTGCCAGTCTGGCTGCTGGGGCCTCTCGCTCCTGTTTTGAGTGGCATGCTGCCATCTGTCCCCAGGACGCCAGAGGGCAGTCCTCACCTGAAAGAAAGCTGGCCTGGTGACCCTCTCCGTCTGCAGATTGGCTTCTGGGCCTGGGCCCGGGGAGGTTGAGGAAGGGGGTGTAGGCCCTGCTCTGGGGGAGGCACAGACCCTGGGCCAGCCCTCCGGACGCCCAGCAGCAGGGCGCGCCCCCCAGGCCCGTCCTCCAGGGAGGGGTGGTTCCACCTAGGGGGGCTGCGTGGCGGGGTGCGGGCTGCCCCCCCGCCCCGAGTGCTCTGAGGAACCCCTGCTCTGTGCTGCAGTGCTGGGAGGGACACCCGAACCCCCCGGGAGGAGGCAGGCCCAGGCTGGCGCCCCTCACCCAGCCCCCTTTCTAGGAGCTCACCTCCGACACGGGGAGGCTTGCCCCAACACCCGGGGGTCCCCCCGCTGACTCCAGGCTCGCCAGCCTTGGACGGCATCTGGCTCTCCAGCTCGGGGGGGCGGGGGCGGTGAGAGCGTGTGAGAGTGTGCTCTGCCAGGTGGAGGCTCGTGAGTTCCGTGCCCCGTTCCCCAAACAGCAGCCAGCGAGCCTACCCTGCCCCCTCCTCCTGGGGCCTGGGACTCCGGACCTTCACAGGTCGGAGTTCATGCGGAGCTGGGGGCAGAGCTGGTGTCCTAGGGGCTGCAGTGCACTTGCAGGAGGGGAGGGCCCGAGAGTACCCACGTCCCAGGGCAGGAGAGGCTCAAAGGGGGACCCATGGGGGCCCTCAGACAGGCCTGGGACCCTGAAAGGGTGGGCAGAGGGTGCACCCCAGACAGGATGGGAGGGTGGGGCAAGGAGCAATGCCCAGCATGCATGGGTGGTGGGGGGTGGGGGGGCGCTGGGGACAACATCCCTAAACTCTGACCTCACCACCCATCGTCGTCACCCTGTGGGGTCTCCTGCTGACCCCACCCCACCTGCAGAGACAACCTGGGGACATTGGGCAGCTGCCACAAAGGCCCTGGGGCTCCTGGTGGGGCTGGCTCCCCTGTGCAGGAGCATTCCCCCTGGGCTGGGTTGCTAGTCACACCCCGAACTTGGGAGGGGGCTGTGTGGGGTGAGGGCAGCGGGTCAGACGTGTGCCCTGGGGGAGGCTGGCCTCACGGCCACACGTGGCTGGGGGCCTCCCCAGTGGAAACCTGCACGCTTGGCCGAGGACAGCTGCGTGACTTGGCCCAGGCCTGGCCCTTTGGTGAGCCCGGGTCCTGTCAGCCCTGTGCCGGGGACCTTGGTGAGGCCGTGGGAACACCCTGGACCTCTTCCTAGGGACGTGTCCCCTCCCATCACCCCTGTCTTTCCTGAAAATGCACCGACAGCTCGGCCTGTCTCTGGTGTCTGCGTGTGAGTGGGACCACGCCCCGGGGACCTCAGGTTCTCCGGACCCTCCACTGCCTGTGACCTTGTCCCCGAGGGTCTGACAGCACATCGTCTCCAGCCTGTCCCGGCGGGAAGTGGGCGCTCATCGGGCGCGGCGGTTACAGGGTGTGAGCAGCGCTGCGCCCGGACCGGGCTCTTGGGGGAGGCTCACTGAGGAAGCGGAGGCTCCGGAATGAACCGGGCAAGAGCAGAGCTCTCGGGCGCCGCGCTGGGGGCGTCCAGGGGCACGACGGCCTCCCTTGCCCACCGCGTCCCTGAGACGCAGCCCCGTGCCGCCCTCTGCCCAGGCCCCGGGGCAGTCCCCTCGCCCTGGGGAAGCCACGCCCCCTCCCCGGCCCTGCTTCCTGCTCTGGGCCGGCCTGTTGGGCACTGGACGTGGCCTCACACAGCGCCTTCCGGGCCCGGCCTCTGGCGCACGTGCTGCGTCTGAGCCCCCCGCCCCCCCCTTGTGTCGTGCGAGTGTGGGCGCTCTGCTGGGGTTCAGCCCATGGCTCCAGGGGCCACATTTTCTCTCCCTGCCTGTCCCCGTGGACACTGGAGTTGTCCCCCTCTTTGCCAGTCAAGAAGGGCACTTCCTCAAACGTCCCGAGCGAGTCTCTGTGTGGGCAGGCGTTCGCCGCTCCGGGGCGTGAGCCTGGGGGCGGACTCGGGGGCCACGCGCAGACCTGACGTCGGGCCGTCCGAGCAGCGGCCAGACTGCTGTCCAGGCGGCCGCAGCACACGAGCCTCCCGCCGGCCGCCTGTGGGGCCCCGCACGGCCCCCGGCCCGGCCGTCCCCGGGGCCTGGTGGTCTCCCGAGTGGCCCGTGCTCGCTGGCCGTCCGTGTGTCTTTCGGGACGTGTTCGGCTCCCTCGCCCAGCTTTAAGCTGGGTGAGTCGTCACGTTGTTCCTGAGTTTCAGGAGCTCTTCGTGTGTCCCGGACGCTAGACTCTGTAACCGGGGGTAGGGTGTGCAGAAGCTTCTCCCCAGCCTGTGGTCTCTCCGCTTTGCTGACAGCGTCCTTGGCAGAACGAGCCTTTCCGACGTTGAGGAAGTCCAGTTCACTGCTGCTGCTGCGTGTGCCCTGGGCGTCGCTTCCAGGAGACCGTCGCCCAGTCTGAGGTCACAAAGACGATCTCGTTTTCCTGGAGAAGTTCTATGGCTCCAGCTCTCGGGCTGGGTCTCCGGCCCCGGCCCCGTTCGCTTGGGCCGCGCTGGGCCCCCACCCCGGGGCGCAGCTCCGGTCTCGAGCCCGGGACGCCCGGCTGTCCCGGCGCCTGCACCCTCGGCACCTCGCTGGAAACCGGGTCGCCGGCAGCGCGACAGCGGACCTCCGTCTGGGCCCCCGTGTGTGCGTCGTGACGTGTGTGCGTCGTGACGTCAGTCCGTGCGTCCCGACCGCAGCTGCGTGGGGAGCTCTGAAATCAGGAAGCGCGAGTTCTGTTGGTTCTTTTCCAAAAGGCGGTTTGGGCTGCGCCGAGTCCCCGGAATTTCCCCGCCAACCTTGGGGTCGGCGTGTGTGTTAGCGTCCGGACAGAGGCCCGGAGAGGCTCCGAGCGGCGCGCCGGGCTGCGGGTCGGCCTGGGGACCGTGCGGGCGGCGCCGTTCAGTCTCGGGGTCCCCGGAGCGCCCTCGACAGCGGCGCGGGGTGTTCAGAGCACACGTCTCGTGCTTCTTTCGCTTCGTTTATCACTACGGGTTGTATTCTTTTTAATGCTATTTTCGTGGAGTTTCTTCCCGATTTCGACTTCCGACCACACAGTGCAACTGTGACAGGTCCTCCCGCCTCGCACGGGGCCTCTGGCGCTGCAGGCCGCGGGCGAGAGGCGCCGGCGCAGGGGAGCACAGTCGGTCCCGCACGCAGCGCTGCCTCCCGCAGCCCCGACGGGCTGGTGCGTTCGAGACTCCGGCTCGGACCGGACCGGGCCCCGCGCACACCGGGGACCCCACGCTCTGGTTCCGCGCCGCGCCTCCTTGTCCGGCCAGAACCCCCAGCACAATGCGGGTCACCGTGGCCGCCTTCCCTTCCGCTGTTCCTACCCATCCCCAGCTCCCAAATAATGCAAACAGGAAGGACAAAGTCCACACAGCATTTCAGGCAAAATCCCACCCCTTCCTCCCCCGCCCCTCCCTCTTCCCCTTTCTCGGGTTTCCGGGCAGAGCGGGGCGGGTGGGCAGACCAGGTGCTGCCTGGCCCTGGGCCGCCTTCGGAACCGGGAGTGGCAGCTTGCGGGGCTTTGCTGCGCCGCCCAGGGGGGCAGAGCGCCTGGGACTCGATCTGAAGCTGGGGGGCGAGGCTGCACAGAACGAACCTCAGCAGCTCGTGGAAAACGAGGGAGGGCGTGGCCGGGACCAGCAGACGAGGCGCGCGTGGACCGCTTGTGAGGTTGTGGGTCCCAGGAGCTCCTCCAGGCAGCGCGGTGTCCAAGGAAACCTGGGGTCTCTGGCTGCTGCAGGCCGCGGGCCCCCTGGGGCTCATTGGTGGGGAGTCTCGCCCCCCAGGCAGCGGTGCCCCACCGGCTTGTACTCACAGCACTGCCCCTGGGCCGGCAGGGGACGCTGGGATCATGTCAAAACCACCTGCTTAAGAAATCAGAAAGTCCAGCCCTGGCTGGTGTAGCTCAGTGGATTGAGCGTGGGCTGCAAACCAAAGTGTCGCAGGTTTGATTCCCAGTCAGGGTACATGCCTGGGTTGCAGGCCATGACCCCCAGCAACCGCACATTGATGTTTCTCTCTCTCTCTCTCTCTGTCTCCCTCCCTTCCCTCTCTGAAAATAAATAAAATCTTTAAAAAAAAAATCAGAAAGTCCAAGGGAGGGGCCGAGCCCCACGGGGCCGTCCCAGTTGGTGTCCCAGCTTCCGGCGTGCTGATCCGCTCCTGTGACGGACACCCCAAACCGTGGGAAGGGGTTGCTGGCCAGGCCGGCGGACTGCAGACCGGACATGCCCCCGGCGACGGCTGTGGGCGGGGCCGCGTGTCTCTCCCCGGGTGCTGTGGGTCCTGGCGTGCTTGAGCGCTGAGTTAGAGTCGTGTTCTGAGGTACAGGGTTGGCCTAGTACCGTCCCACTCCCTGC